TCCTTCCACATTTTGAGCTGAGTTCTTAAATCACTTCAAATCCATGCACTCTTGTTGAAACTTTGGTCATAATATTGACTATGTCAGTCATCATTTCTTTTTTTAAGATTTATTTATTTATTTGAAAGGCAGAGTTACAGAGAGGCAGGGGCAGAGAGAGACAAAGAGAGAAGTCTTCCATCTGCTGGTTCACTCCCCAACTGGCCGCAACAGCTGGAGATGCGCCAATCTGAAGCCAGGAGCCAGGAACATCTTCCAGGTCTCCCACAACAGGTGCAGGGGCCCAAAGACTTGGGCCTTCTTCTACTGCTATCCCAAGCCATAGCAGAGAGCTGGATTGGAAGTGGAGCAGCCGAGAATCAAACTGGCGCCCATATGGGATGCTGGCACTGTAGGCGGCGGTTTTACCCTCTATGCTATAGCACCAGCTCCAGCTCAGTTATCATTTCTACAACTAAGCAGAGACACTCATGGAAACCCTTTATGAGTATTTTAATTTTTCAAAAAGATGTATTTATTTTTTGAAAGGCAGAATTACAGAGAAGCAGAGGCAGAGGCTGAGGCAGAGAGAGAGGTCTTCCATCCGCTGATTCACTTCCCAGATGGCCTCAACAGCCGGAGCTGTGCTGATCCAAAGCCAGGAGCCAGGAGCTTCTTCCGGGTCTCCACACGGCTGCTGGGCCATCTTCTACAGCTTTCCCAGGCCATGGCAGAGAGCTGGATAAGAAGTGAAGCAACCGGAACTCAAACAGGCACCCATATAGGATGCCAGCACTATAGGCAGTGGCTTTACCCGCTACGCCATAGTGCTGGCTCTGAGTTTTTAGCCTTTTATATTGGCATTCATTAAAATCTTATTTCATTGCCTTAATTTTTTTTCTAATACCATTACTCACTTGAAAGACTATTCTCTTCCTCCCTCATTCATAACTATATTGTTGGAAATCGACATTAATGAGAAAACTTGGTCTACAGAACCTAGCTAATATTGCAATTCACACTTATCCAGAACAAATGCCTGCAAAATTATTTTTTGTAAGAAACAATGAAAGCTAAGCCACGTGACAAAAGAAGACAGAATCAGGAATTCAGGAGTGAGTGGCACTACATCAGTCTGATGGAGATGGATGGGAAATGACTAGCATAAGACCAAAGGTTAACATCTCATGTTCAAGTTTATCTTTGCTGCCTCTTACTCGGTTTTTCCTACTAATTTATTTAACTTTCACAATACTCACTTTACTGCCATGCCATTAAAAAGAATTCTGGAACTTTCACGTTCCATCCACTGTAGACAAAATACTTCAAGTCGTTGCTCTAAAATCAGACATTTGAACCTCTCTCTTGAATCTCAAGCAGCATCACTTCTCACAGAAGCGAGGAGGGAAAGGCTGTGTTAGAGGGCTTCATTTTGCCAATCAAATGGAAAGGTGGAAAGGGCTGCATCTTGTTCAAGGACTGTCAGATGATAATGAGAAAAAGGATATTTTTGATGGAGTAGGAAAAATTTCTCAATGCTCCTAAAATAACACGGCTACTTGCTCTGCCTTCACTTAAAGTTGACCTTGACCTAAAGGGGCAGAACAGTTAACATCATAACAATTCCATAGATAAACTTGAGTAACTCTAAGGCTCTGCAAGAAAGAAAAATGGCTGTAAGTACACCAGGATTTTTTGCAGGAAAAAATGGCTGAAATATTAACTTGATGTGCTTATTAAAGATATTTTGAATTGATCTTTCCTAAATACAGGAATTATTCCAAAGACTTCTGTTCTCACCTCCTCTACGTGTGGTTATAAAAGTCATCTCTTTGGACCTTTTTTTCATCTCTGAAAAATGACAAGATTGTACAACACTACAAAGCCCCAGTATTGTTTACAAATGTCTTATTGCACATACGCATAATTTAATAAAAGACAACATGCCACTTAAAACGTATTAAGACTTAAAACTTCCACATGTATTTTTTTTACTTCTTTGGATGTCAAATAAGTCATGGATGCAGAAGGTCATATAATTTGTTAACATTTTTTTTGAATTTGAGATAGTTTATGCTATTACATGTAAACATGAATGTCTATTAACAAATGTTTATTGAACATCTCCTATGAGCCAGTCTTCATGATAGATACAATTGTAAAATTTGCAATTTCTTCCACTCTTCTTTCAAACCTTTAGTGGTCAAATAAGACTGTTAACATTGCAATTAATTATCTCTGGGTCCTGGGATTTTATCAGGACTATGAAGACCAAACCAAATAGAGAAGCAAATTGAAACTTCAGTGACACAAAGCCCCAGATATCATTCTTAGCAGCCTCAAGTACCATGTCCCTCAGAACGGCTTTATTGTTCTTAGTTATTGATTTTAATAGTATTAAACTAATTTTTAAGATTTATTTTATTTGTGTGAAAGACAGAGTTACAGAGAGAGATAGAGAGGGGTCTTCCATCTGCTGGTTCATTCTCCAAATAGTTGCAACAGCTGGAGATAAGCCAATCTGAAGCCAGGAGCCAGGAGTATCTTCCAGATCTCCCATGTGGGTGCAGGGACACAAGGACTTGGACCATACTTCCATTGCTTTCCCAGGTGCATTAGCAGGCAGCTGGATCAGAAGTGGAGCAGCCGGGACTCCCACAGATGCCCATATGGGATGCCAGCACTGCAGGATGGGGCTATAACCCACAGCGCTGAAGCTCCTGCCCCTGAAACTATTTTTGAAAACCTACTTAACACATTGGAAGTACCACCTAAGATTTTGATCACCAAAATATACATCCTACATCTAAGACAATCACCAAGTTTCCTTCCAAAAACAGCTTGAAATTATGCCATTTCCTGTTATATATCTTCTGTGATGTCCTGGTTCACCTTGCCTGTCCTAAATACACTCAGCAAAGAACATATTGTGGAGAGGAATCATGTGGGTGAGATACAGAAGGAAATCTGCTTGAGTTCCTGGCTTTAAGAAATATATAATGTGATGAAGGGCTAGACACAAATAACAAAATCAAGTAGCAATGTTCCTGTCCAGGACCAGAAGAGAGTCCTAATTCTGTAGTGCACAGAATGCCTTCATGGAGATGATTTTGGGGCACAAGCTGTTTGAAGGATTCAATGGAATATTATTCTGGATTGAAAAGTAATGAAATCCTGATATATGCTACAACATGGCTCTACCTTGAAGATGTTATGCTAAATGAAACAAAGCAGACATGAAGAAACTAACATGGTATGATTCCACGTGTGGAAGATGCCTGTAATAGTAGAACCTGTAGAAACAGAAAAGAGGGCCGGTGCCGCAGCTCAATAGGCTAATCCTCTGCCTATGGTGCTGGCACACTGGGTTCTAGTACCGGTCGGGGCACCAGATTCTGTCCCGGTTGCTCCTCTTCCAGGCCAGCTCTCTGCTATGGCCCAGGAGTGCAGTGGAGGATGGCCCAAGTCCCTGGGCCCTGCACCCCATGGGAGACCAGGAGACGCACCTGGCTCCTGGCTTCGGATCAGTGTGATGCGCTGACCGCAGCACACCGGCCGCGGCGGCCGTTGGAGGGTGAACCAACGACAAAGGAAGACCTTTCTCTCTCTCTCTCTCTCTCTCTCTCTCTCTCTCTCTCACTGTCCACTCCGTCAGAAAAAAAAAAATTGTTGCAAATTGGAAACAGAAAAGAAAATGGTGGTTGCCAGAGGCTGAAGTGGGGGCTTGAGGGCTGTTGTTTAATGGATACAGTTTCTGTCTGGGACAGTGTAGAGGATCTGGAGACCAATGCTGATGATAGTTGCACAACAGTTTGTGTGTGTGAGTACTTAATGCTAATGAACTGTATATTTAAACACAATTAAACTGGTAAGTTTTCTGTCATGTATATTTGACCGCAATAAAAACAAATTCTGTTATCAAGACTGGAAATGTGGTTCTAATCTCAGACTTTCCCTCATTTAGTAATGAGGACAATGTTCTTTTTTGATTCTTAACTTTCCTTGCATAAACTGGGAGTAGGCATGTTCCTATCTTTCAAAGGGAGGTTAAAAGAGAATTTCAGCCCATTAATTAGTGCCCTATATGATTGCACAGTGTGGCAAACTTATGCGAACTTAAATATAAGGAGTCTTTGGTCATTCACCTAAAAAATGTGTCTCTGGTCATTTTCTCAATAGCCGGATTCAGAGATTGTTACTATATGATATAATAATCTTAAAGAAAACACAAACATTTAATGAAATTTCTGTATATGAGATTTTATATAGTAAAACAGGCCAAATTGCTACGTATCAAGGAGTACCTGAACCCAGGATGATTTTGTCTGATTTCCATTCAATCGTTAGTTGTGACATAGAATCAAGCCATGAAAAGCTTATTTCTGACTTATTTTAACATTTATAGAGCTAGGAGTGAACTATCGCTGTTCTGGGTTGGTCAGTGTGCTGTGACTCAAATAGGCATTTCCAGGCTACCCTAGGTGTGCACAAAATGAATGTAACTGACAGGAAGTCCCTTTGGGCAGCCTTTTGAAGAGACTGCAGGTGCAACAACAGCACAGCCTAGTGGCCATAGCTCAGGCCGCTTCTACAGAGAGGGATTTGGGGGACTGAGCCTCTTAAAATGACTGAAAATGACTGTTATTACCGTTTCAGCATGTCACTATAGGTAATGAAAATACTACTACTTAATATTCCACTTCCAAATGTGCAGGAATGACAATAAGAATTATAAAACATTTAAAATTGTCCTACTTTCCTTTTCTAATTCAAAAAGATATGCCTAAATTTATATACAAATAATAATTCCATTGTTTAAAATATTTATGCACCAAAGATAAAATAGTAGAGTGTGTGGGAAAGCAAATATTTCCAAAGGAAATAGAACTCTCGCAACATTACCTTATTTTATTAAAATTGGTAGGAAGCAAAATGCAGTAGTTGTTACCTAGGGAACAGCTGAAAATGAAAGCAATGTCTCAAATGGCAAATCAGAATCTTTTTTTTTTTTTCAATATCAGAGCAGAATACAAACCAGAGAGACTACCTTCACATTCCTTTGAGGTTGACCATGAAGATGCTGATAAGGATGAAGTAAGTATTGTTAAGAGTGAAATGTTTCAAACACAAGGAGAGTGGGTCCCTGTCTTACACTAGAGGGTGTCGCATCAGCTGCAGGAGCTGTTTGTGACAGGGCTGTTAGTCAAAATGAATCCTGTGTGTTTGGAAATGGAACATGATGATTGAAGAGGAATCAAGGAAAATTAAGTCTTGTTTTTTGGAACAAAAGATGCCTGTTATGCTAATGGTGCTTTTCGTGCAGGATACCACTTCCCACTCATCTTCCAAGGGTGGTGGGGCAGCAGGAGGAACTGGAGTTTTTAAGTCTGGCTGGCTCTACAAGGGGAATTTTAACAGCACTGTGAACAATACTGTTACTGTTCGGGTAAGAGCTCATTGCCACTGATCCTTACCTTTGTCACCTTCCTGATACCCTCTCCTTTGGTCACAGCACAGAGAGCCCTTGGCATTGTGTTTCCGTTTCATTTAATTTTAAAAATATATTTACTGATTTATTTATTTGAGAGGGGGAGAAGGAAGGAGACACAAACAGACAGAATTCCCATCTGCTAGTGTACTCTCCCAATGCCTGCAATGGCCCTGTCTGGTCCAGGCTGAAGTGGAAGCTGGGAAATCAGTCCGTGTCATCCACATGTGTGATAAGGACTCAACTACTTGAGTCATCACTTGCTTCCTCCCAGAGCGCACATTAACAGGAAACCAAGTTGGGAGCAGAGCCAGGGCCCTAATTAATATTCAATGCGGGCGCCCAACAGGCATATTAACTTGCAGACCAAATGGCATATTTTATTTATGAGGAATTAGAATTTCCTTCTAGAGAACAGTTCGCACAAGTGCTCCAGGAGGAACAGAAAAATTGTAACTCTCATGAGCAGTAGCACACGCAATTTGAGCTACTTTTATCTTTTCCTTTAGTCATTCAAAAAGCGTTACTTCCAGCTGACTCAGTTGCCAGATAACTCCTACATTATGAATTTTTACAAAGATGAAAAAATATCCAAAGAACCCAAAGGCTGCATCTTTTTGGATTCCTGTACAGGTGTGGTGCAGGTGAGTAGAAATCTCTTTTTTTCTCCTCTGGAATTTTTTTTCCTTGAAAAGTGCATTGAGCAAATCTTTACAGAGCGTCTTATGTGAACCTAGAACTATCAGCGATTATATGAGTTCAATGAAAATTAAGGCAACCTAGATTTCTGCTGCCAAAGAATCTTACTGTCAACAAAGAAAAACAGGACTTAAGCAAAAAGAAAAAAAAGAGTGGAATCAATAAAATTTTCAGTAAGGAAAGTAAACAGAAGGGAAAAGCAAAAGTGGTGAGGTCTGAAAGGAATATCAACACTCAAGAAGTGAGAAAATCATGTTGAAGAGACAGCATTTGGTTTATGGACTAAAGAATGAGCAGGGGCATGGGTGTAAGTCTATGATCTCCCCAAGAAGAAGAGGAAAGTGACCAACTGTGTGGCCACAGCTAGAGATCCACACAGCTAAAGAAATTCTGTAAGGTAATGTTGTGTACACGATATACTTCAAAGCATGCACTTCAAAAATTTTATTTTTATAATTAGGTAATAATTATAAGTGGGTAGTAAATATACACTGTGCATACATATCATCTTTCTTTTAAGAGGACTTTTTCTTTAAAGATGTATTTTTGTATTTACTTGAAAGAGTTACAGAGATAGGAGGAAAGACAGAGAGAGAGAGAGATCTTTCATCCATTGGTTCACACTGGACCACAACAGCCAGGGCTGGGTCAGACCAAAGCTAGGAGCCAAGAGTTTCTTCCAGGTCTTCCACATGCAGGGTCCCAAACACTGTGGCTATCCCTCTTCTGCTGCTTTCCCAGGTCATTAGCAAGGAGCTAGATCCCAAACCATCTGCCATATGGGATGCCGGTGTCCCAGAGAGAGGCTTAACCTGAAACTGCCACATTGCTGGCCCTGAGGGTGCTTTCTTAAAACAAAGATTATATTGATTCCTAAGGGTTCATTCAGAAATAGACATAGTGCTTTGAACAGATAGTGTGCTTCTGCAATCTTGGTCTTCAAATTATTATCCTTAGTATTGAATTTGACGTGGAACACTATGGCAGAGAACAGCAGAATAATTCCATAGACTTCATTTAGAAATCTTACATTCAAAACATTGATTCTGTCTACTCTGATGAAACAGTTCTCTTTATTATCGCATGTAAAAATGGAAGCAATCGAGTGTTGGGCCATCTTTCCTCAAGTTTCTGGGTCAGTCTGGCTTACTGTGGTTCAAGACTGTGTTTCTGGTCCCAGGCCACTAGAGCAGTACTTTCTGTTACCACAAGCCTGGGGAACTCAGAGCGCTTGTTACACATGGAGCTAGAAACTTGAACTACTGCTGGGGCCTGATAGGTGAACGCAAGGCAGAGTCCTCTCCAGCCACGTTGGCCTATCTCTGAACAGTTCATCTGCCAAAATGTGGAGTTCCCAGGCCAGCGCTGTGGTGCAGCGGGTTAAAGCCCGAACCTGCAGCACCAGCATCCTGTATGGGCACTGGGTTCAGTCCTGGCTGCTCCACTTTTGATCCAGCTCTTTGCTGTGGCCTGGGAAAGCAGTAGAAGATGGCTCAAGTGCTTGGGACCTGCATCCGCCTGGGAGACCTGGAAGAAGCTCCTGGCTCCTGGCTTCGGATAAGTTCAGCTCTGGCCTCTGCGGTCATTTGGGGAGTGAACCAGTGGAATGGAAGACCTCTCTCTCTTCCTCCCTGGCTCTACCTCTCTTTGTAACTCTTTGAAAAAAAAAATCTGGAGTTCCTCCCGAAAGTAATAAGGCTGAACTTTAAAAGGAAAGAATTAATTAAGTGTTGCTGAGCACTCAGCTAGATGTGAAAGATAATTGCATTTTAATGCAGATGCCAACTTTCCATAAGGGAAGGGTATTAAGGATCTTAATGGAGGGTGGAGATTTCTGCTGTTGGTCACAGAGTATACTCTGGCCTTAGAAACATAAAGCAAAACTTTAGCAATCGATTTAAGATCAATAACTACCTTTTATAGACATTGAGCTAAAAAATTTAAAGATTTTCCTCTTCTTTAGTACTCCAAAACTGGCTCAAGCAAATAAGCCATCATTTTAAAGAACTATCTTGTAGTCTTTTGTTACATTTAAGTTTGCAGAGGTGCAGCTTAATTTGTAGAGTCTTCTTCAAAGAAGACAGTGTTAGGAATCTTGGTGCTTTGATGTAACCCACTGTAGGAACTTCTCCATCTCTCCTACTTAGACTATGTTTCAGTCTCTGCTTAAATATTACCTTGGAAAGAAGAATTTGTTAGGAGAAAAAACAGGTTTCGGATTCCTCCAGGTCAGCATTCAAATCCCAGTTTTGCCATGTAGAATCTGACAACTAAGTAACTCAGCTCTTTGGTCTCAGGTGTCTTTTCTGTAAAACTGGAGTGAATGCGCTAATGTAAAAAGCGTCTGGGAGATGGTGTACCTTCAGCCCTTCTTCCTAAGTCATTCCACTAATTACAAAAGGCACGACTTAGAGAGATTTCATTGTGGAAAAGTCTTCCCAGAAAATTTTGATTCACATTCTTGAAGTTTCTTCCAAAATATGCTAATCTGTCCATTTCTTCATTTGTCCATTCATTAATTCATGTAACAAAAATCCTTTGGGCTTAAGACAGAAGAAATTGTGCTTGGACACAGAGAATTCAATTCCTTGTTGAGGTCAGAATCAGAGAGAGACATAGCAACAAACTCACTGTTACACAGTTCTGCAAGAGCTATGATAAAGGTGTGAAGGGTGGTGACCATGGAATGTCCTGGGAGCACAGAACAGTGATGAACTCCTCTAGGTCAGTCTGCAAATCTGCTTAGGAAAGTGAAGCCTCCCTGTAGGATTCCTGAAGGGTAATTTTGCATATTTATCTTCTTTTTTTTTTTTTTTTTTTTTTTTTTTTGACAGGCAGAGTGGACAGTGAGAGAGAGAGACAGAGAGAAAGGTCTTCCTTTTGCCGTTGGTTCACCCTCCAATGGCCACCGCGGCAGTGCGCCAGCACACCGTGCTGATCCAAAGGCGGGAGCCAGGTACTTATCCTGGTCTCCCATGGGGTGCAGGGCCCAAGCACTTGGGCCATCCTCCACTGCACTCCCTGGCCACAGCAGAGAGCTGGCCTGGAAGAGGGGCAACCGGGACAGAATCCGGCGCCCCGACCAGGACTAGAACCAGGTGTGCCGGCGCCACAAGGCGGAGGATTAGCCTAGTGAGCCGCGGTGCCGGCCCGCATATTTATCTTCTAAAGTGTTCAACTCTATATCCCTGTATTTAAAAAAAATTATTCCTCTTCATTAAGACCTTCCTCTAGGAGCCTCTACAGCTGTCTTACAGCCTGAACCTCTAGATTATGAAATCACTTTGGGCAGACATCTGGGTCACTTGTCACCTGGTGCCTGAGTCCCTGTTCTTGCATATTTGCTGAAAACTGAGTTGTAAGCTTTGACACCTGAAGAACAGATTTTGAGCAAGATAGTACACAAATAAAACCATTTATGCTCTTGGGCACAAAATGTGCTTGAAATAATCACGCACACACTGAAGCACAGAGTGAAGAGAAAGCTGGAATGAGTCAGACCCTTTTGTCAAGAGTCAGTGCCATTTTCCCTCAAATAAACAAAAAGAGTAACAAACATGGCTTCAAAAAATTCTACCCAGCAGTTGTTTTTCTGTTCATTTATTTACATACAGGTAACGAATATATACATATATATATGTATATATGTATATATATGTATGTATATATATATACAGTTTTAAGAACATAATGATGCTCCCCATCATATACTCCTTCACCCCACCTACCCTCTTCCTCCAGCATTCTTTTCTTAAAAAAATTTACTTATTTGAGCGGTAGAGCCACAGACAGAGAGAGGAAGAGGCAGATAGAAAGGTGTTCTATCACTGGGTCACTTCCCAAATGGCCACAATGGCTGGAGCTGAGCCAATCCAAAGCCAGGAGCCAGGAGCTTCTTCTGAGTCTCTCACATGGGTGCAGGTGCCCAAGCATTTGGGCCATCTTCCACTGTTTTCCTAGGCCATAGTCAGAGAGCTGGATCGGAAGTGAAGCCGCCAGGACACGAACCAGTACCCATATGGGAGCCAGCACCATAGTCAGAGGCTTGGCCTACTATCCCACAGCGCTGGGCCCAGAAGTTCATGTTCTCAACAATCTGTAGTTAATAGGCCATGTTAGTTTGCTTCACTCAGACCCAATCTATCTCACTGTATTTTCCTGAAAAAAATTCTTGGAAATCTTATATATATATATACACACACACACACACACACACACATATATATATTTACATATAAACAGGGGCAACATAGACTAGAGAGAAATCCCAGGTCAGCATTCTCAAAGACTTTAGGTGACATTTATGACTAACAATTTCCAGGATCTTTGGGGAAAAAAACAAGTGAGCTATAATTTTCCATGTTTTCAATCAAACAGTGTTAGATCAGTTTTCTAAGCCGGCCCTCCCAATCAGAAACAGAACTCCCCATTTTTATTGCTTCAGTTTTGTCTTGGGACAAAGGGATATTCTTTGAGAACTTTTTTATTCATTGAATCATTTATTTATTCATTCTCCCATCAATCCATCCCATCTGAATCTTGTCACTGTGGAAAAGAATGATTGGCTCAAGAATTTCATCTCTCTACGGTCCCTGTCTCAATAGTGATCATAGCTGATGTCACTCTGTAAGGACTTAAATGGGGGTGGTGGAATGACAGACACTTTATTTCCTCCCAGGTACTGGGTCTGCCACCATGTGCAAGAATTCTAAGGCAATGGCCTCATATGTTTAATGAAAGGCTAGAAGTTCAAACGCCACCTGCAGGTTGTTCAGCTCACTGCATAACTGAACTGCAGCCAAGTGTGAGAAATAGGGCAGCTTTGACTCAATTGAACTAGAATATTAAAGCCCACATAAAGGCCATCAAATTGGAAGGGGAAAGTATACTTCAAAGGAGAGGAAACATAGAAGTTGTACATGACCTGTAAGTCTTGCATCAATAAACTCTGTCCCTAAAGATATCACCTCCCGTAACAACCAGATTGTCAGATGCAATTGTCTTCACCTAATATATTATTTTATAGCAGATGGTGGAAGAAAGTCATAACAATTTATTAACATAAAACTCAGGGAGATACAGTGACTTTCCCAAGCCACAGAGCTAATAAATGGCAAAATCAGGTTTAGGGTAGAGGAATGTTTAACATTACAGAAAGATACCCAGGGAAATTCTGTATTTATCATACATAAAATGAGCATAGCCACAACTATACATTTATCCTATGCAAGCCACATAAGCAGGAGAAACACTGCAGAGTTTTGTAAGTTAAAGCAATGAAGTTCACAATAAGGATTCATTTCAACAAATATATATTGGAAAATTACTATGGGCAAAGCAATGTGGAAAAACCAAATAAGAAAATCGATGGGACTCCTGTCCTCAAAGAGCTTCCTCCCTGTGGGAAGGATGGATGCCTCCCCCCCACACACACACACAAAAATCTAGCACATGCATGTAAAACACAAATGACACACCTCAAATAAAAAGCCTGATAATACATGGAGAATGAAATTGCCCTGATAGCCTCACAATGCTGCAGTGTATTGCACATGCATGCACACTTCCATGGGATACATTTCTGCTTATTTATTTGCTGACATTCCATTCCACCAGAATGTAAATTCAGCGAAAGGCAGCACTATTTTGCCAATGCTGTGTGACTGGCACTCAGGTGGTCCCCAAGACATTCTTGTTAGGTGAATGAACAAATCAACCTACAGAGAACTGAAAGGATTGCATGGATGGTAGCCACCAATGCCAGCAACCTGGATTTCATGTTGTATGTTTCCTTTTAAATCTCTTCTGTTGGGGCTGGCGCTGTGGTGCAGTGGGTTAAAACCTGGACCACAGTGCCAGCATCCCATATGGGTGTGGGTTTGAATCCCAGCTGCTCCACTTCTAATCCAGCTCCTTGCTAATACACCTGGGAAAGCAGCAGAGGATGGCCCATATCCTTGGGCCCCTGAACCCATGTGGGAGACCAGGAAGAAGTACCTGGCTCCTGGCTTCTGGCTTCTGTCTTCAAATGGGCTTAGCTCCGGCCATTGCAGCCATTTGGGGAGTGAAGCAGTAGATGGAAGACCTCTGTCTCTACCTATCTTTGTAACTCTTTCTTTCAAATAAATAAAATAAATCTTTAAAAACAAAAATCTCTTCTGTTTGGGTAACTTCCTTCTTTGATATTTATTCCTCTATTGGCTTTGGGATATTCTTTGGAGTATCTAGTTTGGGACTTTCCAATCATTTTTACAAGCAAATTAGTTTGCCACAACTCATTAAGCATATCAACAAGCAATGGACATATTCACAGTTTCCAGTTGTTTAGGAAGGCAAGCGGAGAAGATGTAGTGAGCTAGACTGAATGAAATAGCTATACTGGCTACAAAGGACCGATAATTCAAGAGAAATAGAGGGAAATTTGGGGAATAAATGAATAATAATTACTCTTGATTACCATTTGAATGACTTCACAGTTGCTCTTCAAGATTATTATGAATTCCATTGATTTTCTCTTTGTTCTTTCTGTTTTGCTGTTTTATATGCCATTATCTTAGCTATTACAGAGAGTGAGATAGAACACCACTCAGCACCTTAATCTTTCCCAGTGTAAGTGTCTTTACACTGCAAGTGGTTCTGTTTCTCTCAAAATAGAGAAAGATAATTTAGTTTTTGAGAAGTTGCAAATAGAATTTTTATTTCATTTATAAATGTCCATTTTAAAGATATAATAGACTGTATACTTTGCTCAAGCTTTGAAAAATATTTTAATGTTATTTATGTTGACAACATTATTCACTTCATTTGAGGTACAGATGAAATTTAGAGAATCAACCTGTTTGTATTTTGGAGAGATTTATTGCTAAAATTGTATTCAGTTTTGGCATCTATGTTTGAGAGCAGACTGTAGCTCAATCTACTCTTAATTTTGATCAAATATAAGCATTTTACAGAGCTTTGCAACTCTTTGTCCTCATTAGTTACAGCATCAGATTAGTTAAGTAGATTCTTTCATGTATTTGTTTTGAAGACAACACTGCAATTCACTTGTATTTTACTACATTTGGATACTTAAGATTATTGTAGGACAAGTTATGCCCTAAACCCTGAGCATTGCTGGTTCTTTTCTGAGTATCTGTTTCTATTCCTGTGGTTGCTGGTTGCATTGGGAAAAAACAGGTGTTGTAATAGGAACCCTATGTCTCCTTTTGTTCCTGAAACCTGTGTCTCCTTTTGTACCTGTTCTTCGTAGCCTGGTCTTACCAGCGAGGGTCAGTTTCATTGACGTCCCTCATCAGAGTCCACAAAACGTGCATGTAAAGATGTAGGAGAAGAGTCTGCTCCACTTCTCCTAGGGACAGTCAGGCATCTAGGAATTTGCATTCTTAGATAAACTGCCTAGGTGTTGGCTTTGCATGTGAAAGTTTGAGGCCACTGTCATTCTGGCTGTCGTTATTCTGTTCCTGTAACAGCCAAAATAATCTCAAAATCCAACTATGACAATTACTTGTCTGATTCATTCTATTCTATACTCTTATAAAATCTAGTGCCTTTTTTCAAGATCTTTACAAAACAAGTTAAGTACACTTACTTTGCTATTTGCGTGGTTACTTGGTTAATGCCTGCCTCCTCTATTCTATCATAGCCAAGACTAAGTCTGCTTGCACCCACTGTAATGGTCAGACTAACAGACACCCATTTTATGGAAGATGAACATCACTGCACATGTTGGCTTCTGCTCTTACAAGATTGGTGGACTATGATTAAGAGCCAGATCTATGAGTGAGTTCTTGTAAGGCAAAGAAATAATACATGCTTGACAATAATGCAAAAGTATAAATGAACAGAAACAGAGCACTTGTTCTCTATAACGTAACGTGTTAATGGATTTTCATAGTGAGAGCCAGAGTTAGCTTTTTATTTTTTTTAAGATTTTTATTTATTTATTTGACAAGTAGAATTACAGACAGTGAGAGAGAGAGAGAGAGAAAGATCTTCCTTCCATTGGTTCACTCCCCAAATGGCCGCAACAGCCAGAGCTACACTGATCTGAAGCCAGGAGCCAGGTGCTTCTTCCTGGTCTCCCACGCAGGTGCAGGGCCCAAGCACTTGGGCCATCCTCCACTGCCTTCTCAAGCCACAGCAGAGAGCTGTACTGGAAAAGGAGCAACCAGGACTAGAACCAGAGCCCATATGGGATGCCGACACTGCAGGCGGAGGATTAACCTAGTGCACCACAGTGCCGGCCCCTACAGTCAGCTTTTTAGCTAATTATTCTTTCAACTCCTGAATTTCACTTTTTCTCAAAACTCTTATGTTGTACCACTGTGTATTCTCATGCACATAGAGAAATCACAACTCCGCAAGGCGAGTCTGCGTCTTCAGTGTGCAATGGCACCAGGCCACTGCAGTCTCAGTGCCCTCAGCTTGCACAATACGTGGGTCAGCTCAGTGGGTGGGCATAGGACCACAAATAACAAAGTGTATAAAGAGATCATTTTCCAGTCTGTGCCGCTAGCTACTGATATAATTCCAAGCAGATATTTATGACTCTCCCTAAGTCTCAATTTCATCAGATATTAAATGCAATAAAATCATTTGTCTCATGGGGTTGTTAGGACATTGTAATGTATCTTAGTAAAATTCCAAGCAATTGTTTAGTAAGTGTTGCTTTTACAGTAGTAATCTTGTGGTTATAGAAGTTGAAAGCAGCAGCTAGCTTCAGACAGTCTGTGAGAACATCCCAAAAGGGGAGATCATTATCAGAAAGATGTTAAAAAATATTTTTTGCCACCATGAAATAATAATTCTGTTCTCAAAAAAATTCTATCCCTTTTATTTGGCCAAAATTCCATATTACAGCTTTCATGGTTTTTCTGCTTGTATTTTAATTCACAAAGTTATCATTGACATTAGCTTTTGCTTTATTACAGTTGAGTGCACTACAGCCCTTACGATAGTGTGGGTAAATGCTGAACACCTGTATCAGTATCAGAATTAGCTGGAGTATCTCCAGTGAATCTCAAAGCCACCCTAAGTTAAATAGTACTAGGTTGTCTCAAGGAGGAAAAGCTTTTAAGATGAATTTGCAATTCTAATCTTGTGGAAGAAGTATATAAAACTGTGGTAGCTGGCCAGCGCCGTGGCTCAATAGGCTAATCCTCTGCCTGTGGCGCCAGCACCTCGGGTTCTAGTCTGGTCGGGGCGCTGGATTCTGTCCTGGTCACTCCTCTTCCTGTCCAGCTCCCTACTGTGGCCAGGGAGTGCAGTGGAGGATGACCCAAGTGCTTGGGCCCTGCACCCCATGGGAGACCAGGAGAAGCATCTGGCTCCTGCCATCGGATCAGCACGGTGCGCCAGCCGCAGCGGCCATTGTGGGGCGAACCAATGGAAAAGGAAGACCTTTCTCACTGTCCACTCTGCCTGTCAAAAACAAAAACAAAAACAAAAAAAACTGTGGTAGGAATTTGTTCTGTTGCCTACCTTAAAATTCCTGTCTGACATCTTTAAATGGCCCATATTTCTTCTTAATGATTTCAGCCTACAGGTTGCCTTTGAAGCGATGTGTAAGAAACTAAGGTGAGAAAATGAAGGCTTAAACTCAAAGGAACTATTGGAAGAGTTTAGAAGACACAAACACATGTGCCTGAAGATGAAATTTCTGATTCAAAATTTTGCCATGTCAGCAACAAAAATCTAAATAAAAACGTAACTTAGTCCAACAAGTTTTGAAAGAGACCAGACAAAATGATTCATACCCATCCAAGATCCTGTCCTGTACTGGAATGGTCTCTTTTGTTACTTACCCATATAGAAAGACTTCAAAACCCCAACCCATATAAGACCTAACTGCTGCTCACTTTTCTCTTTTTTTTGTATCAGAATAACAGACTAAGAAAATATGCCTTTGAACTGAAAATGAACGACCTGACCTATTTTGTGCTGGCAGCGGAGACAGAGTCAGATATGGATGAATGGATCTACACTCTCAACCGCATCCTGCAGATCAGTCCCGAGGGATCCCTTCAGGGGAGGAGGAGCACAGAGCTCACGGAGCTGGGGCTGGGTGAGAGCTCATGAAACCATCCACCTTCGTTTGCCACGCGTGACGTGTGCCTTTGGTGCATTTATGCTGTTAGTCATGTGGTAGCTGTCAGGTCTGGTTCCCCCATCCCTGAGTTATTTGCTGTAAAAAGTCACCTCTGGATCTCTGCTTGCCTGAGGAGTCATGGTCAACACACAAGCGTACAATGTAGAATAGAATGGGAGTGACTTGAGGCTGTTACTCAGGAAGCGATGTTTCGAGTTATTTGTCAGCAACATCAAAAGTGGACCAGTGACTGATGGGTTGTTACCTTGCAGGGGGTATTTTGTGTGTGTGTGTTTTTGTCTTGTATTACATTAAATTAATGAAACTTGTACTATGCAAGAGTTTATACATATTAATTTTAGTTAAAAGACATCTTTCATTTGTACCTTTTTGAACATACGATAGGCACATATGTAAAAGTTAAAAAATTATGTATGGTAATAGAAGTTGTTATAAGATAAAGAGTTTCCTCTATATAGCCATAATTCTCTTATAAGACTCTAATCAATTCTAGGCAAAGAGAAGGAACAAGAGAAAGGGAAAAAAATGCGTGAAGGAGGGGTCCACATTGTTTATAGATATGTAGAAGGCAATTCTACCAACTGCAGAGTCAGTCACTACTTCCCCCCAAAATATCTCAAGACATTTTGCATGGCTCCATGTTATGTTATAACCAAAGCATCTTTAAATCCTAGTTGTCTAAGTATCACATACTATAAAACAAAGGAGTTATGGAATAATGAAGGAAAAAAATTGATTTTAACTCAACTATTGTATGTTATAATAGGTGTTTTACAATCATTTATTTGTTCAGTTAACGATAACCAACTAGAATATTCATGCTTTTAGTATCTTACAGAGTTTCAGTAACTAAAGTCAGATGGTATATTCTAAATTGATGGCCTGAGAAGAATTATCAAAAATAATATACATATTTAAGAATACTTTAGTGTACATTGTTGAAGTCAATGAAAACAACCCCAGGTATCAGCACTGTGTTGTGGACCCGAAGTTCTTATTGGCACAGGATGGTATCATGGCAGGATTTCAGAAATGATCATTGGCAGGTCTGATTTCCAGGCCTTAATTGCCCACCAATGTGGACTCCAGGAATCAGGACAAAAGAAAGTCTTGGGCTCACCAGTATCCATCTTACATCTTGAGTCTAACCCAGTCTTCTATGTCACAGGGTAGAAAAGTGATCAAGTCAGGCATATAATCTAATAACCTGTCTTGCCCTGTCTTTTCAAGATTCACTGGATAATTCTGTGACTTGTGAATGCACGCAGGAAGAAATGGATTCTTCAGAGAACAACCTCCACCCAGACTTTGCAAAAGTAATACAGTTGACATTGGGCTACACAAATAAACTTGAATGACGCATGAGTTACTTTCATGGGAAAGACAGAAATCTTTTCCAACAAGATTTAGACCAAGATGCTAGTTCAGAACTTCCCATGAACCTGTGTGTTTTATTTATACAAATAGTACTCAAAAAATAAAAGCATGTTTTTACAAGATTTGCCAAGTATAAATGGATGACATTACAATTGTAAGATAATATTAAGAGGCTACTTCTTGGCCATACAGGTGTAGCTGGGCTGAATCTGCATATTTAGATACCAAAGCATAAAACTCTTTTCTCTTTAGTACCTCACAGAAACTGAAGAAACAGTTAAAACAACTAGAAACATGGAGAGGCTAAATCTGTTCTCCCTGGATCCAGATATCGATGTAAGTCACAGTTCCTTCTCCGTGGATCTGAACTTGATCCGTTCAGCTGGAGATCATCATTTAAAATTTCTTTTTCGTGGTATGCATTTAGTGACTGGAACTTTCAATTTCTTTTTTTAGACCTTGAAACTTCAAAAGAAGGACCTTTTAGAAGCTGATTTGGGGATCAAACCCTTTGAAGAAAAGGCTGCCAAGAGAATCATGATCATTTGTAGAGCTCTCACCTTAAATCTTCAGGGGTGTGTTACAGAGAATGAAAATGATCCAGTAACGAATGTGAGTTTCTCTTCTTTCCCATCATATATCAATCGGCCAAACTTGCAAGCCTGGGTCAAAATCTTTTCAACGCCTGCTGATTCCAGACACTGGTTTCATACCACGTAGTGTGCTGGGGAGTAGGATTCACAGCGTGTTTCCACCTTAGAAAAGCATGCCAAATTCGATGTTCAGTTGTCCAAGCAGTGCCGTGATATTTTCCTTTTAACTTAAAGGAAGCTTCACGGGGCTTGGATTCTAGGACTCTTCCCACAAAATGAGCTCAGTGGTTCAGAGTTTCTTTCTTTCCTCCTTTCTTTTTTCTTTCTTTCTTTCTTTTTTTACAGTTTTTGTTTTATTTATTTGAAAGAGTTACAGAGAGAGAGGGAAGGAGAGAGAGAGGGAGAGGGAGAGGGAGAGGGAGAGGGAGAGGGAGAGGGAGAGGGAGAGGGAGAGGGAGAGGGAGAGGGAGAGGATCATCCGTCCTCTGGTTTACTCCCTAGATGGCCAGACTGAAGCCAGGATTCGGGAGCTTCCAGTTTGTGTCCTCTTGGTGGAATTCTAGATGACTTCTAAAACAGAATTTTTCTCTTAATATGGTTTTGTTTATATTCATATATCTTAGAGAAAATCGAAGTTAACAAATCAGCCCTGTGATTTCACAGCTATTATTATTTAGGGCAAGGATAAAGAATGAATGGGGGCCGGCGGCCTGGCTCACTTGGCTAATCCTCCACCTGCGGCACCGGCATACCGGGTTCTAGTCCCGGTCAGGGCGCCGGATTCTGTCCCGGTTGCCCCTCTTCCAGTCCAGCTCTCTGCTTTGGCCTGGGAAGGCAGTGGAGGATGGCCCAAGTGCTTGGGCCCTGCACCTGCATGGGAGACCAGGAGGAAGCACCTGGCTCCTGGCTTCAGATCAGCACAGCGCCTGCCGTAGCGGCCATTTGGGGGGTGAACCAACGAAAAAGGAAGACCTTTCTCTCTGTCTGTCTCTCTCTCTCTCTCTCACTGTCTAACTCTGCCTGTCAAAAAAAAAAAAAAAAAAAAGAATGAATGGGCAAAATAATATTAGATAAACAGGAAATAAATCATTGTACACAAAGCATTGGGAATGGCGGAAATTATCAAAGTGCCCCACGGATGCCCTGAAACACCACCGAGCTCATTCAATATGCGTGGGTTTTCCTTTCTGCTAAATGAGCTTTCTTGAGAATTTCCTCTTAGGACTCCAGGGGACAATTCTACTTTGGTTTGGAAGGGGACATTTTATAACATAAGCATAATTAAATATTGAACTGTAAAGAAGAAAATAAAATCACTCACAGCAGCAGATGTTTGGTGCAGCGATTAAGTCACCGCTTGGGACACCCCCTTTCCATACCAGAGTGCCTTAGTTCCTCGGCTTCCCTCTATGTTCCTGTTAATGCACACTCTGGGAGACAGCAGGTGGTGGCTCAAGGACTAGGTCCCTTCCACAGGCAAGGGGTATCAGCCTGGCCCAACCCCTAGCTGTGGGAGGCCTTAGGGAACTGAGCCAGCAGCATACGGAAAATCTCTCTGACTCTCTCTCTGCCTCTGAAAGAAGTGAAAGTAAATAAAAAACAAACAAACAAAAAAACACTGTTAGAAAAAAATCCCGTTAGAAAATCTTTGTCTTAAAAAATAAAAAATCACTGAAACCCTACCATCACTATAATTCATAGTTAATATTTTAGTGTATGTCCGCTCATTCTTTAATTTCTAATGTGCCATCCCTCAATTGTCATCTTCTCCTCAAAGAAAGCTCTTTTCTAGGTCCCCAATACAAGCCACATTTTCTGTAGAAGGTGAGAACAATACCCAGTCTACATTGTAAACTAGGCCTGCACCATCTCATGCCTTTCTCCGTGAAACCAGCCTTCCTGCTTGTGACAGAGAGTGGGCCACTGAAAGGATTGTCTTTTTCTTTTTCTTTTCTTTTCTTTTTTTCTCTTTTAAATTTATTTGAAAGGCAGAGTTACAGAGAAAGACGGGGAGAGATATCTTCCATCCACTGGCTCACTCCCCAAAATGGCCACAGAAGCCAGGCCTGGGCCTGTCTGAAGCTGGGAGACAGGAGGTTCTTCCAGGTCTCCCAAGTGGGTACAGGGACCCAAGCACATGGACCATATTCAGCTGATTTCCCTGGCACAGTAGCAAAAAGCTGGATGAGAAGTGGAGCAGCCAGGACTCAAACCAGCATCCACATGGGATGCTGGCATCACTAGCAGTGGCTTAACCCACTAAACCACAGTGCCAGCCAAGACTGCCTTTTTCACAAGACTGTTAACACCTACCAACCTCCTATTTCTGGCACCTCCATGATTCTCTTTGAGCCTCCTACCCTGTGTAAGACTAGGATAAAATTCTTGCTGTGAACATGTGCTTTAAAGAAGACAATCAAGTGAGCCATGAAGCTCTTGGATCTGATTGCCTGTCTGCAACTGATAGTTGTGCCAAACTGGGCAGGTGACTTACCCTCCAGCTCCTCTCCTTAAATGGATATAATCACAGAAGCTACTCAAGTGGTCATTGTGTAGATGAAATGAGGTCATATATAGAAAGTACTTAATGCTTAGTTCAAAGTAAGAATTCACTAAATGTTTAGTTACCTAAATATTGGGCAATGGCTTTGAAATTTGTAGAAACTATGTATGCAAGATATTAATATTTTCAATATTGCAGGTGAAATTTTTGTGGATAAGTTAGCTGAAATTGAAATGTGTCACTGAAAAGAATTCCCCCCCCCCCAAAAGGTTTCCTCATACTTTTAAAGCTTAATCTGGGCCAGCGCCGCGGCTCACTAGGCTAATCCTCCGCCTTGCGGCGCCGGCACACCGGGTTCTAGTCCTGGTCGGGACGCCGGATTCTGTCCCGGTTGCCCCTCTTCCAGGCCAGCTCTCTGCTGTGGCCAGGGAGTGCAGTGGAGGTTGGCCCAAGTGCTTGGGCCCTGCACCCCATGGGAGCCCATGGGAGACCAGGATAAGTACCTGGCTCCTGCCATCAGATCAGCGCGGTGCGCCGGCCGCAGCGCGCCAGCCGCAGTGGCCATTGGAGGGTGAACCAACGGCAAAGGAAGACCTTTCTCTCTGTCTCTCTCTCTCACTGTCCACTCTGCCTGTCAAAAAAAAAAAAAAAAAGCTTAATGTACATTAAGTATGAGTAAAAATGATATTAGTTACAGTTATGTTCATTCTCTAATAAATATTTTCTCAGTGTATCTATGAACCAGACATTCTAAAAACTGAAAAAAAAAAAAACAGTATTAAAAAAGCAAAGTTTCTGGTCTCTTGGAGATAACTTTCTCTTTGCAAAAGGCAGAGTAAACAAGAAAACAAACAAGATAACTGCACACTGTGCATAATTCTTTGCAGACCATGATCACCGAGAGATGGGATGCTGAGACACTGAGGACAGCACGCTTTTGTCAGGATGGCCGTGGGTGGTCTCTCTGAGAAGGTGACATTTGAGCCCAAAGGCTGAGGAGGATAGAAAGGGCAGGCGGGAACTTTCTAGGCAGAAGAAAAAAGTGCTAATACCTGAAGACAAGTAGGTCTTGGGAAACTCTAGAAAGTGAAAGGAGGGAGGAGGGGAATGGTAGGCAAGGGTGAAGCAAGAGAAACAGTAATGGAATGATTAGCAAGGACAAGTGGCCATTCTTTCCAGTGCCAGTGGATATGACTCCTTCCTCATGGATTCTTTTGTGTTTAGACCCCTGTTCAAAAGATAAATGTTTGCATTTGGGCCAGTCTTTCCAGACAAGTGCAGACCCCAGTTCGGAGACTGACTTTCCTGTGCTCTTTTTCATTTCTGCCAGGCCAAGGGGTGGAATTTATTTTGAATGTTTTCTAAGTGTTCATTGTGTTTATTTTATTCCACAGTTGATGCAATTTTTTTAAAAAATTGGGAAATTATGTGTTAAAAGTAATTTCATTTTTCTTATAAGCAATAATATAAGGGATAAATAAAAAGCCTTTATTTAAAGGCAGTGTTTTAAAACATTATTTGCCTATTTACTCTGTGTCATTGTATTTACACCAGTTGCTCTTAATTCAGTGAGCATATTTTAAATTAATTGAAATATTTCTCCAAGATGCTGACATGCCATCCCCTGCCAATGAATGAGCTTCCAGAGACTCCCTGGAAAAACTTTTTCATGATGTGGAAACAATACTTGACAGCTTGTAATTTTTTAGTCATTAAATTGAAAACCAAATCCAAGTTGATGGTTTGATAGTTCTTTGAAGATAGGAACTGATTCCATAAATCTGAATGCATAGTGCTGTTTTTCAGAACTACATTTAAAATTTTTGCTGAATTTTTATTAAGAAGAGTACATAATTCGAAACATGAGAAGCCTGTGACTTAATTTGTTAGATTTTGAATGTTCCCTGTTAAAAAAATCTTTATTGAAAAGCCAGTCATATGAAAAGTAAGATTTGACATTTATGTTGAAAAGATGGATTGGAAGAAATAAATGAATCACCAAATGAGCTTTAATTGCTGATGGATTTTCAAAGTAGGTAATTTATTCATATTCACTAAGCAGAAATGAAAATGAAATTGCAACAATTCAGGAAAAATAATAAGGATTTTTTTCACTTTGACTTTTAATGTGTTTTGAGTTTCTACCTGGATTAATTTCCCATAATTTTTATATTTTTTAACTCTTAGCAGACTACTAAGTGCAAGGTGTCTGGCGCATAACAAATTTTCCCAGGCAGACGAATCAATTAATTCACAGGCTTTTATTGGGGTTCCGCTCCCGAGCGAGGTTCCACGGCCTCAACAGAGCAACAGAGCGGGGGCCGGGGAAGTCACGTGTCAGAGATTGGGAGAGCTCCTTTTATAGATTCAGGGCATGGGGGTTAAAGGTTGAGGCGGGTCTGATCCTCATTGGTTGACCTTTAGGCACCCGCAGGGACCTTGACAATGACTTTCCTTCCCTGGAAGTACAGGTAGGGACTTTCCATTCCCACAAGTATAGGCCTTCCCTCCTTGCAGATCCCAAAGCTACCACTAAGTATTTCTAACTGAATTAAATAGGTAACATATAAATCTTTTAGATTCAAATTGCTTTATTTCTAAAAAAATAATAAAGAATTTTGTTGTACATGCAGGATTCTAATAGTAAGGGACCTGACAAGTATTAATACTCAGGAACTGAACTAGTACTCCTGTTATACACCGAAAACATATGGTACATTTCAAAGACGAGATACCCATTAAGTGTTCAACAAGATTCTTAGCAAAAAAAAAAAAAAAAAAAGTGAGTGAAAGCTCAAAACTTGCTAGTTATTCTTTTTTTTTTTTTTTTTTTTTTTTTTTTTTTTTTTTTTTTTTGACAGAGTGGACAGTGAGAGAGAGAGACAGAGAGAAAGGTGTTCCTTTGCTGTTGGTTCACCCTCCAATGGCCGCCGCAGCTGGCGCGCTGCGGCCGGCGCACCGCGCTGATCCGATGGCAGGAGCCAAGTACTTCTCCTGGTCTCCCATGGGGTGCAGGGCCCAAGTACTCGGGCCATCCTCCACTGCACTCCCTGGCCACAGCAGAGAGCTGGCCTGGAAGAGGGGCAACCGGGACAGAATCCGGCGTCCCGACCAGGACTAGAACCCGGTGTGCCGGCGCCGCAAGGCGGAGGATTAGCCTAGTGAGCCATGGCGCCAGCCCGCTAGTTATTCTTGTTATTCTATCCAACCATGATAAGAACTGAGAGTTAGACTAGTGAAGTACATCTCAGGCTGTTCTAGAGTCTTCTAGGATTCTCTTATAGATTCCCAGTCGCCAAGGTGGCAGGTATTTTTTGAGTGTAGTGGGAAAAGCCAGAATTTCTAAGGCCAAACCATGCATTTAGTGCAACCTATGGAGAGCAGTTAGCAGGGAAACTAGAACGGAAACTGCAGTGAGGTACAGTCCTGAGATTGGAGGCATCCGCTGGGGGAAAGGACTCTGGGTGCTTCTCACTGCATCAAGAGGGGCTTGCTTTTTGCAGCTGTGTTATCTATTGCCTTGTGAAAATATGTACTGAAATAGCTCTTGCAAATTTTATATTAGAAATTATGCATCCTTCCTTTTTCATGCAGATTGAGCCTTTTTTTGTGAGCATGGCACTTCATGACCTCAGAGACAACAGGAAGATTTCTGCAGATTTCCATGTGGATCTCAACCACGCCGCCGTCAGGCAGATGCTCCCGGGGGCTCCTGTGGCTTTGGAAAACGGCAACGTCGACACGGTCACTCCAAGACGATCAGAGGAGCCTCGTGTCAAAGGATTTCCAGAGGAATGGCTGAAGTTTCCAAAGCAGGTTGCACTTTGTTCACTTGTACTTGTGATAGGATGAAAAATCCCTCTCATTGTTCTTCCCGGTAGACCACACACAATGGGCAATTGCCCAAGTATTTCCCTTACAGCCATCCTTTGAAAAAGTGGCATTTTATTTCCTTTTAAAAAATGGCATTTTTGTAAATGTCTTCAACGTCTGGTCTGATAAGCTGCCTTCTTTGTACTTAGGCTATATTTTCTGTAAGCAATCCACATTCTGAAATTGTTCTGGTGGCCAAAATTGAGAAAGTCCTGATGGGAAGCATTGCAAGTGGTGCTGAACCCTATATTAAGAATGCAGACTCCAACAAGGTAATACAGAATCTTTCTGATAAATAATTTAATTGCTTTTGAGAAATATCGTCAAATAAAAATAAAGGAATAAAGTCACATTGCCTCACTGAATTATCAAGTTCAATAAATATAACTCTTCATATATTCTCATATTATGAAATGAACTTATACCAGAAGATATTTAAAGTATATAATTTTTACTTATTTTTAAATATTTATTTGAAAGGCAGAGTTAGAGAGTGAGATCTTCCATCCTCTGGTTCACTCCCCAGATGGCCACAATGGACAGGGCTGGGCCAGGCCGAGGCTAAGAACTTTATCAAGGTCTCCGGCATGGTGTCAGGGACCCAAGCATTTCGGCCCTCTTCTGCTGCTTTTCCCAGGCCATTAGCAGGGAGCTGGATGGGAAGCAGAGCATGTGGGACTCGAAATGGAACCCAAATGGGATGCCAGCTTCGCAGGCAGCAGCCTTAACCACTAGGCCGTAACACTGGCCCCTATTGTTTACTTACTGCTTTTTATTACAGCAAATTCTGACTTCTGAGAATATTTGGTGGAAATAAATTTAAATATGAATAAATTTTAACCATAAGAATCAAGGCATTAACAGTCATGAAAACTTAGAAATAATCTGAGTAAACGCAAGTGAGTAAAGTTTACTAAGACAACAATAATCCTCATGTTAAACTATTTGAAAAAGTAAGATAGTTGTATAACACACTGTAGTAGCAGCTACATGGTCAAAGAGGAAAGGGAATACTGTAAGTCTTTAGAATGATATACTATTGGAAATGATTTTACATTCTCATTTCTATTACCATATATTCTTTGGTAATCAAATGTTGCTATGTGGTGGACTATAAATATTCAAGGTCCATATTTTCCATGCAAATAAAATACATTGGGGAAGTCAGAAGCACTGAATTTGAGTATGCTAAATTTAGGGCAATTTAACATATTTAGGAAATCTTTAATTCAGGGTTTGGTAAAATACAATGTTGAAGCAAAATTTAGCCTGCCACCTACTTTTGTAAATGAAGTTTTATTTAAACAAAGTCACATACATTTAGGGATTTCTGTGTTTGCATTCTTGCTACTGCAAGAGTGGAGTCTTTATGACAGAGACCGTATGGAAATCTGGTTTATTTACTATTTATCCCTTTACAGAACAAGCCTGCTGACTTCTATTACTTAAATAAGAAGAGATACAGCACTGATTTTGAATGTAAATTGACGGCCGGTGCCATGGCTCAACAGGCTAATCCTCCGCCTTGCAGCGCCGGCACACCAGGTTCTAGTCCTGGTCTGGGCACCAGATTATGTCCCCGTTGCCCCTCTTCCAGTCCAGCTCTCTGCTGTGGCCCGGGAGTGCAATGGAGGATGGCCCAAGTCCTTGGGCCCTGCACCCGCATGGGAGACCAGGAGAAGCACCTGGCTCCTGGCTTAGGATAAGCGCAGTGCGCCAGCCACAGTGGCCATTGGAGGGTGAACCAACAGTAAAGGAAGACCTTTCTCTCGCTCTCTCTCTCTCTCTCACTGTCCACTCTGCCTGTCAAAAAAAAAAAAAAAAAAAAGAATGTAAATTAACAAGACTTCCCACTATAAGATGTTAAAATGCTGTAAGCAAAAAAAAGTTTCTATTCAACAGTCTTTTCTACATTTTGAATTTACAAATTAAAAAGAAAGAAAAATGTTGTGTAATAGCTTGAACACAGAGAATATTATTTGGCTCTTTTTAAGGTATAAAATCTGTGGACCAGTAACAATTTCACTGAACATTCAGTGTTACTTTAGGTGTTCAGTTTCTAAAGTGCTATATTTTTATTTGTTTCTTTTCTTTAGTATGCACAAAAGTTACTAAAATCCAACAGGCAGTTCTGCAGCAAATTGGGAAAATACCGAATGCCATTTGCTTGGGCCGTGAGGTAGGTTGACTACTGGGACCAACAGAATGGAAATATGTATTTTGTCTATCTTGGAAGCCTCAGTTTTGACACGCTTTGATTACATGCAATTTTCAATGTACCCATACTTACAAGAATGCTAATGTGGTCACCTTCATAAACATCTTAGTCTCCCAGGGACATACATTTAACAAAAATATTTAGAAAGACCCTAGCAAAAGACCCTGACATGTGTACAGTATGTGCATGATCAGGTTTGCTGTGTGTTTTTGGTAGGGATATACTCAAAATAACAACTTGTCTATTGTGTATATTTGGTTTAACAAACTGTTGGCATGATGTAAGCCTTGAGAATCTGATGTGCATAAAATTCAGGGATGCCCTCTGGTTTCCTTACAGCTACACATTTTCATCTATGCATAGAGCACAGGTCTGTCTATGAATGTTCTAATGAAACCATCAAGTTGATCAGTGAAATTCTCTGTGATTTTGATTATGATTAATGCTGTCAAATGTACCACTATCTAGTGTGTTTTTGATAGGGATGCCGAGTTCTTTCAACCCTGATTATAGAACCATCTACCTGAACATATAACTTCTATGTATAGAACAAAAATTGCCCTTCAGTTATGATTAAGCATCAATTACTATATTCCTCCTCAATCTCTTACATCATCATGAGTATAACTTTCTTAAAGGAGGGAGAGCTTGGCATCATACAAATGTACTCAATGAACTAAACAAAGGTTAGTTGTAGATTCAAAATGAGGTAGGCCATGCAGAATTCATTTATATGTTGGCAATATTATCTAAATGCCAGTAACTTTAAGCTCCCAAAGTTAAAGAGGACCTATTATTTTTTTGATTGTCAGTGATCAGTATATCATAATAAGTTGATAAATATTAATTAATATTAATTAGTTTTGAGGTAAATTAATTGAAGTTGGGGATCAGTGAGTACAGGAAGAAGAATTGTGGAAGTTTTAGTGACAGTGAACCAAGATGGACTCATTCAGTCTCCAGGAATTAGTTTGCCCTGAAGCCTCCCCAGGGCAAGTAAGGAAGATACCAGGGCCAAGGGTCTGCAAATATGGTCCCAATCAGGCCATCTTGTAGTGCGACTTTGGGCAAGTTTTTACTCCAGGTCTCAGTGTCCAAACCTGTAGGAGAGAGCCGACTATGCCTATGTCATAGGAGTGTGTGCATCTCAGATGCAATTGCATCTGCCATAAGGTAGAGCATTAGTAACCGCTTTCTCTTCTTTCTCTGTCTTTCCTGACAGCTAGTACCAAGACATCCTGTGTTAAAAATAGGTTCTTGAGATATATGGACAACTTTATGATGAATTTAACAGTTTTTCTTACTCATAAGATTAAAGGGAAGGGGCCGGCGAGGCAGCTCACTAGGCTAATCCTCCACCTGCGGCGCTGGCACACTGGGTTCTAGTCCTGGTCGGAGCGCCGGATTCTGTCCCGGTTGCTCCTCTTCCTGTCCAGCTCTCTGCTGTGGCCCGGGAGTGCAGTGGAGGAAGGCCCAAGTTCTTGGGCCCTGCACCCACATGGGAGACCAGGAGACGCACCTGGCTCCTGGCTTAGGATCAGCGCGGTGCGCCAGCTGCAGCGCACCAGCCGCAGTGGCCATTGGAGGGTGAACCAACAGCAAAGGAAGACCTTTCTCTCTGTCTCTCTCTCTCACTGTCCACTCTGTCTGTCAAAAAAAAAAAAGATTAAAGGGAAGGGAAATTAGTTATTTTCTGATCAATATTTTCATACTTTTAAGTATTCTCAGTTTCCCCTAGAAAGTCTGCTGGGACATGTAAAGGCAAGATCTCTCTTGGAAAAAAATAAAATATTTCAATGTTGCAAAATTATAACAGTGAACACATTGCACTTCAAGGTTCTAACATTGTTCCAAGATTTTAGAAGCAGGCATTTTAGGGGAAGCCATTTGGTACAGGTATTCAGACACTGCTTGGGATACCCACACCCCAAATAGGAGAGTCTGGATTCAAGTCTGAGCTCCATTCTGTATTCCAGCTTCCAGTTAATATGCTCCCTGAGAGGTGGCAGATGACGTCTCAATTATTTGGGTTCCTGCCACCCATGTGGGAGACCTGGACTGAGTTCCAATATCCCGACTTCAGCCTGGCCCAGTCCTAGCTCTTATAGGTGTTTGGGGAGTAAATCAGTAGGTGGAAAACTCTCTCTCTTTCTTTCTCTCTCTCTCTCTCTTGTTCTTCCCTCACCTTTAAATAAGTGAAAATAAATAAATTTTAGAGCTAAATAGAGTTGTGTTCAAATGCTCACTCTGCAATACTAACCAAGTGAACTTTGGCAAGTTACTTATAGTCTGCTTTTACCTCTATTTTGTCAAATCTACAAAAGATGAAAGCTAATGTATAATTTACAGATACATACCCAATAAAATGGGGCTTTTATTAGAAATCATTATTATAATATTATTAAAATTTACCTAAAGGGATCAAATTCATCACAAACAAGCTTCCTTTTCAGATAAATTTAGAACAGTGAAGAATAATTGGAGGGGGATAATTAAAGAATATTTATTATTGAAAGACTCTGAGGGGTTAGAAAAATACCAACCCTACTGTGAAGTTGCCTAGGAAAATATGCTACAAGAAACAGAGATGATGTTTCCAGGGATGCTGATGATGGTACACACCATCGAAGTTTCTAGCCAACAAAAACACAAACTCACGCTAAACAAATGCACAGCTGGTGATTTGGTTGAATGTTAGAAGACATATAGATCACGTGTGTGTATAAATGGATGATTTACATTTATATAAACTTTTCTGGAATCAGAAAAATTAGTGGTTAGCTATACTGCTAACCACCAAAAAGTTATCTAACCACCAAAAAGTGTAAGAGCCAGCCAAGGAAGACTTTAATTTCCACTTCACAATATGAAAACGGCCCCCAAAAGAATGTCAGCAAGATCAGAGGAAAACTGGCTGATGCTAATGTCATTTGAATGTAAGGTGGCTTCCCTCCTGTGATACTTACTGATATTTTGGGTTCTGTGGCTACTTTTCCTATCAAATATATTTTCTAGATTGGAGTTTTTCTTACAGTATAGCTTTGAATGTATGCTAAAACATTTGGTACTTAAAATCATCCATCATCCAAAGAGTAGAATTTAGTCTCTGCCCGTATTTTTGCCCAGATCTACTCATGCCACATGATGCAACACAAACAGATGCTCATCTCTGTGAGCAACATTTTATTTGAAATTAATTAGGTGCCATTCTCATATTTGGCACTGACTGAAGTGCCATTTTGTAGCAAAAAGCTTATCTTTGGAGTAGGTATATAGAACACAATCATAGGTCCACATAAAGTGCTTTCCACTGGATTCCAGAGACGGTTGGCCCCTATAAGTATGCCATGCTGCAGGTGAGGCTCTTTCCCCACATGTAACCCCCAGAGTCCTATGTGCCCACATGCATGCCAAGATTCTTTTGTCATTTTTTTTCACTGTGTCTCATTTGATGTTCTAAATAGACCAGCATGCGACACTGAATTTTCTTTAAATTGAAGTAAGACTAGAGTAGAAATTCTATTCTCATTTCTGCATTCTGTAGAGTGCATAGTGCAATTGTTACATAAGGTCCCCAGTCCTGACCACAGTCCAATAGTGCAATCTCTGTTTGAATCGTTCCAGTGACACAGACCTAAGCACAGTTCCATGGTGTTTCTTTCTGTCCTTGTTGAGCTCTAATGATTAAATAATCATTCAAAAGTATTCTTGAATTATCATACAACCACTTTTTGATGTTATGGTTCATAACCACAGAAGTGTGTCTAATTCTTTCTGTTTGTCACAATTATTCATGCTGCTTGTGCGTGGAAGCAATCAGGGAGCTTCAAGTTTCTTTCCTGTAAGACTAAACACCACCTTGCTTCAATGTACCCCAAACGGCATGTCTTTCAGACCCCACAATACCCTAATCATTGCTCAACTGTAGCAATTGAAACGAGGCACTATGTCCCAGCCGTCCTGAATCCATCTGTGTAAATGAGTCAGTTCATTCTCTTGCCAGATAGTGCGTTGGCAGCAACAGCAGGTTGCATGGCACTGTGAGCAAAGCTCTTCCAGCGGTGCTGTGCTCTTGGTTCTCTTTATGATAAGTGTCCAAAGTGGTGAACAATTTCCATGAGAGAGCTGTGGACAAAGGCAAAAATGATTATGCAATTCACATTTATCAATGTGTTTTAAGTCACTCACTGCTTAATTTAAAGAAAAACCATTGCATAAGGCCAGTTTAATTTCTTCTCATGTTGAGAAATCCATCATATCAACATTTCATGTGCTTAAACTAAATCCCAGTATAATATTTACATAAAAGTCACGTTCAGATTAAATGTTTTCATTCTGATTTCGCAGCATTATTTGACAAAGGATCATTTTATTTTCCCTCAATCATTTCATAATAGAAAAATGAAGAGATGGGTTGAAGGAGTCTAAAAATATCATTCTGATAAATTCCCATTTTCTATATTATTTTATATTAAATTATTATTATCTGATATCCTCCTAAATGATCATTTCAGTGTGAATATTAAAATTTTTATTACTTTAATGAGTGATAAAATATACTAGTGAATAGCATTAAATTAGAAGAAATGAAACTTTTGCATCTAAAATAGAAGAAAAATAAATTATATGTGGGTCTAATTTTTCTTTGACCAGTACATTGTGTGATAAAGTATGAGGAAGAAAAAGCTGACATCTAAGCAAATATTACATATGACATAAAGCAAATATTACCCAACACTAGCATACTATTTTTTTAAAAAAGCAGCATATATTTATAAGCCTATATTGTTCTAATTTAATGAAATAGATCAAGCAAGTAAATAAATGGCTAGAATTCATAATCTTCTCCATATTTAATATAAAAATCCAAGTCAGGTATCCCCCACTTTACATTTGTAGCAGTCCTAAAAGTTAGAACACAGGCACACTTAGCCCCATGAAAATATTTGAAAAGTAGTCTAATCCTATATTCTCACAAGCATGACCTCATTCCAATAGCGCTACTCATAAATCCAAACAGTGCTGCTCAAACTGAAGTGAGCCTGTCTTGCCCAGGTTTAGGGCATCTTGAGGAAACAACTAAAAAGAATATTATGTGTTTATGTTCCTCTCCACTCCCCTCACACTCCAAAATTTTGATGTAAGGCATCAAAAATGGGAGACCTCATAAAAAATGTAGTCATGTAGTCATAATATGGACTACTGTCACTTTGGATACAGAGTTGGACATAAGAAATTAAAGATGACAAAAATGAAATGTGTAGATGAAAATTCCATGTAAGACTTTTTTATTTTTATCTTATAAGTCACTACAGTTTCTTCTATTCTCAATGGGAAATTTATTAGCTCAGTTATCCTAAAAGCACAACTCCATCAACAGTACTCAAATGACAACCTAAATAACAACTATTTTCTTCTAGAACAATATTTAAAGACAATCAAGGAAATGTGGACAGAGACTCAAGATTTTCACCATTGTATAGACAAGAAAGTAGCAAGATTTCAACTGAAGACCTGCTTAAATTAGTGTCAGATTATAGAAGGTATGATATTTTTGATATCTTGATGTTGATATAAACCAGCTATATTTCTATCTGTGATTTGTTATTTTCCCATAAACAATAGCTGACTGATTCTCAAATGTCCAAACTCTTAACAGAAAACACATGCATTTCCTGTGACTTTTCCTGTACCCAAATACTGCCTCAAAGTAAATTGTCCAGAATTAAATTTAAAACTACGCCAGTTATCTACTTCTGCATAACAAACTACTCCCCAAAATAGTGTCTTAAAATGACAATCCTTCTTATTTTACACCTGAGCCCATGATTTGAACTCAATTTATTAAGGAGATCCTGTCCGTTTGCACATGGCATTGGCTTAGGGAGGTCAGCTGGAGCCAGCACCACTTTGAAGATGGTCCATTTGCTATTCGCCATTTGGTGGTGCTGACTATTGGCTAGAAGCTCAGCTGTACGTGGGATGGAAACCTTGATTTTTCTCAATGAGAGCTTTTCCATGAGATACTTCTATTTCTTTGTGTCATGGTGGCTCGGCTAAGTGTCTCCAGGAACTGAAAATGACCATTTTTGGTTTGTTAAAGCTAGGGACCAGAAACTGGAACATTGCTATTTCTGCTATATTCTACAATCCAGCTATCCCAGAGCTAAGATTCATAGGAAGGAGACAAAGACGCCTCTCAACAAGAATGTGAAGGAATTTTAGGACCATTTAAAAACCTTCATAGAGCAATTACCTTGCTATGAATATTCATAATCATAAAACGTGTGTCATTAAAATACTTATAGAAAAGGTAGCAGCAATAACTAATAGAAGAAAAATACAGAAGCCATAAGCATTTTAAATGCATCAACATACATCCAACATGCGATGATGATGATACGGTCTTCAATAAATGTTACTTGAACTGTTCATCTCCCAATGCATATGGTATTTTTGTACCCATTTCCAAAATCTACTTCTCTGTGCCTCAAATCTATTAATCAATAAGCCACTATCAAATAATTTAGTTTATTCCAAGCAAAAGTAAAATAATACAATCATGATTAATGTTTTCTGCAACATCTGTGTAGGATATGTTTCTATTTAGCTAGAAGGGAAGGTTCCCCAATGTTTTCTTTTTATTCTGGAAAATAAAAACTTCAACAGAAAATAAAGGTGAGAGGGGCCAGCACTGTGGCACAACAGGTTCAAGGCCCAGCCTGCAGTACTAGCATCCCATATGGGCACGTTAGAGCCCAGGATGCTCAGCTTCCAATCCAGTTCCCTGCTAATGAACCCGGGAAAGCATCAGAAGATGGTCCACGTCCTTGGGCCCTTGCTCCCAGGTGGGAGACCCAGAAGAAGCTCCTGGCTCCTGAGAGAGGTAGAGTCAGAGAGAGGTCTTCCATCTGCTGGTTCACTCCACAAGTGGCTGCAGCAACCAGAGCTGAGCTGATCCAAAGCCAGGAGCCAGGATTTTCTTCCAGGTCTCCCACGTGGGAGCAGAGTCCCAAGGACTTGGGTCATCTTTCACTGCTTTCCCAGGCCATAGCAGAGAGCTGGAATAGAAGTGGAGCAGCCAGGACTGGAATCGGTACTCATATGGGATGCTGGCACTGCAGGCAGCAGCTTCACCTGCTATGCCACAACGCTGGTCCCATGGCTCCTGGCTTTAGATTGGCTCAGCCTTTGCAGCGTGAACCAGTGAATGGAAGACCTCTCTCTCTGTCTCTACCTCTCTCTGCAAGTCTGTCTTTCAAATAAATCTTTAAAAAAAGAAAAAGCAAAAAAGGTGAGAAGCAAAATCTTGGAGGAGACCCCGAACCATCACTTTGTCATGATCCCATTAAAGCACTCCTTACCTGGAGTAGGCTTTGCAAGGCTACTTCCTCCAGAATGTGAGCTGAGCGTGTTTTCATCTTTACTTTTTTGCCAGCACATTGAAGCATGAAAAATTGTAATGCTGAGCAGAGGGAGTAGGAGAAAACAGTTTAGGGATATAGACTGGAAGAAACCAAACTGTGACAAAAACTCTGTTATCAGTGAATAGCAAAGAAAGTTATCACTGGGGCACTTAAGAGGCACCCAGAATGCAGTGTTGAAATTTTTATTTCACAAAACCCTCACATGTTTTGACATTGATTCTCAGTGTTGTGCTGATAAATGTTTAACAATTGGATTTCCAGGAGACAAAACTGATATGTACTGATGACCAATTTCTATGGTGTAAATTCTCCTACCTTTACTGAATTCAAGCTACCAGTGGGACTCCACTGAATGTAGGGTTGGGAGGAGCTATGCAAACCATTAAGTAGCATTTCCAGCACACAAATAGATGTAAGTAATATCAAGAGCACAAATAATTTCATCATGTAGCAAAATAATGAGGAAGTCATGAATTTGGAGTACTTATTACCTTTGTGTTTAATATAACTCATTTCATGGTAAGGTTATATAATTCAATTTTCAATCATGGTTGTGTTTAACAACTGTCAGGAAAATTCTTGGAAATTTAACAATCAGCTCTCACAAGCTGGGAACAGCTGGCTCTGACTTATCATTATAATTATTTCATCAGTCAGAGTAGGTTTCCGGGAGGAATGATACTTGAAACTGTTATCAGCAGTGTCCACATTATTGAAAGGAAGATTGGTGAGATGGTTTTAGTGGCAGGGAGGGAAGGAAGGAAATGCAAGGCTCAAGATTCAGAGTGAATGTGGGCAGAGAGCACACATGCAGATGGATAGAAGACACAGGTCCTCGTCACCCGTCACCCTTGTTTGTAGATGAAAAGGAAAGATGTAGACTTTCCACCTAACAATTGTCGCAAAGACCAGCCTAGCTCTCAGAACTCATCAAGAATGTGAACTGCTTACATCAATTCAAAACTATTCTCTTTTGTTAAAAAACAACATATAACTTACTATTGTGCTTGTTCAGCCATGTAAATGTTATCTGAAATAGGAGAAAATCAATTTGAAATCAGATTATCTATAACTGGACCCCTCCTTCCTGTTTTCTTTTAATTTTATTTGCAATATCATATAAATGTTAGTTTCAAAAACTCAGTTGTGGGATAAAATCATTCACAAGGTTATTTAGGGTCTACTGTTAACCCCTATCAAAGCGCAGAATTGAAGTTGACTATTTTTTCTTACAAACTAGAATAATACCTTGTGTGTGTGTGTGTGTGCGTACATATGTGCCGCCATACTTTTACAGGGCTGACCGAATGAGCAAAACTCAAACCATCCCTGGAAGCCTGGATATTGCTGTTGACAACGTTCCTTTGGAGCATCCAAGTATGATGATGATGTTATGGTTTGATTATAGAGTTCTGAATATTTGGGGGTTTTGTCTGTTGAGTTTGCTGGTTAATCTCTTTGTTACAAGAATGGGTTTTTTTCTATTTTTTTCCAAAGGTTGGGATAAATGGAATTCATTATATTATAGAAATTTGAGAGTTCTTATTTCTCTATTAGGACAGACAATGAGTATTGTAGGACAATACCAGAACTGTATTATAGGTAATGTAGCATTTATCTGATATGCAAATATGGGTTTAATATTCATCAAGATATTATATAAATTAATACTGAAACCCTGGAGGGTTGCATATGTGGAAAGTCCAAATAGCATAATAAGCTATAACCCGTAAGGAGAGAATGTATAGTTTTTCCACTTCCTCTGGCTTAAAATACTGGCTAGTTCTAGCATACTATGCTGCCAAAGCGTTACTCTGAACACCATGTGTAGCTACCCAAGTGTCCATGCAGCGCTTACAACTGAAATGTCACCAGATTCTCTTATTATACAAAGAGATCGATCTTTTCCAGAATGGGGTCAAAAGTCCTATTTAAGTCAGCAAGAAGTAGGTTTTCAGAAGCTTTTAACAGCTGTCCAATAAAAGAGTCAGAATTTAGAATGAATAAAAGCTTCCAATAACCATCTGTTTTCCAGAGAGAGGAGGATGACCACGGACTATCTAGATGACCATTAGCACTATTAAGTTTTCCATTCTGATAATTCTCCACAAATCACTTTAATATGAAATATAACAACCATTCTAACTTAAGCCATGGCTCCAAATCATTTTTACATTGATTTGTGTGGAATAAAAACAGGATAAACTAAGCTATTTCCTCTACCTAATTTGAGGCACTGAGCTTCTATTACCTATGAAAAATTGAAACAACAAAAAGGAAGCTAACCATTGTATCTGAAAGAATTGCCATACAGAGAAACTTGAGCATGTGACAAAAATATGATCATTAGCTTTTGAGGAGGGGAAAGCTGTAACCTGATTCTCAGGTATACATGGCTGATCATTTTGCTTCTTTGAACACAAGGAGATTCCAGATGGTATAAAGGAAGGTAGATAACGCTACTGTCTTTCTGTGCCAGCCTTCAAACATTTTAGTGGCAGAAGTTTAGATTTAGAATTTCCTAAGGCTCATTTCTTTCTCTTTTCTTAGGATGTTCCTATATATTTAAATGTTTTGAGTTGTAAAAACTGAGGAGAAAAAATAAAATAAATTGTATCTAATAATGCAGAGAGAGATACAAGCCCAGGCTGTGACTAATTTCATGGGGAGAAATTACTAGTAATCCAGCTGCATTAACAATAATAGTTCCATTGGACAGTTTTGTTCTTTCATATATCCATTTTGTATTATTTTTACATGTCATAGCTTATAATATCTTAATAATAATATCTTACCTTATAATATCTACCTAGTATGTTTAGAATGTTTAGAGGATCATTAGCTACACTTTGCTTTTTGTATGAATCTTAATATAAAAAAGTTATAAATCCATCTCAAGTGTTTAACCATTTTCAAGACATGTTTTGATACTAAATAGTTTACTTATCTACCATGCCCACATCCTATAAGTATTTCATATTAGCACTAAATTAACATCAATTGGTGTATACACACACACACATATATATATATACAAAGCTTCTATTTAGAATGAATTTATTTTCAAATATGTTAAGTATGAGAGTACTTCAGAAATTCATGGAAAATTTGAAATTAAATGATAATATTATTTTTGTGCAAAAACCTTTTGAAGCCATGCATAATTTTTCAACATACACATTTTCCATGAACTTTTTGAAGACCTCTCATGTTGTTCAACTAAAAGAACCATATTAAATGACAAACTTTTATTTTCTGATTTCTTAAGACTGTGTAACATCGTCCTTTATCCCTGTCAAGCCTTTCAACGTGATGGCTCAAGCAGAACCCACGGTGGAGGTGGAAGAATTTGTTTATGACACAACCAAGTACTGCCGGCCTTATAGAGTGTACAAAAATCAAATTTACATTTACCCCAAACATCTCAAATATGATAGCCAGAAATGTTTTAACAAGGTAATGATACCCGTTTCTGAACTTATCTCTCTTTGCACTTACACTGTACAAGCTCGCTTCTTGAGACTACAAATGCACATTGCCATAGGCCAGCAGTTCCGTAGTAAGCTTCAGAGAGGCAATGATGACTTTGATCTTAAAAGTGTTAAAGATGCACAATTTTACAATATTTGAAAAATCCTTTCTGAAGTCAGAAATATATATATATATTTGTATATATATTTGTATATATATTTGTATGTTTGTTCTAGAACTTTTTTTAGTTTCCTACAATACTCTAAAAATAGATGCCTTTGTAAATAATCTCCCCAGATCCTTCTGTAATTTCTGAGCAACTATGGATAATGTCACAAGAAAATGTTGGGTATGCTACATTTTTCAGATTTAATTAGATAGTACTTATTTTAGGCGCTTAGATTTTTCCGAGGTTATTTAAAAGGAAATTATAATTTCCACTTTCCCACCCTATAATTTCAGGCACGAAATATAACCGTGTGCATTGAATTCAAAAATTCCGATGAAGAAGGTGCCACGCCCCTAAAGGTGAGCCAGATACACAGTGGGACAGGGCATAAAGGCAGGGGTGGGGGGTAGCCTCTGTCCACCATTGAGGGACTCAGTGAGTGTGGTGAAAAAAGGAACAATTTTACACGTGTACTTAGAGTCTGAACTGTACATGACTGAGTAGCTAGGTATCATGGCTCTCTTAGCTTTCCATGGTTTGAGAAAAGGTGGAACCATTCTAATGTGAAAGAAATGCAAAGATTCCCCTTGAAAGACAGCACCCTCTCCTGTATTAACCTGCTTCTCAGTGCAGAGTGCTTGATTTAAATGGATGCATCCCGGCCAGCCTCCACGGACAGTGTGCTGAAAGTTTGCAGACCAGATGCTTAATGCAATGGGCCTGGGGGAAGCTGCTTTTAGGGAAGGTGTATGTGGCCAAGTGCCGGAGGAACTGGAAATGGCTCTGGGAAGTCAGTACCGGTTGTTGATCACATAATTTAATGTGCTCAATAAAACTCTGAGGTTTCTATGAAGGGTGCTCTTTTAACCTATAAAAATACAGCTGATGGCATTTTTTTAAGAGTTCGCAGTTGATGTATACTATTTTTATCTCAGGGGTTCCAAATGACATAAAATAACCTATAAAAATAGAGGGGGAAATTGGTTTCAGTAGTCCTGCCACCAGTCCTTCCCAGTTTCCGTGAATCAGAGGAAAGAAATTATAAAGGACAAAACCGATTTCTCACTAACACCCACCATTATCTGAGATACTCTCATGAAGCACTCTGTCAGATACAAACTGTACCCTCTGATTTGTGCTAGCAAGAGGGTGTGTTCCATTATTTAGAAGAACAAGAATCCATTTGAGTGTGTGAATTAACACTGCAAAATAAAGAGAAAAATTCTTTAAAATATTTGTGAGCCACTGTCAGCATCCACAGCACCAAACTTCACACCAGTGTTAGCATCAGGACTGAAAAATTAAAATGAAATCTAGTTGTCAAGCAAGCAAAGGCCATGAGCAGGCAGCAGACACACGAGACCTGCCAGACAGCATGTGTTCTTGGGGAAGATTCTGGGTCCCCTGCTTCATTGCCTCCTAAAATACCACATGCAGATAGAGCTAGGCCAGATGACACACTCCAGAAGAGGGACCCTAAGTCCCTGCCAGACTAGGAAGTGTTTTATCACACTACCAGAACTGTGTAGAGGCTGGGACAGAACAGTAACACCACATGGTGGAGCCTGGAACCAGCTCTCTCCTGCCAGCTCATGGTTGGGAGTTGGCTTGTCAGATGCTGGGGTCCAACCAAGTCCGGCGGCCCTCCAACACCTTAATTCTAGCCCAGAACCTGTTTCATGAACCTCTCATGGTGAGGTTCCTTCTTGTAGGAATTAGCCCCATCTCATGGTTATCAAAAGTCGGATGGTGGACCAGTCCAAACATTTGACCCTGGGGTAACATCTATGTGATAAGAAGCAGCCCCCAGATTTTCTTCAGCAGGGCGACAGACGTGGGACAGTAGAAAAGAAGTTCAGGCTTAATTACCAGTCAGATAGACCTGTTTGTTTTGTCCTGAGACTGGTAACTGGAGATTTGTGACTATTTTTTTCACTCAGGTATAATTTGAGACTCTCATAATTACTCAACTCCTATCTGTCTCAACAGTGCATTTATGGAAAACCCGGAGGCCCCCTCTTCGTCTCGGCCACCTACACAGCCGTTCTACACCATTCGCAGAATCCAGATTTCTCGGATGAGGTAAGGACCAGTTCTCTGCTGCCCCCAGCAGCTCCTAAAAAGTATGGGTTTGTAGCACAGTGATAATAAACACCCTCAGATGAACAACATGCTTTGGCAGGTATATACCAAGATGTTTAAACCACATTGATAGTTACTCCTGCAGAGGTTTGCAAATTCATTTATTTCAACATGAGATGAAGTACTTAAAATGGGGCATTTTTATTATATTAGTCATTGCAAGGAACACAGATTATTTTCATCTATTTTACTGGCCAGTGTAATAAAGATATTAGATAGTTTTACCAATCAATGGCATTATTTTATACCATAACAGAAGGACTGAGGGCTGAAGTCTAATACAGTGCTTTTGCTCATAACCTGCATGAACTTGAATGAACGTGGACCTGCTCATCTCTAAGTGCAATGTGGAGGAATCCCTGCCCTGGCTAACAAACTCCCACTGTATGTCAGGCATCAAGCGAGGCTCCACACACACACATCATCTCACTTAACCCTACAGCAGTCCTGGGAAGTGGAAGCTATTGTTCCTATTCTATAAACGAGGGAACAGGCTCAGAGGAGTCAGGTTACATTGCCGTTGTAACTACATACTAGTTACATATAGTATGTTACATACTAGTTACATATAGCATGTTACATACTAGTTACATATAGCATGTTACATTCTAGCTACCCAGGCCATGTGACTCCAGAGCCTGACACTTCACCAATCTGCTATAATATATACTTAAAAAAATCCTAGAGGCAGTGGTAAATGACTGTGCACCTGCTAGCTTGGCATTATAAACAGCTTCAGACAAACAAGCTTCAGGGATTAAATTTAGTGTCTAAATGTAAAGCAGAAGTCTAAACTAATGCAGTCTGCTGATGGGATGCCTGGGGTTTGAAACGTGTATCTTTTGCATGAGTGTCCTGTTGCTGCTCTGACAGATTACTACAGTTTGCAGCTTAAAAATTTTGCGGCTTAAAACAACACTCGCTTGTAACCTTCCAGTTCTGGAGGTCAAGGGCTGCAGTTTTCTGAAGATCCTGGGAGACTTTGTTTCTCTTTTCTCAACTTCTAGAAGCTGCCCATGTTCCTTGGTTTGTGTTTTCTTCCCAACAACCCCACCTCCCTAACCTCTGCTTCTGCCCTCACATCCCTGACTGACTTGTCCTCCTTTCTTCTGTAAGGACGTGGTAATCACACTGTGCTTCCTTGGAATATCTGGAAATATCCCTGTTTCACATCTCCAGTGTCCCTTTTGCCATGTGATGTCTTAGGTTCTGGGAATTAGAACACAGAGGACATCCTCTGAAGGGGGTATTTGTAGCACATTAATCAATTTAAAACAGATATGAAAAGAGTGCCAATGAAGCAGTCTACCTGACCTTGTCTCCTTCCTCCATATTCATTTAATGTTGCTAATTTTCCCCCCATAAATTCCAGACAGAAGGTGAACCAGAATTAAAGGGAAGAACCACCAGTGCATCACAGAATATTGACTGTACTGAATAAAACTTTGACAAACCCCATTGGAAAGGTGCATTCTCCATAGAGCATGTTTTTGTCTCTTTTATTCTGTGTGGTATTATTTTATTAGCAACAGAAAACAAGCTAATATACAGGCCTTTAGCAGAGAATCCAGCTACGCTGTGCCTGGACGTCTTACATACATTTATTTTTTCCTTTTTTAACACTTTTAAAAATTTTCTGATTTATATAAAATAAAAATGTTCATGTATTTCATACCTACAGGTTTAGGAGCATAGTGATACTTCCCATCACACCCTCCCTCCCATCCACGTTCCCACCCTCTCTCCCCCTTCCTTTTTTATTCTCTTAATTTTTATAATGACATACTTTCAGTTTATTTTATAATCATAAGCTTAACCCTCCACTAAGTAAAGAATTCAATAAATAGTATGAAAAAAAGAAAACACTGTTTCTCAACAATAGAGACATGGGTTGTAAAAAATAATCAAATCTCAGCCTGACTTGCCCCAAGTGGTGGAGTTGGAAGCATACCAGGGGATTCCAATTCAATCCCATCGAGGTGGCATGTACCAATGCCATCTCACTGTTCCAGGTGATCAGTTTCAGTTCACAGTTGGTCATGGTGAAGGGACTGGGAGTCAAAGGGAGCACATAGACAAGTCTAGTACCTGCTAACGCTAACTGATGGAGTAAATAAAGGGGAGAGTGATCCAACATGGGAAGTGAGATACTCAGCAGACTCATAGAATGGCAGATGTCCTAAATAGCACTCTGGCCTCAGAATCAGCCCTAAAGGCATTCGGAGCTGGCTGAAAAGCTCATGAGAGTATTTCAGGCATGGAAAGCCAAGACACTCTGGCAAAAGATCTCTGCGAGTGAGATCCCAGTGGAAAGAACAGGTCATCAAAGAAGGAGGTACCTTTCTCTGAAGGGAGGAGAGAACCTCCACTTTGACTATGACCTTGTCTAAACAAGATAAGAGTCGGAGAACTCAGAGGGCTTCCATAGCCTTGGAAACTCATGACTGGAGCATAGGGAGATTACTGATGCCATAGACAGGAGTGTCAATTGGTAAAGTCAACAACAGGAGTCACTGTGCACTTACTCCTCATGTAGGATCTCTGTCCTTAATGTGCTGTACATTGAGATTTAATGCTATAACGAGTACTCAAACAATATATTTCACTTTGTGTTTCTATGGGGGTGCAAACTGTTGAAATCCTTACTTAATGCATACTAAACTGATCCTCTGTAAAAAAAAAAAAAAAAAAAAATTATCAATTCCCAACTTGACTCTCACTGGGATTAAACATGACAATAGGTCTGCTCTGATTTCATCATCATTTAAAAAAAATCATCTATTATTTTTCACTTTATATTTCTGTGTGGGAGCAAACTGTTGAAATCCATACTTAATGTATACTAAGCTGATCTTCTGTATATTAAGATAATCGAAAATGAATCTTGATGTGAATGGAAGGGGAGAGGGAGTGGGAAAGGGGAGGGTTGTGGGTGGGAGGGACGGTATTGGGGGGAAGCCATTGTAATCCATAAGTCGTACTTTGGAAATTTATATGCATTAAATAAAAGTTTAAAAAAAAAAAAGAAATTATTAAATCATCATATTTCTAAAAAAAAAAAAAATCAAATCTCAAAATGTCAATTTTGCTCATATACATTATATTTTGGTACTCTGTTACCACATATCAGGGAAAATATATGATATTTGTCTTTTTGGAATGGCTTATTTCGCTAAATATAATTGTTTCCAGTTACATCCATTCTGTTGCAAAAGACAGGATTTCATTCATTTTTATGACTGAGTAATATTCCACAGTGTACATATACTGCATTTTCCTTTTTTAAATATTTATTTATTTATTTCAAAGTCAGAGTTACAGGAGAGGCAGAGGGAGAGAGAGAGAGAGAGAGAGAGAGGTCTTTCATCTGCTGGCTTACTCCCCAGTTGGCCACAATGGCCGGAGCTGTGCCGATCTGAAGACAGGAGCCAGGAGCTTCTTCCAGGTCTCCCACATGGGAGCAGGGGCCCAAGGACTTGGGCCATCTTCTACTGCTTTCCAAAGACATAGCAGAGAGTAGAATTAGAAGTGGAGCAGCAAGGACTCAAATCAGTACCCATATGGGATGCCGGCACATGGTCTTGCCGGCACTGCAGGCAGCAGCTTCACCTGCTATGCCACAGCACCAGCCCCCCTCATTTTCTTTATCCAGTCATCAATTGATGGAAATCTGGGTTGATCCCATAGCTTAGTTATTATGAATTGAGCTGCAAGAAGCAAGGGGTTACAGATAACTTTTACTTGTGCTGATTTCATTTTGTTTGGGTAAATTCCCAGGAGTGGGATGACTGGGTCATATGGCAGATCTATTTTCACATTTCTGAGGAATCTCCAATTTGTCTTCCACAATGGCTGTACTAGTTTACATTCCCACCAACAGTGTGTTAGGGTACCTTTCAGATTTTCACATTCCATAGGTACAGTTCCAGGAATATGTTTTTTTTTTCTAAATGATCTGTCTACTGTTGTGAACTCTGTCTTTTAACTTTTCTCATTCTCATGTTTCCTGAAATCCTCGCAAAAGCATGAGCTTTTTCACCTGATAGCATGTGATTAATGAACAGTTTAATGATTTCTACAATATATAGTCAAAACTAAGGTTTTATTTTCTTCTTTATTATTGCAAAAAATTGCAAGAAATGGATATGAATTCTTCCAAGGAACTATTATAATAAAATGTAAATATCTGCAGTATTTATTATGTGAAAATATTTCCATTAACTTTTTTGTTTTTTAGATTTTATCTGAGTTATACAAGTTTCATGTATTTCATATTCTATTAACACTTAGTGAGTTGAATTCTTGAGGACTTGTTTCATTCAAATGTCTTCTTAATGTCGTAGTCTTGCTATTAAAGAAAATGTATTTATATTGCATTCTGTGTTTTGAAATACATGCTGGCTTCAGTTATTAGGTTACCAGAATGGTAGGAAGCCTTTCAAATTTAAGAATTCTCAAACTTTATATGCATCAGAGTCACCTGGAAGGCTTGTTGAAGCTCAGATGACCACCGATTGTTGGTACCTGAGAATTTACATTCTAACAAGTTTTCAGGTGACACTGATGTTGCTGGTACAAGGACCATGCTTTGAAAACTGTTGTACTAATTCCTTGCTTGAACAATGTAAAACAAGTTAGCAAGAAGTACAGGGCTTCCAGTAAAAACGCCTCATAGATTATTTACATGCCTGTCCCTTATTTCTTGACTAAAACTTCTGGAAACTAGTTAGTGGCTGATACTGAGCTGAATGTAACTTAGCCAGACAGGATCCTGGAATCCAGTGCAAAGTGGTCATCAGAGATGTGGGTTCTTGTCCTGGAAGATGCTGTTACTGACTGCACCACACTCTTCGTCACTCACAGCCCGTTCACATCTCTGGCCTTGTGGTTCCTACTTCTGCATCATCCTGCTTCACAAAGCTATTGGGGGCATTAAATGACAATAAATATAATATAATGACAACTGATATGCACTGTCACATGCAGAATTTTCAAAATATTTCTCCCCACAATGATACAGAATGATACAGTAGACTCCTCATTAAATACATTCTTAATCTATATCAATTTAATTCCATTTGTTCACTCAGTGTCATTTATGTAGCTCCAGCATGACTACTTCATAAAATCTCCAATGGCTTAGTGACCACAACACATTCTACACTTTCTTTTTTATTTTTTTAAAAAGGATACATCCCATGCTTCAGTAACATCATGGACAACTGCATGTTCTGTTACCTGTATCTGAGTTTCCTGGGGTCATATTACAGTGCAGATTCTGATTCAGTAGATCTTATTTGATGTCTAATGAGCTTCCAAATGATGTTTATGTAGCTAGTCAGTGGACACACTTTGGGAGACAAGAACTTACTAGGTATTTAATTTATATTCTTTAATGATAGTTCCTCAATCTATGTCTACTTGCATTCTGCAATCATGTCTGTGGGTCTGTGTTTATGCACATGTGCATGCATGTGTTTAGTCAATACTTAGTGCATAAATTATCTAATGAGAAGCATAAGATAGTCTAAATTACTGAAGTAAAAAATATCAACATGTGAACACCTTACTACTGGCAGAATGGATATCTATTGAGAGTTACACCAGTGCATCCAACATTAACTATGAAAAACAGACCTAGATTTCAATTAAAGAATTTTTTGAAAATTATGCTTTTTCTTGCTCTGACTGTAAGCAAATGATTTTAACCTCAGTTCAACTATAATCTCTTTCATTGCAGGTGAAAATCGAGCTACCAACACAACTTCATGAAAAACACCATATTTTGTTTTCTTTCTATCATGTCACCTGTGACATAAATGCAAAAGCTAATGCCAAAAAGAAGGAGGCTCTGGAAACATCAGGTACTGGGAGGAGACTACCTGCAGTAGTGCCTGTGTCATTTGTCCTGAGTTGGGAATATTTTAAAAACTCTGACTTGGCCGGCGCTGTGGCTTACTAGGCTAATCCTCCGCCTGTGGCACCGGCACTCCAGGTTCTAGTCCTGGTCGGGGCATTGGATTCTGTCCCGGTTGCTCTTCTTCCAGTCCAGCTCTCTGCTGTGGCCCGGGAAGGCAGTGGAGGATGGCCCAAGTGCTTGGGCCCTGCATCTGCATGGGAGACCGGGAGGAAGCACCTGACTCCTGGCTTCGGATCAGCACGGTGCACCAGCTATAGCGGCCATTTGGGGGGTGAACCAACAGAAGGAAGACCTTTCTCTCTGTCTCTCACTGTCTAACTCTGCCTATCAAAAAAAAAAAAAAAAATAGAAACAAAAAAACAAACAAACAAAAAAAACAAATTCTGACTTACTGGAATTTTTAATGAAGTTGGTATTCATCAACAGTAAATAGCTTTATTTTTACTTCTTATTATGGAGATTTGTATTGAAGCATTCTCTTTGTCGTTCCTCTCCACAGTTGGCTATGCTTGGCTTCCTCTGATGAAGCATGATCAGATAGCTTCTCAAGAATATAACATCCCAGTAGCAGCAAGTCTGCCTCCCAATTACTTAAGCTTCCAGGATTCTACAAGTGGAAAGGTACTGAGTAATGTATAATTTAAAAGAAAAAACATCAATTAAATTTAATGAGGTTATCGTCTCTTTCTCTGATATTTAAATTAAGACTATAATGCATATGTTAATTGCAGTTAAGAATCAAGTATACCTGCAATTGACTCCAAATCTGTTATGTTGTTTATAACCTCCAGAAGTTACCTGTTAAAATTATTATTTAATATCAGAGTGATCTCATCTAACAACGTTGCCAAATACACTTGCATCTTTTGTTTTTCATCTCTAGAGTAATTTAAGATTAATGGATCAGGATAGCCAATAAACATAAACTAAATAATGTATTTATTTCCTTTCCCTCAAACTGTCGGAGTGACTAACAAACTTTTTTTGTAGCATGGTGGGAGTGACATTAAATGGGTGGATGGTGGCAAGCCACTTTTCAAAGTATCAACATTTGTCGTATCAACAGTCAATACTCAGGTGAGTATGTTGGCCTGAAATAGTAGCATCTTCTCTGCCACATAAAATCATAAGGTGCATTCTATACTCACAGCATGAGATTAATCATTTCATGAGATGTCATGACAGCAGGTGGTGGAATATTCCAAGGGAAGAGTTTAGGGGCATGATGTTATGCCTGTTTTAAGGTAGAGTGCCTAACTCCATAGGCCTAGGTACCATGAAACTTCAAAATGAAAACATTAGAAGTATATTTAACCAAATGGTACTCCCCTTGGAGCATGGCTTTTTCCACTGGCGACATCTAACTGTTAAAATTGGTAAATGTTAACAGCAAAGACGTTGGATTTTTAACCCCAAAACTAAATCTTGTTCCCAGTGCCTACCAAGAGCCATGAATTCTGAGGAATGGCATTTGAGGGTCACCTCCAGCAACCTCTGGCTCAGTGACCTTGGACAAGTCACTTTATTCTCTGAAATTCTTATTTCTTAATCAACAAATTGAGCTCAATAAAAATCTCTCTACCTAAGGTTATTGGTAAGGATCAAGGTGAGAAAATGCACCTGGAAATATTCCATCAACTGCAAGATATACATATGTATACACATGCATACAATACACATGTAGTTTTCATTGTTAAATTATCACAAACTAATCCCTTCTATTGCAAGGAAGTCTATTTTACCATATCATAAGGAGTTTGCTGGCACCAATTATAAACTACAAAGCAAATGATACAAGTCCATAAAATATGTATTTCTTCTATGTCAAGCTCAATTTTTATCTGCTTTTCAATTTGCTTCATACTGCTTTATCTTTAGTCTATATTTGGCTTGAATAAAAATGAAATAATCCATGAACCATATATTCACTGGTCAAAATTTTTCTCATTAACCTCTGATGCTTCAAGTTCAATTTAGTGTTCATTTGCAGCCTGGTGCCCACAGCTATTTAAATGCATGTTTTCTTTGATGCCATCAGCCCTATCTATCAATTGCTATTTTTAAAGTTTTATTTATTTTTATTTTGCTTGATAGACAGAAAGTGAAAAGAAGGGGGAATCTCCTCTTTGCTAGTTCACTCTCGAAGTGATTGCAATGGCAAAGGCTGGGTCAGACCAAAGCCAGTAGCCAAGAACTCCATCCTCATCTCCCATGGACATGTCAGGGACTCAACCAGCTGAGCCATCACCTTCTGCCTCCAAGAGTATGCATTAACAGAAATATAAAATGGGAAGCAGATCCAGGATTCAAACCAAAGCACTCTGATATGGAATGTGGGCACCCCACGCACTGTCTTAACCACAGTGCCAAGTACCCACCCCTCATACCTATTTGTATATGTCTCAGACACTCTTGAATGTCTCTCTCTCCGGCTTCCTTCTCCAGATAGCCCAGGTCTCATTCATCACTGGCCACATGCATCACATCTGACATTTACCTCAGTTTCCAACCATCCAAAGCCTCTCCGTGCTGTGGCCTCAGCCATATCACAGCCAGGTGGTAGCTGAGACATTCAGCCCTCCCGCAGTCAGAAAGGTCATGTGTCTCTTCCCTCCCTTCCTTCTCCAGTTGGCCTGCTCAGTACCTACCCATCCTAGAGACATTCTCATGTGTCACATTCTCAGAGATGCCTTCCCTCTCCTCGGACCCCACACATGTAAGCCAGGCCACCTCACTACATACCCAGCCCAGTCGGCCTCTTGCTTTCCATTTTAAGTGCTTATCAAATTTGATGGACAGGGAGTGTGTGGATGTCCGGTCCTGGTGCCAGTCTGCCTCCATTGTGGGAGGTCCACAGAGAAAGGGATCAGATTTGCCTTGCCCTCTGCTCTGTCCTCGGTGCCTGACAATAGCCTGGCCCAGTCAGCTTTCAATAAATACTGACAGAATGTACAAATCAATGAAGCATGTTTAAGGGGAAAACAGTTGTGTCCAGTCAGAAAAGAACTACAGTAAGAAAGCAGAAAACATCACACACATACACACACACATACACACAATTCTAGAATCATTGAATGTCCTTCTAGGATCATTGAATGCTAAAGAAGCATCCCAAGTGCACACCCTCACGCACACCATCTCCCTTCCTACTGCGTAATTCAGCACAGGACTCAGAGAATTTTGAAATGGCCTCCAAGGGTAAGAGTCAGGTTTATTTCATGATGTTAGCTATGGATGTCCTAGTTTTGGCTAATTTGAGTATTTTAAGCCTGAAAATGCTACTGTGCCTGTTAAAGAATAGACATTCTCTTTTGTGTTGAGGAATGTGTAAGAGAATTTGGCAAAGATCTATGAAACAAGCAGGAATGAGAAAATAAATGATGAAAGTTTTGAATTTTTTATATTTATGTTTTATTTATTTTTACCTTTTTGAAAGGTAGGATAACAGAAAGAGAGAGAGAGAGAGAGAGAGAGAGAGAGAGATCCTTCATCTATTGATGGCTCACTGCTCAAACGCCACAATAGCCAGGGCTGGACCAGGCCAAGTCTAGGAGCCAAGAACTCCATCTGTAGGTGGCAGGGACACAAGTACTTGGGCTGTCGTCTGCTGCTTCTCAGGCATATTGACAGGAAGCTGGATAGGAAACGGAGTAGCTAGGACTCCAACTGGCACTCTGATATGGGGTGCAGATGTGGAAACAGTTACCTGGTCTGCTGTGTCACAAGTCCTGCCCTTATTCATTTACTTTTTAATTTGAAAAAGAGCACAGCCAAGGGAATTCTCCAGTCATTGTCATGTGACCTAGAATGACAACCAACCCTATGAGAATGAGATAGGATAGAAAGTGGGGCTTTGTAGTTCAGGTGGAGCCTTCATTAACGTTCAGTGAAAACGAAAGCTTTGTCACAGATGTATTGAACAAAGGCTCATGTGTTAAGGCGTCGGTCCTGCAGCAATGCTTATCTCCATCGTGAGGATGGTCTGTAGGACAGGATATGGGTCATCAGAAATAAACTCCTTTTTTTTCTGCTGTTGCAGGATCCACATGTGAATGCATTTTTCCAACAGTGCCAAAAACGAGAGAAAGATATGTCTCAGTCACCTACCTCAAATTTCATCCGCTCTTGTAAGGTAACATGACATACAAGTAGTGTCAGTGCTCCTTGGGTCAAAACGAGCAAAAGGGACCCTTACATATCCCCCTGAGTAACAAATTAAGACGTGGTTATTACTGGAGATTTTTGAATGCTTTATTAATTCAGCAAGTAAAATTTTATTTCAAAATGCTCTAATAGCTTCAATCTGTTGTCTAAGAATTAAGCAAAGAACAGTTGTTTCCAAAATTAAAAAATAATTAAAAAGCAAAATCAATTGATTGTAAGTTAAATAGTTAATTATATATGCCATGCTAAATGCAATAATGGCAACATCAGATAAAGATGAGCAACTGTATACATATTTATATTCCAGTTCTGAAATCTAGAAACTTATTTGTTTCTCATTATCTGTTTCTAATTGACAAATTAAAATTGCATTTATTCACAACGTACAATATGATTGTACATATTGGAAATGTGTATATGTGGTGAACTCTCTAAATGAAGCTAATTACATGTCTTCCTTCATATGTTTATCATTTTTTGTGTTAAGAGCACTTAAATCTACTCTTTAAAAGATTTTCAAGGACACAATACAGTATTACTAGCTATAGTTACCATATTATACAAAATACCCTTGGATATGTTACTCCTGTTTAGCTGGACTTTTGTATCCTCTGACCACATCTCTACAACATCTTTGTTCCACCCTCCACCAACACCCCATCCCTGGTAACCACTATTCTACACTGTTACTGCGAGTTCAAGTTTTTTAGATCCCACCTATAAATGAAATCATGCAGTAATTGTCTTTCTGTTCCTACTCTCTTTCACATAACATAATGTCCTCCAAGTTCATCTATGTTGTTCCAGGTGACAAGAGTTCCTTCTTTCTTAAGGCTGAGTATTTTCCATTTTTCCATTGTGTATACTTCTTTCATATTTTCTTTGCCCATTCATCTGTTGATGAACATTTAGGTTGATTCCATATGCTGGCTTTGTGAATAATGCCATAATGAACATGAGAGTGAAGATATCTCTTCAACATACTATTTTCACTTCTTTTGTGTATATACCTATAGTGGGATTGTTGCACCATTTGTTTGTTGGTTTGATTTTTTAGATTTACATAATTATTTGAGAGATATAGTTACAGAGAGAGAGATAAAGAGAGAGAAAGAAAGGTCTTCCATCTGCTGGTTCACTGCCCAAATGGCTGCAACAGCCAGAGCTGGGCTGATCTGAAGCCAGGAGCCGGGAGGGTCTTCTAGGTCTCCCACACATATGTAGGGGCCAAGCACTTGGACCATCTTCTGCTGATTTCCCATGCCATAGCAGAGAGCTGGAACGGAAGAAGAGCAGCCAGGACATAAACCAATGCCCATATGGGATGCTGGCACCACAGGCAGAGGCTTATCCTACTTCACCACAGTGCCAGGCCCCCATATGGTAGTTTTATTTTTTTAGCTTTTTGAAGAACCTCCATACTGGTTTCCACAATGGTTCTACTAATTTGCATTCCCACCAAAATTGTACTTTTCTCCTCATCCTCTCCTGCACTCATTACCTCCAGACCCTTTGATGATAATCATCCTAACAGGTGTAAGGTGATTACACATTGTGATGTTATTTGCATTTCTCTGGTGATTAGTGATGTTGAGTACTTTTATTGGAAATGTGTGTGTGTTCTCTAGAAAAATGTCTATTAATGTCCTACCATTGTTTAATTCAGTTAATGCTTCCTTGCTATGGAGTTGTTTGAGTTCCTTATATATTTTGGTATCTACTCTTCACCAAATGTGTGGTTTGCACATTTTCCCTCCCATTCCATAAGCTTTATTTTCACTTTTGTTCCTGTGCTTTTAGGGTCATTACAGAAAACATTATTGTCAGACCACTGTCATGGAACTTTCCTCTATGTTTTCCTTTAGGAGTTTTACAACTTTATTTCATGTGTGTAAGTTTTTTTTTTAATATCCAGATTATGTTGTAAATATAATTGGTATCTTCCAATTTACTACAGAATTTATTGAACGTGGAAAAAATCCATGCAATCATGAGTTTTCTGCCTCTAATCTTGAATCAGCTCTTCAAGGTGCTGGTGCAGAATGAAGAGGATGAAATAAGCACAACCATCACCAGGTATCCACAATACAACCTTGGGGCAAAAGACTGTATAATCTGTGGTTGCACATACCCTGATTATGACTGAACAGGCAACACGTCTCACTTAAGAAATACTTAGCATTTCTCACTTTTGAATCCCTACCTTCTAATCACCTTTCGTTATCATTAATATTTAGACCTCTTTTTAAGCTTTTCTTTGTGTTTTTAATTAGATTCACACACAGTTGTAGGAAATAATGCAGAAAGCTCCTTTGTATCCTTTATTGCCTTTTTCCCCAGGGTAATGTTAAATATATTTTTGGAATCATGCAGTATATATAACCTTCGGGTATGGCTTTTTACACATAGAGCACTGAGGTTTGAGAAAATTTAAGTGTTTCTGTTTCCACAACCAACAATTTCTGAACCCAAAGTAAAAGTTTCCAACTATGCCTTCAGCTGATGCTCTTTTCAGCAAGAGTGTATGCATCTGTGTTGACAAAACTCCTAAACATTTCAGCTGTTAGAGCTATTGAAATTCTGAGATATTCCTAGGCACTGAAGCCATGGGCAAATGGGAGTGTCAATGGTAAAAAAAAAATCCTCTCATACCACCATTTCAAGAAATCTAAACTCACCTAAGGGAAAACACAAAACAAAACAACAGCATCTTATCCAAATTTATTTTTGCAAAAGCACATATAATGCCTACAGATTGAGAGACAATAAAACAGAATACTATAAATACTTATAAAATAGAATACTACCCTTAAATAGAGGTTAAAAATGTTACATTTAATTATATGGTAAAAATAATCCTTATTCGAAGAAGACAATATCAGAAAAAATAATTTGCACATTCAACTTAAGCAAAAAAGTCTCCAGTGTGATGTCAAAACCATATGACAATATTTGTGTCTTAGTGTTTAAAAGTGTGACAGTTAAAAATGATAACAGGTATTCTGAATACTAAATACCTAGTTTGAAGGATGAGGAGGGTGAAGGAGAAGTCTGGAATGGGTTCATTCACTCATTTAGTAACTATTAAATACCCAGTTTTCTGAGCACTCCAGTGACATACTAAAGCAGTGTTTTTCTGCTTCCTCCAGAAAATCCACTGAACAGTTCTGTTTTTCCAGGGTTCTGACTGACATTGTGGCCAAGTGCCATGAGGAGCAGCTAGACCATTCTGTCCAGTCATACATTAAGGTATGAAATCACCACTTGGGCATTGGTTAGACTCCCTTGTGCTGTGTGGCTCGTCTCACTTCCTGTCTGCAATAGGTGGGAGAATCTCTTTTAGCTGGACAGTGCCCACCACGGTCACATCAAGAATTCCTCTTAACTACTTAGAATTCCATCTCTGCATTAATGGACTAGGTGTATTGTTTGAATGTTATCAATGTATAAATAGTGTATACATGTGCACATAAGTAGTTATATGGGAAAAGATGAAAGAAAAGGGTAGAGGAGAAAATTAAAGTGTCGTCCTTGTAAATTCAAAATCATAGTAAAGTCCTAGCTGGTTTGAAAAAGTCATTCCCTAACTCTGAAGTTGAATGCTCTGTGTTTCTTCTGTGACGTTTTCTTAGCTCTTTTTATTGTTTTCTCAGGCATTATTTCATTTCCCAGTTACTGTATATTTGTACCTGCTTCTGGTATGTTAAGTCCTTTATCTTCTGGCATGGAATCACTTGCCCATTCCATCAGTGTGCACCTGCTTCTTCAGTGTCCTCCATCAAGTGTTCACTTGGAGAAGTTTCTTTTCTCATTTCCAGTTGGCCTGTGACTTAATGCCAGTGAACTTGTGATGATGTTTTCACTTGCATAGCTCCTACCTAGATGTCTGTTTCTTGAATGAAAAAAAGTGTTCGTCCAGAGATAAATAAGAGTATATAAAATTATAATACATAGAGGACCTACATTTTTGCTTTTTATGCATAGATTAAATCATTTTGAGGAATCAGCTTTGTTTTATATGAAAAGAATGTTCTAACAATATACATATACGGATAGACATATATTCTGGATATCTAGATAAGTTCCTAGAGAAGAATAAGGATCTTCTGTGCTGGAAACTTAGTTTTTTAAAGCATAACCAACACTCCTTTAGAACAAAGTGAATAGAAATTGCATTATAGAGTGAACTCGCTGAGATGATATCTGAAAAGAAATTTTTCTTAACAGTTTTATGTCTACATATTTTCTACCTGCCAGAAATGTTGACCATCTTCCCCAATGCCACAGCATGGTCGGTGCCCTTCCTTAAAGTCCCCAAAAGTAATCTTCGCAGTAATTTGCCTGTGGCCATAATTTTACCCAATGAAATCCACATTTCAATTTCAGAAAGGCAGTTCCACATACAGATGCCGTTGTAGTGTCTGCTCTGTTTAAGATAGTATCACAACTTATCTTTCGTAGGAAATCAGTTGATTTACCGTGCAACACACCAAATGGGGCACTTTCACCCCCTCAACAGTTACTTCAGCTTTCCATTTCAATCTCCAGAGAAACTGAGATGAACAGTTCCTTGATCCAGTTTATATCCAGGCATCTCCATTTCAACACAAATGTTATTTTCCTCATTCCAATAGAATCATTGAAAATTATCTTAGGAACCCTATAGTTCTGTGACTATTTTTGTGGTATACAAAGCCAAGTCCTTGTGAGTATGGCCAAATCTCAGACTCTGTGATGACCTTGGATGCATTGGAAATGTGCCTACATGTAGCCTTTATTTTTAGCCGGAACATCTGAAACATCTTGACATGTCAATTTCATTTTATAATATGGAAAACTGATTATTTAATTTGTTTTGAGTGGTTCAAATTCATCAATATACCTATATGGATTTTCATCCAGCTAAGAATTCCTAATGATATTTTATGATATCATTTCATATATCTAAATAGAAGCCTACTAATAAATGTAGTCAACTTGCAGTTTACTCTAGAAAGAGCACTAAACTTTCTCCTGCAAGAGCACTAAACTAACAAGTAATAGATGCTAGTCAAAGCTAAATGGTAACTTCAGCCTTGTGCCTCTCTAAACCTTAGTTTTTCCTCTGTGGCTTGAGATGAGATGGACCAGACCTACATCCAGTTCTATAGTTCTGTGATTGGACTCTTGCCACAATACCCGATTGACAAACTGATCTTGACCAAACAGTCTAAACTTTTAATCCTAGATAGAGAAAATTATTTTTTAGTTTATAGATGAATACTAAGCCCCATGTCTAGGAGCACAGTGAATCTTCAGGAGCTAGTACCAATGCATGCTTGGGTATTCTTGAAAAATGTGTTAGTCAATGTAATTTACATTTATTGTGAAACAAAGGAAACACCATTTCAAGTTCAGTGGTGCTAAATGCTGCTAACTCACTCCATCTACAATGCCCAAAATATACACAAACACCATGTTTTTCAAATATGTATGTCTAAAGTCAGCTTACTTAAATGTCATGGTTTACAGTGCTTTGTGGTACTGATAGATTTCTAAAAATAAGAATATTCCAGTGCCAGTTGAAATGCTCTCTGGACTAAATAGCTGTGTATGGGATTAGAGAATTGATGATATTACCCGCCTCTGAGGTGTAATCCATGAGAGGAAAAAATTATGTAATGCTGAGTTTAGCTAGCTTCTTGTGTTCATTATCTTTGTCTTTCTCCTTTGGAATGAGCTTGGAGAAATCAGGCTCACTATGACCACTTGGGTGCTGATGTGTTGCAAAGCTCAAAGAATTGGTCACAGACACACAGGCAAATACGCCTCCTCTTTGAGTCATCCTCTTACTTGCCTTACTCAGTGAAGTCTAAGTTATATGTTATGAAGAAGTGCCCTTCCTTTTGCCAAATTCAATTCAGAAATAAAATATTACAATATAATAGTAAACATTTTACATTTGGTATATATATGTACATAAATTGATTTTTATATTCTTAAAAGATACTAAGAAGCATGAAAATCAGATTATCCACACTTAATAGTGTATACCAAAACCAAGCTTTTGAGAAAAATAAGCAGCATTTATTGTCTTATCAACAGCCAATATTGGTGAATCCATGGATAGCTGTGTCTAAGCATGGGGTGGTAATCCCTGGGCTTGTAGAGAGCTCACCTACAGGCCTCTGTAAGGCACCTGCTTTCCCACTTGGCTATTTGAGTGGGTGCTCTACCCTTTCAGGATGAAGAATTGCTACCATGCTACCTGTTGCCAGTGGAAGGAAGAAGGGGAATGTGTCCTAAGTAGGTGGGTGTCAAAGCCCCCCATGTATCCTTGAACCTGCTAAATGGCTCTCTGGCACTTTCTCTTGGTTTCTACAAAAAGAACTTCAAGGAGAGCTTAGGTGAGCAAGGCCCCACCCGTGCAAATCTCTAAATAGGAACAAATGTATACCACTATTCTCATTTCTTTCATGACAAAATGTGGCATGAGTAGATAATTTTGACGTGGCTTATTCATGTGACTTAATGTGTGAAGCTTTTTAAAAAGGTAGTTAACTTTATTCATTTTTTGGATTTTCTTCAGTTTGTGTTCAAGACCAGTTCATACAAGGAGAGAACTATACATGAAGAACTGGCTGCAAATGTGACTGGTCTTTTGAAGTCCAATGACTCAATAACAGTGAAGCATGTCTTGAAGGTAGGATGGTCATTCAATGACTAGCACGAGGGGTAGGTCACTGTCACCTCTGAAAGATAATAGGATTTGTTGATTTCCATAGATGATTTCTCTTATTTCTGGCACATGCTTCATACTGAGACTGTAACATAAAAATATTAAGCAAAATATATCTGTTGTCAAGAGATCATAGAAAAAATGAAGAATGGGTCCAAGTGAAATGCTTTGGCCTAAAGACAAAAATGAGTAACTGTGAAGAATGATCTAGAATATTCAAAAATGCTAACTGTAGCACAGATAAAATTGTTGGGATTTTAGCCACAGTAAGGGTGAAAATGCTAAGGAAAGTATTGATGATGTATTATTTAATATGCTGACAACAGAGAGGAAGCATAACAATGATATTTTGGTCCTGCAAAGTGGAAGAACAAGCATCTCAAGGAACAAAAACAGAGAGATGATGAAAGGTTTATAAAATGGCCACTGTAATTATTACAGAATCCCCAATCAGTGCCAAGTTATATTTAATTTGTGACTTGACAGATGATTAGTAGCAAATTGAAAGAGAAGCCAGGCTCAATCTGTGTCAACATCAGTTCACTAAAATTCTCAGCCTTAGAACTTAATTGTTTGAAGTAGCCTTATGAGTATATTCATTCCATTTATTCAATAAATACATCGCAAGTGTTTTCCACCAACAGGCATAATCCTAAGCACTTGGGATGCATCAGAGAACAAAATAAGGACCCTTGCCCTGAAGAGGTTACATTCAGCTCACAAATAAAAACAATAAACTCTAGATATTCTTACAAAATCATATTGTTAGGCGAGACATAGAGTCAAAAAAGAAACTAGGTCAGAGTGCTAAAGTTGAAAGGCAATATTTAATATTTGGAGTTTCACACAAGGATGGGTCTCGTGAGAAGTTAATACATGGCCCAAAGTGAAGGAGGGGAGGGGGGTGTGCTTGGGAACATTTAGAGTGGAGCATCAGAGGTCCAGGAAATACCTTGTTAAGTCTTAAGAGGCAGAGCCTCGCTGCTGAATCTGAAGGAGAGAGGACGTCCACTGTGGCTGGAGCGGCGTGAGCAAAGAAAGGAGTTCAGATGAAGCCAGAGAGGCCCTGGGCAATCAGTCAAGCAGCAAAGCCTTAGGGGACGTTGCAAGGTCCTTGACTTCCACTTGGAGGAAGACCAGGAAGCATTTTCAGCAGCAGAGTGACATGAGCTCCCCGTGATTTGAAACGCAAATCACTCTGCTGGCCATGTTGAGAATAGACTACGGTGGGGTGAAAATAAAGACAGCACTGCCCAGCAGCAGATTGCCCCTGGAAAAGTCAGAAATCCTTTCAAAAATGAGGTGAGGGCAAGATCGCATCTTCAGGAGAGTTGGCTGAGGACAGGTCGTGTGCTCCAGGAGGTAAGGTGGGTTGCTTTTCATAGACAGAAAGCAGTGAAACATGGAGCTACAGAAGAGAATTTGGGCAGCCCGTGGAGCTCCAAAGGGTGGGAGAGTAGTCTCTTATGTCTTCAGACGAAAACAAAGGCCCAAGTTGATTCATCCTGGTAGATTAAGGAAGATAGGTCAGGCAAGCCAGAGTGCCTGAGGAATTAAGAGACAAATGTTGGAACATTTGTCATCATGGTTAAAAATATTAATAAGAAGCAAGAAAGGGAACTGTTGCACTCTGCCTGTGTTAATTTAATATTCCTAACCACAAGAATTTCACTTGTGATATTAGGCAGCCATTTCTTTTTTTTTTTTTTTTTTTTTTTTTATACTACTAAGTGACATCATGAAGCCAGAGCTGCCTCTTTGGAATGCTGATCTCTGCTCTTACTCATCTCAGTCTTCTGGAGTTAGGACTATGTACTCAACAATCCGCAGAAGCATTGTTTTTATCATTGTAAATTTGAGTGTAATCCAAATGCCCATTGATAGAAAAATAAATAAATAAATTGTGTTTTTATATGTGTGATGTGATGACAACATGTGCCCCTCAGCTGCATGTCTCGATATAAACAGAAGTTGTTGAATGAAGGAGAATATATTTCTAGGATGGCTCTAATTATAAGTTCTGCCGCAGGAAGAACTAAATATTCCTTCCATAGAGGGAATGATTAGCACTGAATTCATAACTGCGGTGGAAGTCATGGGAAGGGGAGCAGATCAGGGAATATATTCTTTACATATACAGTGTAACTGAAATATCTGATCCTTATTTTACCATTAATCTTTTATAAAGATCCTAATAAAGTAGAGAATATGCTATTGATCTGATGCATTTCATTTCAAAGAATATGTCTAAAATAAACATGTTGCAATATTATATAAAGAAAAACAAAATTATCATTATTTCACCATGGGATAATAAATTCCTTTTTGTCTTTTCTTATTCCTAACAGCATTCATGGTTTTTCTTTGCAATTATCCTAAAATCAATGGCACAGTACCTGATTGACACAAATAAAATTCAGGTAAGATAATGGGAATATAGTAATACAATATCATCCAAGAATTAAGCTCTCATTAGCCCAATTTTTATTGGTTTTGTAAATATTAGCAATTCATGCTAATTGCTTTTTAAGTAGGAGAAATAATTGCACTTATCAATACAGACCCTTCAGAAATAGATGCTAGGACAAAATTGGAAGCACAAAACATTTGTTTGGGAGAAACAGATAGAAAAAGAGAAAGGAAAAAGGAATACAGAGGCCTGATTCCTTTGAAAGAAAATGAGACAGGAACGCGGATGGGCTAGGAAGAGCCTCAGAATGAGAAAAGGTTTCTCCTGATGGGCACTTGGAGGGCAAGGGGTATTCATTAGAACAGTCCCGCACTTGACAGATGATCTAACTCACAGACCTCTAAAAGCTCATTCAGTGGGTGCTGTCTGCACAAAAAATGACCTTGGCAAGAATTCTTAAGTAGATACGTAGGTCAAACAACTCTTTTTTTTTTTTTTTTTGTCTCCCACTAGATTCTGTCTTGGAGTCATGTAAGCTCTGTATATCCATGGCTGCCACAGTCCATAGCATTCATGGTGTTTTGCACCTGCTCATAGCTCTGCCCCTCAATAGTCCCCAGACATCTCTTCCTAAAAGGAAACTGAAAATGAGGAGGTTAGTGGTGTCAGCTGCAGTTCTCATCACAGCAGTTGATTTCCTCAGAGGGCCTCCATCAACACACTATCTCTGTCTCCCTAATTTCCACTCTCGACTTCCTTCAACCTAGCAAGCAGCACGGAAGGCCTTGGTAACTCTCCAAACTCCCATTCCAGAGTGGTCTCAGCCTCCGGTAATCTACTCTGGCCAAGGTTGCTAAATGAGATCGTTCACACTTATTTGGTAAGGAAGACCAAGAAGTATCCAAACGGATCATCTGAGTTCCACACATGTTTCTTTCATTCTCATTTGGATAAAGCCAAGGGGAGACCTCACACATTGCCCATTCCCCATTGGGAGGGTGACACAGAACACTACTGCCTGGGGTAGGCATGGTGGCGATCAGCAATTTTGTTCTGATTTATTCTCCTAGTGAGGAAAGGACAGTGACAGAAGCTTCCACTTGACCATCTCCTATGAAAGCTCCATAGGACAAGCACCCAGTACAGGTTACTCCAAACATAAATTTCAGTAATAAGAATTCTATATTTGGTACCAAGTAAATGACTATTGTGTAGATCTTTGAACCCAGGGCACTCACTGTCAACAGAATTCCAGTCAGGACCACATTGTTAATCCCTGTAAGTCCCCGTTCTAATAGGGCAGACAGAGTGAGGCTTTTAGTTTCTAGATATCGTGCTCATCTCAGATTCTATGTCCAACAGTTCTTGAAGTGTGTATGCCCCTCTCCCCAGTGGCCAGTAGCCTGAGTAAATGGCAAAAGGAGCCATTGGAGAACACTGATGGGATCATCATGGTGTATACTGTACTTAGTGCAGGGTTACAGGGGCTTCCCTTCAGGGAGCCAGCCACCTCCATGGCCAGTGTACACCAGGCCTAGAAACAGAGAGCAATCCTGACTGCTGGGGTGAATATCCTTATCCTCTGACTACCTATTCTTGTCTTTGGTGTGGATGTGAAGTAGTCCCACTGTTGGTTGCTGTCTGTACTATACCTGAGGATTCCACGTCATTAACCAGCTCTACAACTCCCTGAGAATCAAGCCCCCCACTGCCCCTCCAGCCATACCGCTACTGTGATCATCACAGCCTGCTGAATCCTAAAGATTAAGTGCAACACATGGCCTCTATTAGTTTTGGTGATTCACTTGTCTCCTGGCTGTTAATGAGCCAACACCATACTGCTTCTCCCACCAACAAAGGAGAGACACCACTGAACTTCTTGGTGATGTAGATCCTAGCACATTCTTGATAGCCTTGACTTCCGGATCTTCCTGTGGAACCTGATCCTTCTCTTGGTCTCAGTTAATATGTTCATTCCCACATGTGCGCTTTCCTCTACTTCTGTTCCTTCCTCTGTTCATTGCCGGGGAAATTCAGACATTTCCACTCTTCATACAGTAGACCATCTCAGGATTCTCAGAGCCACTCTAAGACTGAGTTGCCTATTCCCTGACACCTTATTTGACCCTATGTTGTAAAAAAAAAAAGAAAAGAAAAAAAATGTCCCATGCCATGTGTAGGAATTCTGATTTACCCACTCATATTCCAGCCCATTGATCAAACATCCCCAATGTCCAGCCCCAGCGGTGTCCCCCTGGCTCCTGCTGGTACATGCTAACTAATTTCCATAGCTCCCTGGAATGTATTCTGTTTCCTCCTTGATTAAGCCTAGCAAGTCTACAGCTGGGTTAAGCTAGAATTTAATCACCAGGAGAGGAAGCAGGACAACTCCTCAAGTATTTGCTTATTTCCTTGCCTGTGCAGTGACTTCTCACATGGGAGAAATGTTGACTCTTCATGGAAAGAGTTAGGACACTTCAGGCTTGAGGGTTCACAGCCACTTCCTCTGGGTCATCCGCCTGAGGTCCCCACCGTGCCTCCAAGTCACCCCAGTCATGCTCTTGACCTTAGCATGAGAAATGTCTTGGCTGGACCTTTCATCATCTCTGGAGTTTACAACTCTTAACTCCTGGGTCCCACATCTGCTCTTCAGCAGCATCTGTTCTCCCACTTCCAGAGATGAAAGCCTCATATCTGGGAGGAAGAGAAGAACTCAGCATGAAGATACGAATGACTTATCTCTCTGTCGTTAAGCTATGTTGGTGACAGGAAACCTACTATTATAATCCATGTGCTGTCACTATCTTGCTAGATGAAAAAATAGCACTTAAGATCTCAGAGCCTAATTTGCATCTATGAAAAAGTATATTGTCTTCTAGTTACCACCAGCAGCACCTGTTCAAGTAGATCACAAAGTACAACTGTGAACAACATAAGAATAAATGAACTGATCATAGGCAGCAGGTTTGTGCCCAGCAATTTACCTTCATCGTTCAGGTTTACCTTTCACGGCCGCTTCAGTGGTAACCCCCAGATTCAGGTTTCCTCTCGGCAGCTCAGCACCTTCAAATTTTGTTATCATCTGTCCTATCACAATAAGGAAAGATCTGAGATCATCATTTAACACAAAAGCATTCACAGTCAATCTATCCTGTTGTTTGTATGTTTCCTCTTTTTAAATTGTGAAGTGAATGGCTTTTTCCACCATTAGAGAATTCAGTCATCTAAAGGGTGAGTGTGAGAGATTTGAGGAAGTGAAGGTAGGTGTTTGGCAGATGCAATTTGATTTGGCAGATAGTGTTCCCTTGTGACCCAGGCTCTCTTGGATAAGGTGAGTTCCTGTTTCCTGGGAACTGCTGAGTGTCTTCTCAACACTGATCTGTAGTAGCAATAGCTCCATTGTGTTGGCTAAATTGCTCTTATCCCATCATCTTCCAGGTTCCTAACAAAATTCCCCAAACACCAAAAATGCAGGCAGCCCATGCAACCTGAGCCTATTCCTCATGGCCATGGCCAGACCATAGCCCAGACTCTTCTGCCTTTGCAAGCTGTGCAGCTCAAGGCACCTGCTGTCACCACACTCCCTTCCTCTCTTATCTCTCCATAATCTCTGGAGCAAGAATTCTTCTACCTTTACAGCATTCTTCCAGAGGAGAGTTAAAAACATTATCTATGCACTTATCAGCATGGTTTTTAGTTAATTTTGAAGATATTCTGAAAGGAAGTCATAAAGAAGGAGGGAGAAAGGGAATGCCAAAGCCCAAGGTATTAATACATGTCCATGTGGACAAAATGTCAGCATTGATAGATTTAATGGCTATTAAGGCACAAACAGCATGAATGACTAAACTTCAAATGTGCTTTGATCACTTAAAAAGATAATTTTTGGTAGCTAAATTGTTTATCCTTATCACCTATGGCATATGGAACAGAATGAAAAATTACATGTATGGTCATTTAAGTAGGGTTGATTTGTTGTTAATTTATTTGATTTCAATAATAAGTTTTAAACTTTTTAAGGTAAACATGAGATCCACAAAATGTCTATACAGTGATGTTCTGGTAAATTGGCTTGAAAAAAAAGTCAGTCCAAGCCAGTTCCTGTTTCCACTACTAAGTCTCTGTGTTATATATGTCTGCTGTTAGGCTGGCCTTAATGGTTTTATTCTCGCAATATGGAAGGTAGAGTGCCAAAACTTTGGGAATGTATTGTTCAGTCTGTCTCTAAATTCTGTGTTTCTATTTATAACAGGAATGTGCCTGGCCTATTTATTTATTTATTGTAAACAGATCCATGTATTGTGCAAGCTTAGTGTATACTCACTGTTAAAAAATCTATTTATTTTATTTGAAAGGCAGAGTTACAGTTACAGTGAGAGAGAGAACCTTTATCCACTGGCTCACCCCGCAAATGGCTGCAATGGCTAGAGCTGGGTCAGACTGAAGCCAGGAGCTTCCTCTGAGTCTCCCACACACAAGGCAGGGGCCCAAGCACTTGGGCCATTTTCTGCTGCCTTCCCAGGAACATCAGCATGGAGCTAGATCGAAAGTGGAGCAGCCAGGAATCAAACCAGCAGCCACATGGGAAGCAGCATAGCAGGCAGCAGCCCCACTGGCTGTGCCACAGTGCTGCCCCTATATGGCCTCATTTTTAAAGCCAGCTTGTAAAGATGAATAAATCCTAACTACCGGTTGTCAGGAACTGCACAAATTCAAGAGGTGGAGGCTGAGGTGGGACAAGTGAACTGCCTCCAACTGACCTCATGGGCAGGAGCCATGGCGCCCTGGACCTAAGGGAGAGCTTTCAAGACTCATAAAGTTTTACTAAATATATGGCATGGAATTTTTGTTATTTTTTTATTTTTTTAAATTTATTTGACAGGTAGAGTTATAGACAGTGAGAGAGAGAGAGAGAGAGAAAGGTCTTCCTTCTGTTGGTTCACTCCCCAAATGGCCGCTACAGCTGCCGCTGCGTTGATCCGAAGCCAGGAGCCAGGTGCTTCTTCCTGGTCTCCCACGCGGGTGCAGGGGCCCAATAACCTGGGCCATCCTCCACTGCCTTCCCGGGTCACAGCAGAGAGCTGGACTGGAAGAGGAGCAACCGGGACTAGAACCCGGAGCTCATATGGGATGCCGGTGCCACAGGCGGAGGATTAACCAAGTGAGCCACAGTGCTGGCCCCATGGCATGAAATTTCACAGACAAGCCCTGCATCTTGTGGCACAGTATTTGGACTTCTGAGGTCTCACTGATGCCTCTTAACTGTGACGTATCCTGGGACGTGTAACTAAGATTAGCTGGAACTCACCACTTACCAGAGGACATTTCAGACCAATATCCATACTCATTTGGTTATTCATTCATTGATTTTTTTGTATTGGTATATTTCAGAGATTCTAATAGAATCAAAATAATTGAATTTAAATTAAAGATTTATACATCAAAAAAATCTACAATAATTATTCATTAATCACTGCTAGTAGTTATTCCCTGAGAGGGAAGGGAAAGAAATTAAGATATGAGATGTCATAATAAAAATTCACATTTTACTCTGTACATTGTTTGAATAGTTTCCAATTCATGAATGTTATAATTTACTTTGAAATGAAAAAAAAAAAAAAACTTCACGGGCCAAAATAGAAGGAAACATTTAATGAAAAGATTGGAAATCGTGACTGAAATTAAAATATCTTCTGTCTCATTGTTGCTGGTTTTCAAAAGGATTCTTTTTTATGTGACAATCTATAAAATGAAATAAGTCTTGGTTTGTTTCCTCCCTGCTTAGTTTCCCACATGCCACATTATAAAGAAATAATCTATTATTTCCATAGCTTCCCCGGGCTCAAAGATTTCCTGAGTCTTACCAAAATGAACTGGACAATCTTGTGATGGTCTTATCCGACCACGTGATTTGGAAATACAAAGATGCAGTTGAAGAAACAAGAAGAGCAAACCACAGCATTGCCAGATTTCTTAAGGTACAGTTACATGAGCTCACAGCTAACTGAAGTTTCGTAATAGTGGGAACAAGATATTCTAAGTGTTTATTGATTCATATTTCAACAGAAAGAGTCAAAACCAGGACCATGAGGTAAATATTTTAACTCATAGTAGTGTACTTCAAAAAGTTTATGGAAAGTGGAATTAAAATGTGAATTTACTTTGATGTAAAAAAATGCAATCCATGCATACAAGAGATCTTCCAAAAAGTTATGAAAATATGTATTGTGAAAAATTATGTTAGAATTTTTTTGCAACAAAATTATCTTACTTTTTAATTGAATTTTTGTCTGAACTTTTGAAGTACACTCCTACATTTTTCCTGCTTGAAATACTTTTTCCTCCCAATTTGGAATCTTGTGTAAAAGGACCAAAGCTAGATTAAATTAATCATTTGAGTGTTTTTCAATTCATAATATTTGGGTTTTTTAAGATTTATTTATTTGAAAGGCAGGGTTACAGAGACAGATGGACAGAGAAAGAGAGATCTTCCCTCCACTAGTTTACCCCTCAAATGGCCACAACAGCCAGAGTTTGGCAAAGCCAGAGTTAGCAACCCAGAATTCCATGCTGGTCTCCCACATGGGAGGCAGGGGCCCAAGTACCTGGGCCATCTTCCACCACTTTTCCCATTGGTAATATAATTCAGGGAGCAAGATAAGAAGTGCAGCAACTAGGACTTGAACCAGCACTCATATGGAATGCCAGCATTCCAGGGAGTGGCTTTAACCCACAGTACCACAATGCCATCCCTCAAATTATAGTAGTTCTAAAAATTCTTAAAAGAGAAATGAAATTTTTAAAGGCAAATCTGCACTGTAGCATATTTTTTCTATCTCATATCTCTGTGTTTGAAGTGATCTTCTGATTGCAGCTCTAATAATGATGCCAAAAAAACAATTTAGAAAAAAACCTTTGGAAATTTATCACTTTTGTTGTGTTCCTCCCAAGCTCTTGTTTACATGGTGTAAAATAAGCATTGATAGTATCAAAGGACAATTATCAGTGAGACACTGAGCAGCTACTTTTTAAGTTGGCTATTTATGGAAAGTAGTTATCTTGCTTGAGTTATGGGATTTCATCCTGGGTTGAAAAGACAAAAAGACAAAGTTAAAACAGTGGACCTGCAGAATTACGGTGTATGAGCATACTTCAAGAAGTATATGCAAAAATGGAATTTAAAGGTAAGTTTATTTTGGTGTTAATTTTTTTAAATCCATGTATAATACTTTCATAATAGGCTTTTTCTTGAACTTTTTGAATACTCCGCAAAGGCATGGATTTAAAAACTTTTTGCACCAATATAAACTTATCTTTTAATTTCATTTCTACAAAGCTTTTGAATTATTTTTATTGTTTAATAGATAAGGCACTCTATAGAATCACAGTGATTTTCTTTTCTTCCTTCTTTAGTCCAACTATTAACTCGTATAACCTTAAGGAAGCTGTTATAATTATTTAATAATGGTGGACATAAGAACATGCTGGGTGGATGTGAGCATTTATGAGTAAATGTTGACAATATAGTGAAGAGGTTATGATGGTATATGGAAAATTAGACTGAGTTGTTTTTGCTGAACTATAATCCAGTCTAATTTTTTTAATGTTATAACAACTATTTTGAATTGCACATTGTTTGTTCTTTTCTGCATTTGTTTATTTTTTAATACATGTCTCATATGATTTTTTTTCTTTTCCTTTGTTTTGGGGATAAGAATAACATAGTCCAGAATTAAGGGGAAGAGGGTAAAGTAAAAAAAAATTACTCAGTTTCTACCACATTTTAATACCTGTGGGAATAAATAGTTTTCTTTTTTGGTAATTTGTTTGAAGTACTTAACAGGATAACAAACTTGAAAAAAATTATACATAGTCCAGTTTTTAAGCTAAATATGTGTAAAGATATATCTACAATATTCTTCTCTAACGTGCAAAAAATGATGAGTAAGCAAGTTTCTAGAAAAAGGAAAAGATTCATATCCACCTTCCATTGCTTAAATGGACTGCACTTGTTGGAAGAAATGAATATCTCTTTTGGAGCTCATGTAGCAAAGGTTCTTGCTGCTAACACATAAACTAGTGTCCAACATGGGGGCAAATCAATAAATGCTAAAGATGAGAAAGGAAATGGAAGTACCAGTGGCTCGGTGAAAACTGTAAGGAGAGAGCAGAGACAGACAACAAATAAACAAATATGGTTGATAAGATCCGTAGATCACATGGGCTAGAAATGGAAAACAATACATAAATGAGACATCAATAAAGGGAAAGATTAATTTAATAGATTTTACCTCATGAGTCTATCACGTGCATGTTATTTCTAATTTGTAGTTCTAATGGGAATTGTTAGCCTCAGAAAACTTCTTAAAAAGTTTTTTTGGAAAATGTGGATGAATCATTTGAATTACAAGAGAAAAAAGGATATGGAGAGAAAATAATTTTACAAAAAGTAAAATTAAAGGTAGTCCTTTGGTGCACTTCCAATGAATAATGAATTTCGAGCTTTTTTTTTTTTTTTTTTGACAGGCAGAGTTAGACAGTGAGAGAGAGAGAGAGAGAGAGACAGAGAGAAAGGTCTTCCTTTTCCGTTGGTTCACCCCCCATGTGGCCACTATGCCCGGCGTGTTGCGGCTGGCGCACTGTGCCAATCCGAAGCCAGAAGCCAGGTGCTTCCTTCTGGTCTCCCATGTGGGTGCAGGGCCCAAGGACCTGGGCCATCCTCCACTGCACTCCCGGGCCACAGCAGAGAGCTGGACTGGAAGAGGAGCAACTTGGACAGAATCTGGCACCCCGACCAGGAATAGAACCCAGGGTGCTGGCACCGCAGGCAGAGGATTAGCCTAGTGAGCCAAGGCACTAGCCAATTTCAAGGTTTTGGTTGCTCAACTTTACCCATTCCTAGTGTTTGCATCAGTCCAGCAGGCTGATATTAGGTATTTACTCAGATGAGGCACTAAATGACTTTTACCTCTTTTGATTATTTAATTCAACATGATTAATGAAATATGAATTAAATGTCATTGAACTTTAACAATTAAAATATCATAATGACGTAGTTGTACCAATATTGTTTTATGAGAATCAAGAGAGCTGAATTTTTGGAGACCAATGTGGGGACATATAAAAATGACCTGGGCTGGAAGTTATCATCTCTCACCTTAAATCATGGGAAAGTAATTCTGGCAAAAATTTGCATATTTCTCAACTGTTCTCTCACTAAAGTAGAAAGGATAAGAATAGACCCATAATGATTTATACAGCTTTGTAATCTTTTTCCCATTTCTGCCAATCTGGGTCACAGCTCTACTTACCTGGGCACACCTGCTCAAATACTCTGCACTCTGCTAAAAGGCAGAATACCGAGGTGACAGCAAAGGCAGATTCATTTTGACTCATTTTCCTGCTGAGAGAGCCATCGCTCACCCATTCACTCATCTGACTACTCACTGATTGCAACTAGCTTTTGAAAACTATTTGGAATCGTTGGATACAAAAGGCAGAACTAGCCTTTTAGCAAATATTTTGAAAGAAACATCTGTGGTATTTCTCTCTAAACATCAAAAAGGGATGGATAAATGAGTCTCCAAGAAGGGAAAAGTCTTCCTACCTATTTGGCTTAACGATTCTGTTCTCTTGGAATAAACAGATGTTTACAACAGAACTTAGCAACATGAAAGTTGTATGGTAGTGCATAAGCTAATGCCTCACAAAGGAGCAAAAGCAACATGTCCAAGAGAAAAAGAAAATCGTGAGGCCAGAAGTTCTGTAAAACATAAAGAAAGAACAGGGTCATTCATGTGGCTTGTTTTGCGATTTGGAGTTTCACTATTCACTGCTGAACCAATTATAATAAAATTCTCATTACTCACACAACTGGTGAAAAAAATTATATTACAGTAATATATGTTGGCATATTTAGAATATTTGATTTTTTGTTTATTAAACAAAATAAGAAAATGCTTAGTAGAATTTAAGTTGTCTTCTAAATCAGGAGTCTACAATCTTTTTATGTAGAAGAACAAATTCTAAATATCTTCAGTTTTGCAAAAATTCTGACTACTCAGCTTTACTATCATAATGCAAAAACAACCATAGGTAATTCATCACAGAAATAGGTAAATAATTGAATGTGGCTATTTTCCAATAAAATTTTATTTACAAAAACAAGTGATGGGCCAGACTTAACCAATGGATCACAGTTTATCCACGTCAGCTGTATTTTATTTTCTATTAGTAAAAGAGAATTATACTAAAACAAAAATGAAGCGGCTGCTCCAGGCCTATTCGTGGACAGGAAAGCATCCACACGTGGGGTGAAAAAGATGCTGGTATGGACCAGACGCAGGTGACCCAGGACAAGACAAATACAGTCAATGACACTGGATCTGGAGGAAGGGGTTGTTTTCTTTTGTTTGTTTTCTCCATGCGACTCCAGCCCTGAATTCCTTTTTTGAAAAAGTTATTATTTATTCTTTATGTATATAAATGAAACAAAATTCATTTATTTCAGATATACAACTTATTTATTTATTTTATTTGAAAGGCATAGTTACAGAGAGGCAGAGAGAGAGAGAGAGATCTTCCATACACTGGTTCACTCTCCAGATGGCCACAATGGCCAAAACTGCAGCAATCCGAAGCCAGGAACCAGGAGCTTCTTCCGGGTCTCCCACACCGGTGCAGTGGCACAAGGATTTGAGCCATCTTCTACTGCTTTCCCAGGCCACAGCAGAGAGCTAGATGGGAAGTGGAGCAGCCGGGACTCGAACCAGTGCCTATATAGCATGCCGGCACTGCAGGCGGTGACTTTACTTGCTATGCCACAGTGCTGGCCCAAGACATACAGTTTTAAGAACATAATAATACTTCCCACCCTACCCTCTAGTCCTCCCTCATTCCCATCCCCCCTCCTACTTTCTTTCTTATTTTTAAGTTTTACAATGACATACTTTCAGTCTACTTTATAATCACAAGCTTATCCCTCCATTAAATAAAGAATTAAACAGTACTAAATAGAAAAATCACTGTTCCTCAAGAGTACAGACAAGAGGTATAAACAATAAAATCCCAAAATGTCAGTTCATATGCATTACTTTTTTTTGTACTCTCTGTATTAGTTACCACAAATCAGGAAAAACATATGAGATTTGTGTTTTGGGGACTGGATTATTACACTAAGCATAATGGTTTCCAGTTGCATGCATTGTGTTGCAAAAGACAAGATTTCTTTCTTTTTTGCATGGTTTAGTATTCCATCGTGTATATAAACCACAGTTTATCCAGTCATCAGTTTATGGACATCTGGGTTGATTCCATATCTTAGCTACTTTGAGTTGAGCTGCTATAAACATGGGGGCTCAAATAACACTTTCATATGCTGATTTCATTTCCTTTGGGTAAATTCCCAGGAGTGGAATGGCTGGCTCATATGGTAGATCTATTTTCAGATTTCTGAGGAAGCTCCATATTGTCTTCCATAGCCACTGTACTAGTTTGCAATCCCATCAACAGTGTATTAAGGTACCTTTTTCCCACATGGAAGAAAGGGTTTTTAGGAAGAGAGCTCACTCTTCGGATGTTGCGCCCTAGGATTCATCTTTCTCCTTCCCTGCCCCTGGGAAAGAGAAGACGAGCTTACCACATAGAAGGTCTTTCTTAAAATTCAAGAACCCGGACGTTGGATTTTCTAGCTTCACGGGAAAACCTCTTGCCTTTCATCCCCACTGATAGGTGCTGGAAACAGGCCTGCTTGAAAGACTCACAACTGATCTTCGGAATAGCCATCATAAACCTTGTGGGTATGCAATTGCCATCTCTACTCTGGACTAGTCCATAGACAGGAATCACCAGTCCTTCCTCCAAGGACTCAAAGCACCCTATCACCAAAGACCTCCAGGGTTCTTTTGCTCTTGCTCTAGAAGATTCTAGAGCCTGTAAATGTACAGGGGGACTTCCTCTCAGTCAGGTGAGGCCAAGGCCTCGTCCCAGCAGACAGCAGCGGTCCTCTAAAGAGTTGCCTGCTAGGGATATTCACAGGGTGGCCACATTGGACTTCCACCTGCAAAAAGAGGGCTTGGTGGGATTGGACAGTTTCACTCTTACTCAGTACGGCTCTGGAAGTTTTAGTGAGAGCAATTACGGAGGAGAAAGAAATAAAGGGCATCAAAATTGGAAAAGAAGTAGTCTAATTATCCATGTTTGCAGATGACATGGTGTTGTACATGGAAAAAGCTAAACACTCCACCAAAAAGCTGTTAGAATTGACAAACCAACTCATTAAAGTTGTAGGTTACAAAATACAAATATACAAAATAACTTTTTTGTTTGCTAATGATGAACTCACAGAAAGAGAAATCAAGAAAGAAATCCATTCAGAATATCTGTACACAAAAATATCAAATATTTAGGAATAAATTTAAGAAAAGAAGTGAAAGATCTCTACGATGAAAATTATCAAACACTGATGAACGATATCTTCAAAGATACAAAAAATGGAAAGATATTCCTTGCTTATGCACTGGAGGAATCAATCATTAAAATGTCCATACTACCTAAAGCTATTTATAGATCAATACAATCTCTATAAAAATAGCAATGGCATTCTTTACAGACTTAGAAAAAAACAGTCCTAAAATTCACATGGGATCACAACAGCACCCCAGCAGCAAAAGCAATCCTGAACAATAAAAACTAAGCTATAGGCACCACAATACCTGATTTCAAAGCATACTACAACCCTATAGCAATTAAAACAGCATGGTACTGACATAAAAATTGATACATAGATCAGTGAAACATAATAGAGAACCTGGAAATTAATCCACATACATACAGTCAATTGATTTTTGACAAAAGTGTTCACACCATACAGTGGAGGAAAGATAATCTCTTCAACAAATGGTGCTATCACAACTGGATGCATATATGTAGAAGAATGAAATGAGTGAACATGCTCGTCTTGTTCCATGTCTGAGGGGAAATGCTTTCAGTTTTGGCTGTTGGCTTGTGATATATAGCCTTTGTAATTGTGAGGAATGTTCCTTCTATACCTTCTGGATGGTTTTATCATGAAGGAGTGTTGAATCTTATCAAATGCTTTCTCTGCATCTATAGAGATGAATATATGTTTTTATTCCTCATTATATTGTTGTGATTTATGATGTTTATTGATTTGTGAATGTTAAACCACCCTTGAATTTTTGGGTAAATCCCACTTGATTATGATGGATGATCTTTTTTATGTGGTTTTGGATTCAATTTGCTAGTATTTTGTTGAGAATCTTTGCATCTATGTTCATCAAGGATATAAGTCTTGTTTTCTTTTTGTGTCATGTCTTTGGTTTTGGTATCAAAGTTTGTTTGGTTTTGGTATCAAATTTTTATGCTGACTTCATAAAAAGAGTTTGGCAGAATTCCATCCTGTTCAATATTTTGGAATAGTTTAAATAGTTTAAAGAGTATTGGAGTTACTTTCTCTTTGAATGTTTTGTTGATTTCAGTAGTAAATCTATTAGGTATCAGACTTTTCCTTGATGGAAGACTTTTGATTACTGCTTCAATCTCATTGCTTGTTATGAGTTTGTTTAGATTATCTTTGCCTTCTTGATTTGATCTTGATAGGTTATATAAATCCATGAATTTATCCATTTCCTTGATGTTTTTCATAGTAGTTTCTTATGATCCTTTGTATTTCATTGGTGTCAGTTGAAGTGTCTCCTTTTTCATTTTTATTTTATTTATTTGAGTTCTTTCTCTTTTTTGCTTGTTAGTCTGGTTACAGGTTTATGTATTTTGTTTATATTCTCAAAAAACAACTTTTTTGTTGACCTTTTATATTCTTGTATTTTCACTTTATTTCTGATCTGACCCCTATTATTTCTCACTTCCTGCTGATTTGGGGTTTGGTTTGTTGTTGTTTTTCTAATTCTTTAAGATGCATCACCAGATCTTTAATTTGAGACATTTCTCTTTTTAATGTAAGCACTTAATGCTATAAACTTCCCTCTTAATATTGCTTTAGCTGTATCTCACAGATTTTGATATGTTGTATTTTCATTTTAATTTACTTCCAAGAAGTTTTTGATTTCTTCTTTTAATTTCTTCCATGACACATTGATCATTCAACAGCAGGTTGTTTAATTTCCAAGTATTTATGAGTGTTCTATTGTTCTTGTTGTTGATCTCGTTTTATTCCTTTATGTACAAAAGCTTTCTCTCCATCCCTACCCCCACCCCCTGATTCCTACCTACTGTTGCACAGCAAAACATACTCACCTGAGCAACTGTGGAATCTCATTTCTAAAAAATAGTAATAAAATTTAACTGAGTAAAAAATAGACAACTGAAAGCTAAAAATTTCTATATAAAAAGGAAAAGACTTTGGCCTTTCATTTCAAAACTCCAAAAGATATTTTTATAACATTGACAAGTATAGGTTTGTAATGTTCAGATTTGGATATTATATTTAGTATTTTAATTAGTTGCCATATTGGAATAGAGTATATTTTAGAGATTTTTAAAACTCTTATACAGCATATTTCTTTAATGTTATTTTAATTCCATATATTTAATCATCTTTTCTAAAATCTTTAATGATCCCTCAAGTAAAATTGTTTGGATTTTGAATTTTACTTTTTTAGCGCTGCTTCACATTTATGGACCGAGGATTTGTGTTTAAGATGGTCAACAATTACATCAGCATGTTCTCCTCTGGTGATCTCAAGGTAAGGGACATATGCAAATATACAAAACTAACATTTTTTTAAAAGATTTATTTATTTATTTGAAAGGCAATGTAACAGAGAGGCAGAGGCAGAGAGAGAGAGAGAGAGAGAGAGAGAGAAAGAGAGGTCTTCCATCTGCTGGTTCACTCCCCAGATGGCCATAACAGCTGGATCTGGGCCGATCCAAAGCCAGGAACCTGGAGTGCAGGGCCCAAGGACTTGGGCCATCTTCTACTGCTTTCCCAGGCCATAGCAGAGAGCTGGATGGGAAGCAGAGTATCTGAGAGTCGAACCGGCACCCATATGGGATGCTGGCACTGCAGGCAGTGGCTTTGCCCACTGTGCCATAGCTCTGGGCCCAGAACTAACTGTTTTTAAATGCTGGTGTTATAAATAAATATATTGGTCTATATATATCCCTAAAGCGTTAACCATTCCTTTTTCTGTGTTAGAAGAGAATGTCTGTACCCGGGAGATGCAGGCTCTTAAATGGTTCACCCTCTGAGTAAGACTCCCAAGTCCTTTCTTAGTGGGAGACAAAGGCATGTGGAATGAGCATGTGTACTTTTCGCTTTTATTTCCTGTGGGTGGTGGAAGGACTGGCTCTTTCCAGATGCAGCTCCTGTGGTCCAGTTTATCCTGGACTCTTTCTGTTCTATCACTTAAAGCCCCGCTTCCCCAAAAATCTTTATGTCCTGGTTAAAATGGGACAGTTGATCTCCACACCCGAAGAGAGGTATGGATGGGAGATGGGGAAGGGACTCTAGATCAGTGGTCCTCAAAGTGTGTTTTCTAGGTCAACAAGGTAGCATCAAAGAGACCTAGAAGTCTGTTTTTTTAAAAAGATTTTATTATTTATTTGAGAGGTACAGTTACTGACAAAGAGAGGGAGAAACAGCAAGAAAGGTCCTCCATCTGCTAGTTCAGACTCCAGATGTCCACATCGGCTGGAGGTGAGCCAATCTGGAGCTAGGAGCTTCTTCAGGTCTCACGCAGATGCAGAGGCCCAAGGACTTAACACGAACTGGTGCCCATATGGGATGCTGGTGCTGCAGGTGGAGGCTTAGCCTACTGTGCCACAGCACCAGCCCCTAGAAATCTGCTTTAACAGGACTCTCGGGTGGTCCTTATGCACTCTCAAGTTCGAGACCCATCAAGATCTAACATGTCACCTGCTACAGTGACATATATTGTGATCTGGAAATGGACCAGATCATAAACTCTGTATCAATTAAGGCTGTTGGGTTGCAAGCAAATGAAACTTACTCCAATCTGAGCAAAAGGGGACTTATTAAAAGGATGTTGAGATTAAATACTATTTGTGAATCAGGTGGAGAACTAGGCTTAGAAATGAGCAGGGACCAAGGAACTTCCAAAAGAAAAGAATAATGGCAAGTGAGGAACTGGTTGAGCAGGGTACTACTAGTGCTGCCACCGCACAAATGCCGGAGGTAGCTTCTCCCTCTTAGTACATTGCTTCAGGTTTACATTACATAGAGAAAGCATCTGGTCAACCTGCCATGGGTCACATGCCTGCTTCTTACAGATGGCATGAATTAGTAGTTCACTGTTAGCCTTTATTCCTTGGGAAGGAGAAAAGACCCCCAGAGGGAAATTATTTAGGAAATTATATAGGTGGAGAGCCATAGATGTAGAGAGGCCAAAAATAGATAACGATCTTCTGATAGCCTTTCATGTCATGCTTAAGAAGTTTAAACATTATTTTCTTGTCAGTAGAGATGTACTTTAGACCAGGGGAGTTGCATGATTAAATGCAATTTGATTTTGAAAATCCAATTCCTCTCTAAATAGATTTAAATGATATTCTTTGTTTCTGTTGCTATTATGCATGAAATTTGCAAAATAGTCATGTGGATGTAATGGTAATAGTATTAAATTACATATTTTTCCAAAGACCAAGCAGAATGCTTGCAATGAAGATAATTAACATATACCTTAATTATACTTCACTCATTTTGATGTACAAAGGATTATCTTTTGTAGTACCCTTGTTTAAAGTATTAGTATTGACTACAATCATCACAAAATCTAATTCTAAAATATGTGAGTAAATGGGACATATTTTATCTTGTGAGCAGATATTAGTGATTATGATGATGCTGATCTCACTTGGACTTAGCATGCATGAGAGTGAATATAGGGCAATTATGAGCATGCTCGCTGTTCCTTCTAATGTAGCTATCTCTGATCTGTGTGTTACATTCTTCTTTCCATGTTTGGAATCCAAAGACAACAGTGATTTCATGCAAACATTTTGAAAATGCAGATTTGTTAGCAAGGGCAAGGAAGAAGGTGGCATTGGACAATGTACTCTGAGAGCAGGTGTCATATGGAGTTCACTCGATTGCCTTCCCTAGCTCTGGGATGTGGGAGCTGAATGCAGTGGTCTGTTGTGCAGTTGGAGTACCGGTTTTGAGGGAGTTCTGTACTTGTGGTACAGCAAGATGTTTTTTCTAATAAATATGTCATGACATAAACTGAAAGAAGCTTAAAAATGTGACTCAGTAGGACCTTATCTCACAGAAGCTCAATGTATGTTACAAATGGGACCTGAGGATGCCTTAACCAATCCCCAAAGAAGGGAAGCCTACACCACATATATCACAGGTCATAAAATACTTTCCACTTGACAGTTGCTTGGTGGTCTCACAAAAACAGCTAATTCATTTTTTAAGAAGATAAGATTCAAAGGCATGTATTTTTTGTTGTTCTTATTAACTTTCTTGGTGTGTAAATAATAGTCATTCAGTTTGCCTCTTTTGCAGACCTTATGCCAGTATAAATTTGATTTTCTTCAGGAAGTATGTCAACATGAGCACTTTATTCCTTTGTGTCTCCCCATAAGATCAGCGAACATTCCAGGTAATAATCCCCAGGATTTTCCTCAGTTCCTACCAGTGAACATTTGTATTTGTTTTGCCTTTTGTTTGTTATTGTTTTCATGTTTCCTCAGTCATGGTTTTGTATGAAATTGTCACATGAGTATTACATCCAAGTAATCAGGTTAAAAGGCAAAGAAGTTATTGGCTTGTGGTGAGCATACTTCTCTGTATTTCTCAATTTTTATCAGATTCCTTTTTATTAAAGGGAAAGCTAACGAAATTACAAGTCTGGTGATTGTAAATCAAAGAATTTTAACAGAGACATATCCTCTTTCATATTACTGTCTCAAAAAGATAGCTTTCCTTTGATTTTGATTTTCATAAAATCACAGGGAGGAAAAAGTATAGTTTGTGAATGTAAATTCCCTTGAAATTATCAATTAATATGTGTAATTATGTTAAGTGCAATCCTTCAAAATGAGTTATACAAAGAAGACTGGCACATTGGAAAGGAGGAGGGAAGGAAGACGGAGGGAGGGAAGAAAGGAATGCAGATAATAAATATTTGACACTTCAGGACAAGAGAAAGGAAGAGGATAGGTGTGTAGAAAAGAATGGGGCTTCACATTTTGTTTACTAAACATACTATAGCATAAGTTGTATACAGGAAATACTTTCATTTAGTACTTCTGTAAATATATACATACACATATTTACATATACACATATATTTACAGAATTATGTATAGATATATATACAGAAGTGTATATAATATACAGTATATATATATTTCTATGTACAGAAGTATATATACAACATACTATATAGAATATATATGTATATCAGAAAGAACAGGGTAGAGGGTGAGCAGTACCTGGCTCAATGTTACAACCTAATTAAAAATCAAGTTACAAAGAAACACTAAAATGATTCAGGAACTTGAAATACTTTACTTCTGAACAGTGAGTAAAACAATTCACAAAGCACAGTTTTGATATTCAGAGCTACAATGATCACAAGCTTTCTTATACCTATTATAGCTTGAAGTAATATTTTGGAGGGTAAAAGAGGAAAAATTATGAAGTCTGTAAAAGTTTTCCATTTAAATCTTAAATATAATTCATATTACATCATTCTATTTTATTCCTAGTTTATGAATCATAATTCATAGAAAAAAGAAAAAATTATATATTGGACATCAAAATTTTGAACCATTTGCTTTGGATTTGTTTTGTTTTAAAAAGTACCAAGTTATTATTGGTAGCCTAGCTGGTTAAGATGTTCAAGAGGAGAAATCTTACTTGGCCATTTAGATACCAAGTGTTAACTATTCGTTCATAGCCCAGAAAAAGGCTTAATACTCTCTTTGTAGATCTGATACTATATACAATGAGCATATACGTTTCATAGCAAGCAGTGTTCTGATACAGAAACTAGCGCTCAAGTAGGAGGCTCAGAATGACAATAATTTTGTTTTATGATGTATTTTATGGAAATGGCTTTAAACTAATATATTCATTTTGAAAACAGCAATATTGGAGACTCACATTGTTAAGTAGTATATTTTAATGTTCCAGTATAAATTACACAAGTTAATAAATATATATATCTGAACATTTCATTTGTTTATTTTAACTCAGATCCTGTGACACCTTCAGAATCTACTCAAGAGTTACATGCATCAGGTAAGCAATATTTTATATTACCTTATCTAAGCATCAATAACCACAACAAAGCTCAATAATGTTGATTAGCATAAATACTCCAAGTTTCTAATTACAGGTAATAATGAATAACCATATAGTTAATATCATGTGGTTAAAAATATTTATTGGGTGACTAAATTTGAGATCACAGATAATTAAGCAATTCTCTAACTTCAATTCTTTCGTATTGTATTCTCCAGAGGTCAGAATTTCTTTAAATCTCCCAATGCAGCTGAGATTTCCTTAGTGTGTCATAAATGTGTCATAAATAAAACAAAAAGGTAAATGGAAAAGTGAAATGAACAGGTAAATTTGGGGCTGGTGTTGTGGCATGTGGATTAACTCACTGCCTGCAGTGCCAGCTGCTGGTTCAAATCCTGGCTGCTCCACTTCCAATCCAGCTTCCTGCTAATGCACCTGTGGAAAAGGCCCCAATTGCTTGGACCCTTGTAACTCACTTGGGAGACCTGGATTGAGTTCCTAGCTCCTGGCTTCAGTCTGGCCCAGCTCCATCTGAATTTATGGGACTGGTGCTATGTCCTAGAATGTAAAGCCTTCACATGCAGTGCTGGCATCCTATATGGGCACTGGTTCAAGTAATGGCTGCACCACTTCTGATCCAGCTCATGGCTAATGTGCCTGGGAAAGCAGCAGAATATGGCCCAAGAACTTGGGCCCCTGCACCCACATGGGAGACTCAGAAGAAGCTCCTGGCTTCTGGCTTTGGCCTGGCCCAAGCCCTGGCTATTGCAGCCATTTGGGAAGTGAACCAGCAGATGAAAAATATCTCTCTCCCTCTCTCTCTCTGTTGCTCCTTCTCTCTTTGAATTTCTGCCTTTCAAATAAGTAAATAAAAAGAGGTAAATTTATTTCAGTGCAAAAAATGTTGAAATACATTCACTGTTATTTTCATAATACACATTTTTCATAAGCTTTCTGAAACCCCTCATATGTAATAACATGCTAGTTATACTTATTTTTCCCCAATTTTATTGTGATATAATTAACAATACACCTATATTGAGGTATAATATGTTATTTAACGCATTTAAGCTATGCAACACAATGTTTTCCTGTATGTTAATAAAGATTTATTTATTTATTTGGAAGAGTTACACAGAGAGAAGGAGAGACAGAGAGAGAGGTCCTCCATCCGCTGGTTCACACCCCAATTGGTGGCAACAGCCAGAGCTGTGCCAATCCAAAGCCAGGAGCCAGGAGCCTATTCCAGGTCTCCCAGGCAGGTGCAGGGGCTCAAGGACTTGGGCCATCCTCCACTGCTTTCCCAGGCCACAGCAGAGAGCTGGATTGGAAGTGGAGCAGCCAGGACTCGAATTGGCGCCCATGTGGGATGCTGGCACTGCAGGCAGTGGTTTTACCCACTACGCCACAGTACTGGCCCCTACTTTTTTTTAAATATGTATACCTTTTGAAGTGATTACCAGTCAAACTAACATATCATCACCTCATACAACTACTATTTTTTGTGTCTGTGAAATGAGAAAATTTGAGATCTACTCAGCTAATTTCAAGTGTGTGATACATTACTATTAATAATTATGGCAATGTATATTTTATTTACATAATTTATTCATTTATAATGGGAAATTTGTTTCCTTTCACCAAAATTTCCTCATTTTTCCCATCTCCCAGATTCCAGATATCAGCTTTTTATTTTCTGCTTCTATGAATTCAACTTCTTTAGATTCCACATTCTAGCCAAGATCATACAGGATTTGTCTTTCTGTATGTGGCTAATTTCACTTAGCATAATGCCCTAATAATAATGCCTGTCATAAATGGCAAAATTCCTTTCTTTTTTATAACTCCACTCTATGTATAAAACACATCTATCAGTCATACTACTTGGATAATTTCTATCTTGGTTATTGTGAATAATGCTGTAGTAGACATGGGAGTGAGAGACCTCTTCAAGATACTGATTTCAACTCCTCTGGATATGTACTCAGAAGATGGCTTGCTACATCCTATGGTAGTTCCATTTGTACTTGTTTGAGGAAGTTGCATACTGTTTTCAGTAATGACTGCACCAGTTTCCAAACTTACCGAAAGTACGCAGGAGTTGCCTTTTCCCCACACCTTTGCCAGGACATGTTATCTTTTGAATTTATGATAGTAGTCATTTAATGAGAATGAAGTGATATCTCCTTATAGTTTTTAATCTGCATTTCTCTGATTGTTAGTGATATTAGGCACTTTTTCATGTACCTGTTGATCATTTGTATATCTTCTTTGAAAAAAATGTGTCTGTGTTGGTTCTTTGCCCATTTTTTATTATGTTTTGTTTTCTTTTGTTATTGAGTTGTGCAGTTCTTAATATATTTTGGATATCAACCCCTACTGGATATGTTTTCAAGATTTTCTCTCATTTCATAGGTTTCCTTTTATTTTGTTCATTGTTTCTTTTGCTGTTCAGAAGCTTTTCATTTGATGCACTCATACTTGTTTATTTGTATGTTCTTTGCCTGTGCTTTGAGGATAATATTCATAAAATCACTGCCAAAACCAACATCAACGAATTTTGCCCCTTAATTTCTTGTATGTGCTAGTACTTCTTTTACAGTTAAATTTATGAAGCACCTTGTACTGCTCAGATTAAATCCATTATTAGTGGAAACTAACATCATTTCTTCTAAATGCAGGCTCAAAACTTTGCAGTCCCATATGCCTTTTCTTACTCTTTGGTCTCTCACATCCCTTAACCAACTTGACCTGGTGATTTTCCTTGTACAATGTAGTTCCTACTCCAGCATCGCAGACACCAGCTCTCTACTGGTCTCTTCCTTTTTTCATATCTGCCATCTCAGTCTGTATTGTATATCTTAACCCTACAGTCTGACTCATTGACATTCTGACACCAAAAAAAGAAAAAAGTCTAAGCAGGACCCTGATCTCAAACCCCTTAATGTTTTAACATTTCCCGCAGAATCAGCTGCAAATAGTGAAGTGATCTGAACACCAGCTAAGGGATTTGCACATAAGTTTCTCTGTTATCTAGCCCCAACCCATTTCTCCAGACTCAATTCTCACCACTTCTCTTTTGTCTACAGTGGTTACTGACCCCTACACACTTATACTTTCAGAATTCGTGCCATAGCAAACCCCCCTCCTTCTTCCTCCAGCCTCATTTTCTCCCTCTACTGTTAAAGTCTGTTCCATGAACATCTATATATTCAAACCTTAAGCCTCCTCACCAAGGCCATCACCACACTCATATTCCTTCCTGTCCCAATTTCTTAAAGTGTTTTTTTTCAAATCCTGTAATACAGTAACCATGCCATCTTTATGGAAAGTAGCAGTTGACTTTTTGTGCTATTTTGTATCTATGATTGCATTTCTATACACAGATTATTCCCTATCTTGATGAAAGCTTCCAGAGAATAGGATTTGTTTGCTGTCTGTAATGAGACTGCATTGCTGAGACCCTCCTAGTGGTGGAAGGAATGATAGTAATTGTTTTATATCTCTGCTCTGACTATAAAGTGATTATTTGATTTTCAACAACATGGTTTCTTTTCTTTCATCACAAAGATATGCCTGAATATTCAGTCACAAATGAGTTTTGCCGAAAACACTTCTTAATTGGAATTCTGCTCAGAGAAGTTGGTTTTGCCCTGCAGGAAGACCAAGATATCAGGCACTTAGCATTAGCTGTCCTGAAAAACCTAATGGCTAAACATTCATTTGATGATCGATACAGAGAACCAGTAAGTGATCTTTCTGCCTCCTTCCCTAAATACCATTTAATGCCTCATTGCATTAAATGCATATCAAACCTACCAGCCTACTGATTCCTATGTGAATCATTTCTTCTGGCTACCTTTTCGCCTAGGGAAAGCAGGCCCAGATAGCAAGTTTGTACATGCCCCTGTACGGCATGCTTCTGGACAATATGCCAAGAATTTACCTGAAGGACCTATATCCCTTTACTGTCAATACATCTAATCAGGTAAGTGTGCATTCGATCTGAACTGTCAATAAAGAATTGTTTTTGCCTTGAGTGACTGTTTCCCCCATCTATGAGAAAAGTGGGGATTAAACACCACTTTTGGCTGAGTATTTATAGCAGTGTCACCTGCTCCAGATTAAGCTCCATAGCCTTCCCCCTCTGCCATCTCTTCAGTGATTTGTTTTCATTTTCCTCTGTTCTGGGCATTACTTCTAATGCTTTTCAATTTTTACATGATCCCCTGTTGCATTCACGGCCCCATCCTCAATGTATACCAACCCCCCCCCATCGGTTTCCACATTGCCTTTATGCTAACCTGATGTCAGAATACCAAAGTGCCTTATTCACAATTACAACCCAGGAGTGACCTAGTTATACTTCTCCTTCGCTGTGCCATGGCAACTGTCCAACAGCACACTTGAGATGGGTTGCCTGTAGTCAAGTACCAGGTGAGTTAACACAGTGCTGAATCCAGCAACAATGAATATATGTTCAATTAGACATCAGGAGCTATGGTTTCAAAATTGCTTCTTTTTTAACCTAATTCAAATCCTAGCAGTATCAATTACTATCGATGTGACCTTAGGTAAGTTAAGCCTCCATTTCCTTATTTATAAGATGGCATAGAACACCTTCATTACAAGATCCTTATGTGTAATAAAAAACACTTATCATAGAGTCTTGCAAATAATCAGACTTCAAAATCTAGTTGTTAGTAACATAAATGTGCATAAGATAACCATGATAATAATAATATAGCATCTCTAATGTAACCCATGAATCCTTCAATGACTTTTTCAGCCATTTAATTCATAGCTAAAAGATTTTTCTCCTACATCATGAAATATTCATATAAGAAATCAAATTGTGACAAAGATAATGGTCTTCACTACCTTTCTTTTCTCTACTTTGGCAGATAACCCTTGCTGGGATTTAGAAAATCAAATTACATATTATCTAATTGAAGATGTAATGAAGAAGGCATATGTGGGTTTTCACAATGCTGAAATATGCTGATTGCCATTAATCTCTTGTGTACTTTGAATGCAGGGATCTAGAGATGATCTAAGCACTAATGGAGGATTTCAAACCCAGACAACAATGAAACACGCAAACTCTGTGGATACCTCATTTTCTAAAGATGTTTTAAATTCCATAGCAGGTACTTGAGACCTTCTGAGAACACTTGTGTTTTATGTTCATCCATGGTTACATTGTATCTCATGCTTTTCACTCAATCCATAATTCATTAAGCATAATCTATATGACAAAGTACACTACAGTTTTGCAACCAACGAGTCTTTTTACATATTTCTTTGAATGCCATTCAGTGACTTCCTTTTCCACTTACTGTTAATTTTTTGTTTGATTTAGGAGCATCATACTCAGATATTATCAGATTGCTTCATTCTGGGAAGTCATAAATTTTCATTGTATCGAGCCTTTTAAAATATAGTAGCTTTCAACCTCAACGGTTATTTTTAGAATTATTTTGGAGATGTCATTTTAATTTTCCTTTTGGGCTTTTCAAAAGTATCTTTATGATTTTTTTACTAATGTACTTGAAAGAGTTACAGAGAGGCAGAGGCAGAGAGAGAGAGAAAGAGAGAGAGAGAAAGGAAGTCTTCCATCTGCTGGTTCATTCCCCAAATGGCTGCAAAGACTGGAGCTAAGCCCATCCAAAGTCAGAAGCTAGGAGCTTGGGCTGTCTTCCTCTGCTTTCCCAGGCCATAGCAGAGAGCTGGATCAGAAGTGGAGCAGTGGGGACTTGAACCGGCGCCCATATGTGATGTTGGCACTGTAGGCGGTAGCCTTTCCTGCTATGCCACAGCATCGGCCCCAATATTAAGTCATTTTTAAAACAAGAACTATCTTTCTTTAAAAAGTATTTTAAGAAATCAAATTAAAAAGCTTTACTTTGTTTATTTCCATTCATGTGATTGAAATTTCCTAAATCCTTAATGGTCATTGTAATAGTACTTAAAATGTTGCCAATCCCAGATTCTCTGATTTTAATTTCTCACAACGCTGCCACCAGAGCAATAATCAACATCATTTCGGATTACCGTTTTAGCTTTGTGTGTGTTTGTGTGCCCATACATCTCATTACCATATGTGTGCTGTGGCTTGTGTTTGCAGCATTTTCATCAATAGCTATTTCTACAGTAAACCATGCTGATTCCAGAGCATCCTTGGCAAGTCTTGAATCCAACCCAAGTACCAATGAGAAGAGCAGTGAGAAGACTGACAACTGCGAAAAGGTGTGGCATCCCTCCTAAACTTATTGATCATCAATTGCAAGTCAGAAGTCTCTTACTGTTACTCAATCCTCATTGGCCCTTTAACTCCTAGATCCCAAGACCTTTGTCTTTGATTGGCTCAACGCTTCGATTTGACAAGTTAGATCAAGCAGAAACAAGGAGTCTTCTTATGTGCTTTCTTCACATTATGAAAACAATTTCAGATGGTAAAGAGAAAGTTTTAAATTAAAATTTTTAAACTGAAGTATCTTTGAATCTCAGTCTCATGTTCTCTGGTGTTTCCTTACAGAGACTCTCATCGCCTATTGGCAAAGAGCTCCCAGTCCTGAGGTGTCCGACTTCTTCAGCATCTTGGAGTAAGTTTTAGAGTTGAATAGATAACACTTATTCCTGGGACTTTCAAAATACTTCATTGTACCACTCTTCATTCCATGTGCTAAATCATCCATCCATAAAATATGTAAAATATTTAAAGAAATTATGTTTTTATTTCAATATATTTACTTGAATAGTTTGTATAAATAAAAGAGTATGAATAATTAGCTGTGACTTTTCTTCCTTTTCTAGTGTTTGTCTTCAAAATTTCAGATACCTAGGAAAACGCAATATAATAAGGTAATGACTTTGAATTCCAGCAGGTTAATCTGGTCTTTTAAAAAGTATGGTACTCTATACATAAAATATTTGTGTGTCTATTAAAATGATTTTTAAGTGCTTTGACTTATATTAGTGAACCCAAATAGACTTCTAAATATACATCAGAAATCTTAAAATACAAATAAGAATTGTTGAGTTCACATTGTATATAAAAGTTTAAAGCTTGCCTATACTGATAGCATATCTAGCAATAAAGTTGTGGGGGAAAGCACAAAACACACATTTTAAAACAAATTGCATTGCACGTATCTCCTGAACTAATTTATGAAATAGATATAGATATAGATATAGATATAGATATAGATATAACTTGAAAGAAACTTAAGAAAATATCCGGGGGTCTGTGTTGTGGCATAGCAGGTGACTCACCCACCTGCAATGCCAGCATTCCATATGGGCACTGGTTCATTCCACTTCCAATCCAGCTCCCTGATGGTGGGCTGGGAAAAGTGACTGAAGATGGCCCAAGTGTTTGGTTCCTGCCACCTATTGTGGATGGAGCTCCTGGCTCCTGGCTCGTGGCTTCAGCCTGGCCCAACCCTGGCCAGTGCAGCTATCTGGGGGTAGACCAGCGAATGGAAGAACTCTCTTTCTCTCTCTCTCTTTCTCTTTCTCTATGTCTCTCCCTCTCTCTGCAACCCTGACTTTCAAATAAATAAATAAATCTTTAAAAAGAAAATATTTACAGTAAACTAAAAAAATAATCTGGAATAATTGTGACATAGTCATTTGCTCATGAGAAAATGCAGCATCTTTGCTAAACCCCGATTTCCCATGTCCAAAAGAAAAGGGTTTTTTTTTTTCACTAATTCATAGAGAATGGAATATTTTATTGTTTAATATTTGCTTTAAAAAATGTCATCCTTTTTTGCTCTATTTGTTTGAGAGTCAGAGAGAAACAGAGAGAGAGCTCCCATTCATTGGTTCATACCACCAGTGTCCACAATGCCAGCACTGCCAGGAGCTAAAACCAGAATCTGGGAATTCAATCCATCTCTCTCAAGTGGGTAGCAAGAACCCAGTTACTTGAGCCATCACTGCTGTCTCCCAGCATCTGCAATAGCAGGAAGCTGGAGTGAGGAGCTAGAGCCAAGAATAGAACCCAGGCACTCTGATATGGTGTGCAGGCATCTTAATTTTATTAAATATAAATTATAAATGTTTTGCTCTCAATAAAACTTCAGTTTTCCTTACAGAAAAATTGCTGCTGCGTTTAAATTTGTGCAGTCCACCCAGAACAATGGAACTCTCAAAGGATCCAATCCTGCCTGCCAGACATCGGCTCTCTTCCCACAGTGGTAATGTTATATTCACATAGTACTTTTCATGTGTGTGTACGGTATATATGTGTGTGCATGCATACGTGGGAGGTGAACACACACACACACACACACACCACAAATGCACCTTTCAAGTAACTCTACCTGAAGAAACTCCTTCAGTGCTCTAGTATCCGCCCCCACAAGCATGTGAAGCCTAGAGAGGTAAGGATTATGTCTTGTTTGCACTTAGAGCACATTGCCTTGCATAGAATGAGCATCGATGAGTAGTGCAATTTGATTGAACCTGCATGGTAGGCATAATTCCAATAAATGTCTTTCTTACGATTGCTGGTCTCCTGGTGAAAAAGCAGAATGTGGGCTCAGGTCTCTCCACTCTTTGACATTAGTTTAATATTTTAGCAATACTCAAATTGTCTTTCAAGGAATCAAGGGCAATGAGGAAGAGTGGTTGGCCTCATAAGCTCATTTTAGCTTCCCTAACTGTTGGACTGATTTGATGAACATTAAGATCTTTCCTCATTCTTCATGAGCCTACCTGGTGGAAAATATTTGCCTTGAAATCCTCCATCACAGCTCCTCTGGGCCTAATAGATTAGAATTGTTTGCCAAAATTCCTCCCAGGTTGATTGATTCTTCCCAGAGGTGTCATAGAGACATGTAATATTAATATTTTAGGGAAAGTTCTAGAAAGAAATATGAAAGTGGCATGCAACCAATAAATCATAGGATAAACTTTGTCTCTGTCCACAGGGACCCCTTGAAATTGCTCCCTAGTGAAAAAGTAAATGCAAAAATATAAGGGGTATGTTTTGCAAGTGGCATTGGCTTAGAGAATGGTGAAGAATTGCTTTCCACGTTTAATAATAATAGCAGCATCACACCTGAGGTCACTGGAGCTGTGCAGGTGTTTGGAGGCTTCTGTTTCATGTTCCTGCTGAGAAAGCTGGCCAGGCCCTCAATATTCCTGCCCCCACCTCCTGGAAACCAATCTTTCCTCCACAGCCTCTGGACTAAAGCAGGCTCAGCATCTGGAAAAACCCAGTCCCAAAGGTCCAAGCCCCACAGTCCAGAACTCATCATCACTTGTAGTCCCAGGAATGGGCTCCCCTGACTACTGAAAGTAAAGGCAGATCTCCTGAGCCTGACTCTGACGTAGCCAGAACCAAATAAGCCTGACAAAGAAAAAAATCATTGCCTTTAACGCAGGATGGACTCTTCAGGGTGTCTGCTGTTGCCTGCTTTCCTCATACAAGTGTTTTATGAGTAGTTTATAAGAGAGCAAATACCCCAAGAATTGTGAACTTCTCCCCTTGGCCAAACGATGCAGTGAGGAATAGTAAGAGTCCCCACTTCCACCACACTACCTCATTTTCTCAGTTGGAAGTGCCGCATTGAAGAGCAGCTATTGCAGGCCGTTGCGTTGCCCTTGCGCGGTAGCAGCGGCCAGCACAGAGGATCCTGCACCACCCTCCTGCCACACGAGTCACATGCCAGCTCCTGTGGATAGGACACAAACAGCACAATAATCACAGCAAATGGAAAGACAGGAAAGCAGGGGTTGTTTTAGGCCTGATTTTATGGGTTATCTCTTTAAAAATCATTGGAGGCATCTGAATTATATAATATTCTACTTTTTAATTTCTGATACTCTACCTTTCTGATCAGGCAATCAACCGTCATTAAATCATTTGATTTCATTAGGTATCATTGAATATTCTTGAATGGATTTAGTTGGAGTATCTATTATTCTATGTAATATCTTTCTATATATTATTCTTCTGAATCCTATTTTGGCTGAAATCAAAAACCTTTTTCCTGTCAAGGGCCATTGGATTTTATAACATTATTCATGGGCCATATACAATTACCAACTTAAAAATTAGTCAGCTGTAGATTTATTGAATTTTTAGTCCTGCCTAGAGTTGCCTTGGCAGGGCACACCAAATGATTTTTTAGGCCTTACACAGCCTGGGGCAACACGTTTCCCGCCCCTAGCTTAAATAAAATCCCTCCAAAATTAGTTTCGAAAACCCCTCTCAGAGCAAGCATTTGGTGCAGCAGTTAAGATGCCACTTGGGATGCCTGTGTCCCATATTAGAGTCCCAGCTCCTTCACTTCCAGTCCAGCTTCCAGCTAATTATACACATAGAAGACAGTAGGTAATGGCTCAAGTACTGGCACCCACTTGGGAGACCCAGATTGATTGCCAGGCTCCTGGCTTTCACATGGCCCAATCCTGGCTCTTGTGAGAATTTGGTAAGTGAAACAACAAATGCGAGATTCTCTCTCTCTCTCTCTCTCTCTCTGTGTGTATCTCTGCTTTTCAAATAAACAAATACTAAAATCTCTTTCATCATGTTTCTTACATTTAATATCTTTTAATAATAATCTCTGTTAAAATTATTTTAAAACATTTGACTCAATCTAGAATATTTAAACATACCTTTGGATATATCATCTGCAAATAACCTTAACAACTTTTCTTATTTAATTTTCAGGATGCACAACACTTCTAGCCATGAAGGACATAAGCAGCACAGATCACAAACTTTACCTATAATTAGAGGCAAAAATGCACTTTCTAACCCCAAACTCTTACAGATGTTAGACAATACCATGACCAGTAAGTATGCCAAAGTAACAGGAATAAGATGGTTATCTATTTTTCTCTAGGTATGTACGGGACATGAAGTGCGTTAGAGTCTTTAAGAACTGTGAGAAATGTTGTGCTAGCCAAACCACAGCTTCATTTTAAGGTTTATCATAGCCTTAGGAAGGCTTTGTAGAGGAAGGAATCAGCAGGGATTGGCTATAAAATTATTTAAAATGGAGAAGCAAGGGGAAGGGCCAAACTCTCAACAGAACATAATGTGCTGAGTACAGCATCACTGGAAAAAGGCAATTTTTGGTATTGGGAGGATTAAAGGGGTTTCTCTCAACCAGGTAACTATTGTTTATACTGTAGGAAGAGGATAAACTTGCCCATATCCCAGAAGCAGTGGGCGTAAGATCTTCAATCCAGAGACACACCCATTCCAATTTGTAAATTATGGGAAAATGGAACCTGGAATCATGCAGCATATGAATGTTAACAGTTATGGACACGTGACCCAATTCCTTGTGTGAAGATACATGCCCTCACCTGTAAATACACTTTGTCCTCCAAAGTGGCTGCAGATGGTCCACTAAGGTTGTACATTTGGTGTGTTAGCCCACAAGCAAGAGAATCTGAAACAGTATGATTTATGAAAGAAACATGACCTTGTACATAGCTGAATAAATGGAAAAGAACTAGAGAATTATAAAACCTTACAGCTAACATATGCAAAGGGCACACATAGTAGACTCTGGTATTCATATTTTAACCAATAAGGAATGGGACAAACAAAGCATTTTGATTCAATAAATTATTCATCAAAATCCTAGTAAACAGTTGATACGCTGTGATAAAAGAAAGTCCTTCATAGGTCACAAAGAACTGTCTTAAACATTTATGCATATTTTACTCTGTTTTTTACAGGTAACGCCAATGAAATAGACATTGTGCACCATGTAGACACTGAAGCCAATATAGCTACAGAGGTTTGCCTCACTATTCTAGACCTGTTATCTCTCTTCACTCAGATGCACCAGGTGAATATGATCGTAGCACTTTGAGCAAAATTCTAAAATAGGAGGTTAAAAACTCCTGTATCATCAAGAATGTTATAAACGATTTCTAGGTCAATCAATCAGTTTTACAGATATTAAAGTTGAGATTTAGATATTATCAGAATCTTACTAACACTTGCTACATATGCACCCACACATATTTCACTATTGTTAAATAATATTGTTTCTTCACAGTTTCTCTTGTTTCACTATCAGACAGGCTGGTGAGATGAGAGCATAACTCTGCACTTTTTCACTAGAAAATGGAGAGACAACTAAATGCAAAAAAAAAAAAAAGCTACTCTTGAGCATCTTTTCATGTGCTTCTTTGCCGTTTGTGTGTCCGTGGTGGAGTGACGTCACAGTGTGCCAGTTAGAATATGAACAGTTGAAAAGACGGATAGTAAGGGTGCGGAGAATCTAGAGCTATCATTCATTGCTGATAGGAATGCAAAGTAATAAAAACACTTTGGAAAACAGTATGGCTGTTTCTGAAAAAGTTAATTATCCATCTGTCATGTGACCAGCTAATCCAATACTAGGTATTTATCCAGAAGAAATAAAAGCTTTGTACACAGATAAATATAGCTTTATTTTTAAAGCAAAGAAAACTGGAAGCAACCTCAATGTATATCAACAGGTGAATTTTTTAAAAAAATATAGTTTATCCATACATTATACCGTAACTCAGCAGTAAAAAGAATAAACTGATACATGCTACAATTTTAAAAAGTCAAACAAAAAGAGTATATACCATATTAGTCCATTTATACAAAATTGTAGATAATGAAAGCTATAGAAATGGGAAGTAGGTCAGTGGTTGCCTAGAAATGTGGAGGAAGGAATTACAAAAATATTTTAAAATTTTGGAAGTGATAGATATTTTCATTATCTTGATTGTGGTAGTGATTTCATGGGGCTATCTATGTGCCAGTGTCATATTTACAAATTTTACAGTTTGAATATGTACAATTTATTGTAGAGTCATTCACTGGTTAATAATAGGAAAACATCTGGAGAAAAAGTGTCATTAAGTAATTTTGTCACTAAACAAGCGATATAGAGTGGTGTACATACACAAACTAAGGCAGTTAGGATATACTAGATGATACAATGCTATGAGACCACTGTCACAAATATATGTCATCCATCATTGACCAAAACATCATTATGTGGGGCACGGCTATGTGTCAATCACACTTCAATGAAATTTTTAAAGATGTCTGAAACTCAATCAGGTAAGCGTACAGCTCCAGTCGGGAAAAGTAGATCCATGGAATACAGGTCTCTATACCCAACAACACGATTACACCAAGAAGGTCCTGCTCTCAGGCAAATGTCAGCTTGTTGGTAGAAGCAGCTAAAATTTATTTTGATAGTTTCACAATGGAAATGTAATTAGAATCTCTCATATTTTAAAGGGCTTATCAATGCTTACAAAGACCTATTTATCCATGACCTTACCACCTATCTCTCTTCTGACCCCACTGCCCTAGCCATGCACCAATGACTGTTCTTTTCTTTGTCAACCTTGAATTTACAAGTTCTCCAAATCATGGCCCTTGAACTAGCTGCTTCTCTCCCAGGGACAATTTTCCTGGATCTCTCTGGGACAGGATACTTCACATCAGATCAAATCAGCCACTGGAGTGGTGTCTGTTACCATGCTAGGAAAGTAATCAGTCCAGAAGCAATCACTTTCGATCATGGCATCTTTCTCTATTTTCTGGTTTACTCCTGTTTTTTCAGTCACTGCTATGTAAGTTTCAGAATTGTGCCTACCACATAATGGGTTTATAGTGGAAAGAATTCAAGAGTTTTTCCATTTATCCTAAATAATAGCTGTGTTGAATTTCCAGAGACAACTCCAACAATCTGACTGTCAGAATTCACTGATGAAAAGGGTCTTCGACACCTACATGCTCTTTTTCCAAGTCAATCAGTCAGCTACAGCACTGAAACATGTATTTGCCTCTTTAAGACTGTTTGTTTCCAAGGTAAGAACACTCCAGGCTCCAGTGAAACTCACAGAGGGACGGTAATAAACACACAGTAACCACTGTATCTCTCCGTGGGGAGGGAAGGTTTGTCTTCCTCTACTTTGACTTTGCTAGACATCTATTCCAGATCTCAAAAGGTATTCACAGCCTTGACATCTGTCTGCTTGGATATCAAAATCAATTAAAACTGACATTTGATCACTAGTGTTAAGTGTTCTCAATGTTTATGGCATAGAATTACGTAAAATGCACACCTCAGCTGTCATAACTGTGCATTCCAAGTAAAGATATCACATGAAGTGGCTAGAGCTACCACTGAGGACACCTATAAATTACACCTGTGATTTATACAATGTTAGTGAACAGAAGACTTTTCAAACCTCTCAATTATTTTGGGTTGTCATCATTCATAATAGAATATAGAGAAAACAACCATTTCTAGAAATGAAAGAGAAATACTCATGTAAAATATAATCAGTAAAATTATATCTCATTTGCAAATGGAAAAAAGACTAGATTAAGAAAATTTTGTCATTCTAAGGAACCTTAAAATATGAGACTAAATATAGAAAAATGAAAGAATGTTGCTTACTTACCCATTCTTCCATTTCTCTAGTTTCCTTCAGCGTTCTTCCAAGGGCCTGCCGAACTCTGTGGGTCATTCTGCTATGAAGTACTGAAATGCTGTAACCACAGGTCACGGTCAACTCAGACAGAAGCCTCAGCACTTCTCTATTTCTTCATGAGGAAGAATTTTGAATTTAACAAGCAGAAGTCGATTGTCCGGTCCCACTTACAAGTATGTGCTGCCAATTTTCGTTAACGCTGTTGTTAAAACCACCAGAAATCCTCCATCCCCAGGGCAACCAGTTCCCAGCCCCTCCATAAAGATGCCAGATCACACAGAGACACAGCTGGGCAGAAGTCAGCAGAGCCTATGTCTCCGTTGTCCTTTTCTTACTTCTGCCAGGGAGCAGAAGAGACAATGCAGGGAACTGTGGCGAGTTCTAGGAGGTCACATTCTACCGAAGTACAAATACACAAATTTCTTTCTAAAGGCATCCCAAGATTCTAAGATTCCTGCAGCTTTTCTTGGTTACTTAAGATAAATGCCCTAGATTACATGAACTCAAGATACAATACATAGTGATGTCCCTCACTGGAACTGCAAAGAGAAATCCATGATGTATTTATTCACTCCAGTGGATTTCCTTAAAATCACTGTTCCTGGGGGTGGCCATTAGGGCACAGCGGGTTAAGCTGCCACTTGCGATACCCACACTCCAAATCAGAGCACCAGTTCAAGTCTCAGCTGCCCCACTTCTGATCCAGCCCCCTGCTAATGCACCCGAGAAACAACAGATGATGGTTCATGTACTTAGGCCCTGCAACCCACCTAGGAGACCCACATGGAGTTCCTGGCTCCCTGGCTTTCCACGTGGCCCAGTGCTGTTGTGGCCATTTGGGGTGAGAAGCAGCTAACAGAAGATTGATTCCTCTCTTTCTCTGTCACTCTGCCTTTCAAATAAATATTTTTTAAAGATGCTATCCCTGATTTTGAATTAGAGGTTCATTTTCCTGTTCTCTTCCAGCTCATCAAGGCTGTAAGCCAGTTAATAGCCGATGCTGGCATTGGAGGCTCTCGATTTCAACATTCCCTTGCAATTACCAACAATTTTGCGAATGGAGACAAGCAAATGAAAGTAAGAAACGCATCGTGGGCTTTTTCTAAGGAGCTGGGGAAATTCGGAGTGGATTCCTTTTGTGATATGTCTGAATCATAAAAGATCTCTTAATTATGTATTTCATTTACTGAGATCTTGAGCACTTATATTGAATCGGCTTTTTTGCGTTGATAATTAGCTGTTACACTTTCAGCATATGATCTGCTAAATGGAATCTCCAAGCTATACAGAATGATATATGACATGAAATTTTACCATGAATAACAGAAATACAATGATTTGCATTGAATCTTGGTTGCGGGCAAATTTGTCTTTTTTTTTTTTTTTCTATTTCTCAAGACCTCTTTTAGTCATTATATTGACGCGTCCAGGAGTAGAGCCAAGATTCAGTCATGACTAGAAAAAAATAATGCTTTCAGACCCCCGTTCCCTATACCACCTCTATTTTACCTCTCCCTCTCTCTCTCAGTTCAAATTTTCTTTTTATTAACTTCTTCTCCAGGGAGGCTCTCAATGGGTCTTCCTCTCATCAATGCTGAGGACACTGACAGTATCTTCGGAGTAGAAAATCGGCTCACTCAGTAGCCTCAGTGAAGGGACCAGAACTGAATCTTTATGATTCGGATTTGTTTCATATGCGCATCCTAAACCATTGCTTGTCACTTAGGGGGTCAAAGAATGTGATTGGTAGACTCATGGCCCCTAGGAATGCAGTCAGACCCACTTAAATCACAGGACCTAAACTAGACAAAGAATAGAGGATATTGCCATGTCATCTTCAAACGTGAACAGCCAAAGCACAGTACATAGAATGCACCCATTTACGAATAATAGAGAGAACCTACCAAACTGTGGTGCCAAGCATAATCAATAGCACAAGTGGAAGTAATTTAACTTACGAGCTCTAAACAGGTGATGACCCAAGCTCTCTCTTTTCCAAAGAACAGCACTTTCCCAGCAGAGGTGAAAGACCTGACTAAGCGGATAAGGACTGTTTTGATGGCCACAGCTCAGATGAAGGAGCATGAGAAGGACCCTGAGATGTTGGTGGACCTCCAGTACAGCCTGGCAAACTCCTATGCCAGCACCCCTGAACTGCGGAGGACCTGGCTGGAAAGCATGGCCAAGATTCACGCAAGAAATGGGGACTTATCCGAGGTGAGTAGCAGAGGCTCAGCCATTCGCTATGGGTATTGTCTTCTTCGGGATGCTCAGGTTTTCACTTTCAACATGAGTAGTAGACCATTTCACTAATCTACATAGGACCCAGTTATACATAAGGTGCACAAGGGTGTCTGACTCCAAATAGATGACACCAAATAAAGCCCAGAGTCGGGGAGGGCACCTGCAGTTTATGAAATGCAGTTCAGAACTGAATGTTAAAAACCTTTAAGTGGCCAGCGCCGCGGCTCACTAGGCTAATCCTCCGCCTTGCGGCGCCGGCACACCAGGTTCTAGTCCCGGTCGGGGCCTCAGATTCTGTCCCGGTTGCCCCTCTTCCAGGCCAGCTCTCTGCTGTGGCCAGGAGTGCAGTGGAGGATGGCCCAGGTCCTTGGGCTCTGCACTCACATGGGAGACCAGAAAAAGCACCTGGCTCCTGGCTTTGGATCAGTGCGGTGTGCCGGCCGAAGTGCGCCGGCAGCAGCGGCCATTGGAGGGTGAACCAACGGCAAAAGGAAGACATTCCTCTCTGTCTCTCTCTCTCTGTCCACTCTGCCTGTCAAAAAAAAAAACTGTTAGTAAGGTGCCTGGTGGGTGGTAACGGCATCGGGAAATGGAAATTGCGAGTTACATCAGTTAAGATTCTGTGTTTTAAAACTTTTTCCTAGTGATTGGGATTGGCTGAGGAAGCTTTGCCGCCGAAGTAGGTAGACTCAGGCAGGGATTGGCTCTCCTCACTTGCAGCTGAGCTAAACTGGCCATGGAGAAATTCAGACTCCTTTGCACCCTGTGAGCCAAGCCCACTGTGTGAAGATTACAAATCAATGTCTCTAATTTCATACATCAGTTTAAGCTCTGGGTGGATTTATATGCAGCAATTAGCAGCACCCAAGGGCTTCTGAGTACCCAGTGGAGAAGTTCTGGCCTATTGGCAGAGCTGTGCCCCACTGGGGAAGGGGTTCATCTGTCTGGAGGTGTTTTAAACCTGAAGTTCTTAGCAATAAGGGGCTGTGCAGTGGACCCCAGAAGCCTGGCTGGGCAGCAATTTGGCAAGAACTAGAATGAGCAACTCCACTTCATTGGGACTCCCCTGAAACTGGCGAGATTCCTCCATAAAACCTGCAAAAGGAAAGCACAGAAGTCATTTGGAGCCTTCAGCAAGTCACATTTAAATGTGCTCAGCAATGCTTCATAGGAAAAATTAAAGATAAATAAGGCATCACTCACCTGATGTGGTCCAGGGGCAGACACACAGGTTCCCTTGTGTCCGGCAATGTAATCAAGTGCTCACCTGTGAGGCAACTGTTTTGAGCAACAGAAATTCAAAGAGGGGCCATTACTGAAAGTACAAAAAGCGGAGAAGGCAGGTTATTTCCATTTTCAATTTATATTTGGATAATAGTGGCTTTAGTTTAATAAGAAAAGAAACGTGGATTTTAAAAATGTATAGATTTAGATATTAAGGCAGGAAGATAATTCTATGGGAAAATTCTATAGGCTAGCTCATTCACTCACCTCAAAACTACAGTAAGAGTGAAAATGAAGTCTCAAACACACATTTGATTTTTAACACTAATTTTTTTTGAAATCTGATTGATCCTTACTTTCTATTGTACCAATATGAAGGGTTCTTCTATATTACATATTCTGACTTAGCATCCTGAATCACCTTGGAACATTGGTTCTAATTAGATCAAGACCCAGCATCTCAGTGGTTTGCTTTCTCTTGTTCCAGGCTGCCATGTGCTACGTCCATATAGCTGCCCTCATTGCAGAATACCTGAAAAGAAAGGGTAAGGTGACCATGGCAGCGGAGTGGGGGTGTGGGGAGACCCAAAACCAACATATAAAAATCTAATTTAAGATTAATTTATTAATTTTGGGTCTTATTAATCTGTTACATTTTATTAAGGGGCATTGCCTTTCACCAATATTTCTCATTATGCTATACTTAAAAACTGTCACTCTAACATGCCATTAGCATATTTATTTTATGTATGTAAGGCTAACTGGATGGTTGGCTTCTTCATTGGTTAATGACTTGTAGCTTCATAAGCTTGTATTAACAGAAACATGTAGCAACGTCTTAACCTCATCTCGCACTACCATAGGTTACTGGAAAATGGAAAAGATTTGCACATCATCCCTGCTCCCAGAGGATACCCACCCCTGTGATAGCAATGTCTTACTAACAACTCCAGGTGGAGGAAGTGAGTGACCTAACTGTGTTCCATTACCCACAAGGCACAGGAAATCAAGTTGCTGCTTAACGTTTACTTCAGTAGAACTTATTTAAATGTATTCTGAAGGCAAAAGCTGTCTCAAGCCTACAGAACTTACTCTGCAAAAATCCTAAGCTCCTACCTGTCAGAAATCCCATCCAAAACTTAGGATGTGTATATAACTGAAAAGTTCTCAACAAATAAACTGCATGGCTTCCAGTATTCAGTATTATGAATTATGGTCATATTTATCTACCAATGTGACTGCTAGTCTGCCATTTGGATTTTATTCTGAAATTGAATATTTTTTTAAATTGTAAGAGGAATGAATATTAACATATAAATGTAATACAGCTGTTCAAGAAATGCAAAAATAAGAAATGTGGGCACTTTTAAAAGTTCATGAAAATAAAATCTAAAAAGGCAATTTTATTTTGATGTAAAAAACTTTGAAATCTATGCATACAAAGGGTCTTCAGCAAGTTCTTAGAAAATTAGCATTATGAAAAAAATTATGCCTGATTTTCAAAATATTTTTGTACCAAAATGAACTTATCTTTTAATTCCATTTTTCATGGACTTTTCCATTAATTAAAAACTCCATCTTTAATGTCTGATAAAAATATTTTGTAACAATGAATAGAGTTTATCTTGTGTTTTAAAAAAAATGATAATATAGTTAACAGCTTAATCTATATTCTCTTGTAAAAGTTTGCTCAAACCTAAAGCATATGTGGTGCAGTCTGTTTGATAACACAATCTTAACTTTCAAATAGCAGGTGCAAAGAGTGTATGAATATCAAGAATACATTTTAAAATCTTAAACAGGTTACCTAAAAGAGTTAAGAGGAATTCAGTTTCAGCATATCAGAAATAAAACTCATTCCTAATTCTTTAAAATGTGTATATTTTTCTAAAATTCTTCAGTGAATTTTGCAAATTGGAGACATTTGAACCAAATGACAAAAGTCTGCTGAGTCAGGGAGGTCACTCTTGAAGATCATGAAGAAGCCAGATCTGGCGTCATAGCCCCCCGGAAAACTCTAACATTCAGGGATCTTCTTGCTTAGCCCAACAATGCCTATTCAGCCTTATTTTATATGCAAGTCATCAAAAGCATCACTGTTTTATTTAAGAAACCCTTCCTCTCCACATTCTTTTAATGATAAACAGATACCATAAATTTCCATACAGACTATTTCTAAGAAGTGAATTGAAGAAAACTGATAAAACCAGATGTCAGTTTGAGACACTGTTGAAACTTATGTCTCATAAAGTTGTGTGAATCTTTAATATTAAAACATTTTAAATGCTCACTTTTAGACCTAATGTGATATTTGGATATAATGCACCCTTTGGAGAAAGCATTTTTAATAAACTTTTTAAAACAGAGGAAAGATCGGCCGGCGCCGCGGCTCACTAGGCTAATCCTCCGCCTAGCGGCGCCGGCACACCGGGTTCTAGTCCCGGTAGGGGCACCAGATTCTGTCCCGGTTGCCCCTCTTCCAGGCCTCTGCTGTGGCCAGGGAGTGCAGTGGAGGATGGCCCAGGTGCTTGGGCCCTGCACCCCATGGGAGACCAGGAAAAGCACCTGGCTCCTGGCTCCTGCCATCGGATCAGCGCGGTGCACCGGCCGCAGCGCGCCAACCGCAGCGGCCATTGGAGGGTGAACCAACGGCAAAGGAAGACCTTTCTCTCTGTCTCTCTCTCTCACTGTCCACTCTGCCTGTCAAAAAAATAAATAAATAAATAAATAAATAAATAAAAACAGAGGAAAGATCATTTATGATGCATGGCACGTATTCACGTCCATCAGTATACATCTGAAGCTCATGAGTAAATACTTGAAATCTTTAAAATACTTTTATGTCAGGATGTTTTGGAAGCAGAAGAGCAAGGTTTCCCTTTCCTGCAGTGTGCACATGATAAGAACATAAATGAATATAGGAAACTCCAGTTGGACTACAAATGATCATCATTCTGAGAGAAGCATGTTATGATTTTTCCTTCCACAATTGAGTCTCATATATTTAACGCATGTTTAATTATAAAAGGAATATTATTATAAAATTAGAAAAGCAGACTTTTTTAAATAGTAAGGGTTAGATTTCAATAACTAATCTCTAGCATGTTTCAGGAGTGATAATTTAGTAACATGGCTAATGAACTCTGAAATATGGAAACACTTCACAAATTATTATTTAGGACTTAAAAAGCATTTGTTACCTGGACATTACTTCAATAAGCCCTGTACCATCAATATCTCAACTAGTTGCCAATGAAAAATCTATAAGTTAGGTACTATTATCACCTCCAATTTGAATGTAAGAAAATCAAGAGGAGTTCAGTCATTTGTCCCAAAGTTCATGGTTGGTTTCTGACGCAGGTGAAGTTCAAGGGCTGATCTATCCCTTCAGGCTGAGCTCATAACCACTCACTTCACCACTCGCATCTAATCTCTCATCTAGGAATTTTACTCATTATGAACTGATTATCACATAGATCTGTGGAGTCAAGACTTTTTAATTTGAATGATACTAGAAAAATTTTAGAAAGTTTCTAGATAATACCAAAGAATGAAATTAGTGAGTACTGAGCATTTTCTTTGCAATGAACTGACTGTACCACATATTTTCTCAAAAATTAGTGTTTTCAATCTTTTCAGCATCCCTTTGTGATAAATATGAATGCCTTCCATTTAACAACAGAGGGACATGGGCCAGCAAGGATAATTAAACCAGAATATTGGTGCTGCATGCAGCTTTCTGCAAGCCCTGTATTCTATCCATGATCTCATACTATCTCTAACAGAAAATGTGTCATCTGAAAATGATACAGACTTATTAAAAAGCAGAACATCGGTTGACTAGATGAGAGTAGTGATCAAAAGTCATAATCTCACCATCTCATTGATTGTGTGTCTTAGAATACCTGTAGCATCATGAAGAAAGATGTTATCTAGTCCAAACAAGATTAGGCCCAAATAATAATGTTGCATTTGCTTGGTCCTCCCAAGGCATGTTCTCTATGGGATGGCCGGCTTTTCTGAACATTACACCAAATATTAAAGAAGAAGGAGCAATGAAAGAGGATTCGGGAATGCAAGATACACCATACAATGAGGTTAGACTAAATAATCCAGTGTACACTAATTGAGTAAAACAATGCATTGAATTGTGATGTTAAACTAAATAGGAGGAAACAAGCATATTCAGAAAGATAAAATTATTGTATATGACTGCATTAGATAAAATATTAAGACTAAAATTACACTAAAATAATTCATCAATATTAGATTTCATTACTAAAGTATCATTTTCAAGAAAAGTTAAACTAAGCTTTATTTACATCTCTAAATGAAGCCAAATGTACATCATCAGCCCTTCTATAAGATGTGCAATCTCTAGCCTTCCAGTAAAGGTAATAAGAAATGCTAAAAGTTTTATGAGCTGGTCACAGCTATTTTTTAATGCATTGGCAAATCTATTTAAAAATGCAGTTGAGCCAAAAGGCTCAACAGTTTCTTCAGAAAACTTTCTGATCTGCAAACCATGGCTATTTTTCTTTAATAAAAAAGAAGCAACTTGCTACTGGGAATTATTTAACAATTCAAGTGAAGATAATGGAGCTTGCCTCATCAAGTAATTTAAAATATAACATAAATTAGCTTTTAAAAACTTATAATATTAGATAGATGGAGAATATGAAAAGAAATCTGGGGGATAAATTTTGATGAATTTCACATGATTCTACATTGATTTTGTGCACACTGAAATAAGCAAAGTAAATGCATCTACACAGTTATATGTATTAACTATTTCAAATACTGTTTAAGATATGGTGGTGAGAAGGTATTCTAAGAATGAATTGGTAAGATATGGCATAGCCAAAAAGCAAAGTCAATGGCAGGCTGCTGAAGCAGGGATCACCAGAAGGGAAGTGGGTATCTGATTGTGGAGTGACTTGAACGCCGTGCTGTACAGTTTAGACAAAAATTTGCAGGCTAGCTCTCCCAAAAAGTTTAGGTCAAGGGAGATCTCATGGTCACAGTTATACTTAGAGGGAATGATTACCAGAGAGAAAGAACTGGAGGAGAAAACTACTGCAGATGGCTGGGAATGGAGTACAAGGTGTTTGAGTTAAGTCAATGACCATAGGAACGGAAAGAAATAGAAATCTCTGAAGGCTTCCATAGACTTAAATTAGCACATCTGGTGCACTAATTAGGTGATGGTAGTAAGGAAAAGGGGAGGATCAAGATGGCTTCATAGCCCTTGCTTTTTGGTTGTGCATGCCAGTAACAAAGACAGAGAACTCAGGCATCCCACTAAGAAAAATTTGACAACACATTCTGTTTGAAACTAAATTTCAGTGATGAGCCATAACGTTAACCATGTGAACCTGGTTTTGTTTGGGGCATTGCAGAATATACTCGTGGAGCAGCTATATATGTGTGTAGAGTTTCTTTGGAAGTCTGAGCGATACGAACTCATCGCTGATGTCAACAAGCCCATCATTGCTGTCTTTGAGAAGCAACGCGATTTCAAAGTAGGTGTCCCAAACCCCTAGAAGTGAGTTAAAAATCTCCTACTTGGCAAATTACAGTCTTCAAAAGTAGACATTCCTTATTTTCATGTCAGCATCATCTTCATGTAACACTTCAATTATGGTTTCAGAAATTGTCAGATCTTTACTATGACATTCATCGGTCGTATCTAAAAGTGGCAGAAGTGGTCAATTCCGAGAAGCGGCTGTTTGGTCGGTACTATCGAGTGGCATTTTATGGCCAGGTAAGTTTACTAGAAGTAACATGAACTAAAAGTTCTGTTATGAAGTTGGACAGTTTTTATTCCCTGTAAGATGTCTGACTATATGTGCTTATGGATTGAGGGAGCGTGGGTATGTCAGAGTATATTTGTTTCTCTGTATGTGAGGGTCTGTAAGTTTGCCCATAGTTAGAAATATACATATTGAGAAATAAATAGGCAGAGAAATCTATGGACCTTATTACAAGTTAAACTAAAAATAGCAAATTCTGGGACCAGTGTGGTGGTTTAGCAGGTTAAGCTGCCACCTGTGATGCCAGCATCCCACATGGGCACCCATTCATGTCCCAGCTGCTCCACTTTGAATCCAGTTCCCTGCTAAAGAACCTGGGAATGAAGCGGATGATGGCCCAAGTCTTTGGGCCCCTGCACCCATGTGGGAAAAGTTCCTGGATCCTATTGCTTTTGTCTGGCCCAGTCCCTGCTGTTGTGGCCATTTGGGGGATGAACGAGCAGATGGAAGATCTTTCTTTCTTTCTTTCTTTCTTTCTTTCTTTCTTTCTTTCTGTCTATCTATCTATCTATCTATACCCTTGTCTCTGTAACTCTGCTTTTCAAATAATAAGTTAAATCTTTTTTTAAAAAAAAAAAAGCAATTACTAACTTCATAGAGGAGGGTACTTATTTTTCAGCATTCATTTCCTCTCCATTAACCCCAAAATATCTAATTATATTTATATGTCATATGTTGAAGTGAAGTTAAATGTTCTTAAGAAATAAAATTTGTAGAATTCCAGAGAATAAAATAATTCTTAGGGGCTGCATCATATCAAAGCTTTGTCTTTATCAACATGCAATTTAAGTTTTCTAATTTCAAAATACTCTTTTTTTTTGCTTTTTCAAACTTTATTTCAACATAACTATGCTTACAGAAATACACTCATATTGGTTGATAGAACACAATTTAAATTTAACTTATTCTACAATTTTTATCAAAGACCTGGTACATGGTTTAAGATTTAAAAAAAAAAAAGGATTTGCAGCCTGATTTATTATTATCTATTACAAATGTATAAAAGATCTTCCATCAAATGCTGCACAGGAAGGCAGAAAAAACCTTGAGAAATTTACCTTTGGTTTGCCTCAGAAGAGTAACATGTACTGCACTGTAAAAGTCAAACTATTCTTATTTCTAGGCAGAATACTTTATGATCAATTTGTTTCCTGTATTGCAAGTCAATGTAATTTTAAAGTTATGGTTCTCAGTGTATTGCAAAGCAATTAAGAAGATTGAAAATATTAGGTAGTCACAGCATTGTCCCGGAAATTGGAAAAATTATATATTAATTATGAATGTCTCTTCATGGCAGTGAGATGTGTTTAAAATGGGATAAACCCAGGCACCATCCTGTTACTCTTCAGGAAGGCTTATGACACTATTATATTTCAGCAGAAGTATTTCCGACTATTGCTCTTGTGAATAAACATTCCATTCTTTTATTTTCATGATTGTAATGATTCTCAGCCCTCTCTCTTTCTCTCCACCTTTCTCATGGAAAACACTCTTGCATATAACTTTTTGTTCTCAGAATTTTTAAGGCAGCTGAAGGAGTCAAGTTCAGCATGGCCATTCTAGATTATTTCCCATCAAAGACTTTGGAAAACATTTACTTTCTTCTTATCACCAAAACCAGTTTAAAAACTAACTTCTGAATTGAGAAAGGCACTCTGCCTAGAAAGAGAGGCGTCGTTCAATAACTACTGCCATAGACAAATTAGTGCAACCTGGGTTTTTCTCACTGCACAGCAGCATCAGGCTTGTGAAGGCAGAGAAATCCAGTGCTGTGAAGACTGAGATCTGCAAAGACAGTCTACAGATAAAAAGCTACATTTAGACATTCTGAGGGTACATGGAAAAACATCTGAACTATCCAAAGTGAGGAAGCAGAGGTGTGGAGAGGTATAGAGAGAGGAGGCAATGGAAGCTGTGAAGGAAATATGCAGTCTGCATCCCTGGTGAACCATTAGCACGAAAAATGACAGAGAAATGCATCAGAAAGGAGACGTGGGAGTTGAGAAATTGAAGCAGAAATGCAGGGCTGCAAGGAGATGACCACAGCACAGAAGTGGTTCCCAAGATGTGAGGGTAGCAAGAAATGATTACAGCTGTGCAAGGAATCTTTCTGATGAAACAGTCAGGGACTCCCATTCACATCTGAGTCATGAAAAGCAGCATGCCTCCCTGATTGCTCCAACCAGTATCTAAGACCCAAGCTATTAAGCAGGTGAAAACAAATCATACCACTTTCCAGCGTGTTTTTAATGCCAATGTTTACTCTTTTCTTCTTTCATTGATTGTTCCAGGCTGTGGTAAGTTTTCTCTTTCTCTCTATTTGCATGCTCTAATAATCCTCACACTTCCCTCTGTATGGTTTTACTGAACCTTAACTTTTTGTACAAATGAACCTTGGTATAAAGGCTGAAATAATCCTACTTCTATTCATTTTGGAGTCATTCTACATTTCTTTAACTAAATTGTGTTTTCAAGTTAGCTGAATTACAAAAATGTATCCTCTATCACTCAAATATTACCTTTTAGCATGAAGATACATGTAGTCTGAAAGCCTTTCACACACACACATAGAGTAGCCTCAGTGTTGGAGATTGCTTGTGTTTTTCTGGTCACTGTGAGTTACAACTTATTAAAAAGGTCAGGGTGACCAAAAGTTCAGGGGGTTGGGTGGTGGCTGCTGATGCTCACCTTCTCAGGGTTCTTTCCAAAGGAGTATCTTGGAGAGGTGATCTCTGAGCATTCTCACAGATGATGGTATCAATTCCCAAAACAAAAGATGAATGGGGAATAAATCTTTGCCTAATAGATCAGGTTAAGTCTCAAGAGACACAAAAAGAAGTGGGGTAAGAAATTGGAAAATAAGCAGAAATAACCTTCCAGGACCTAGAGCTCTGGGACAAAGAACGTTTTTCATATCATCTGAACCACGTGAAATTGCCAGTACTCTACTCATTTTTAACCTACAGAAAGGCAACTTTATATCATCGACATAATTATTGTTTGTTAAGCTGGAAAGAAAACCTCTCAGTATCCTCATTTTATCAGTCCCCAAGCTCTTGTCTGATCAGCACATACTTTTTTGTAATTCCTTAATTATCGCCCCCATCCATCCCATACCAGTATTTTCTACCTTCATTTGTAAATCTGGGATCATAAGTCCTTAACTCACCTACTAAAAGAATAGTTGAAAATCCTGTACTAAATGGACTGAAAGGGCTATTGGGGAGGACTGGGGAGAGCTACTTTGCAATGACCTAATTTGTTCTTTTTTCAGATTCCTCAGTAAAGTGTGCTGACTGTGCACCTGACTTATTTTTTAGTTCTGCCAGTACTTTCAATTGTCTTTTATCAAAAAATTCCAATCTGACCTTAAAAGGCAAACCGTTTTGTTAAACTACAGACCCCAGAGTATACCTATGCAAGGGCCTCCATAAGCTCAAACCCCAGCCACCTTTGAACAAGGAGAACTGAAGGAAGTCATCCTGATAAGCAACAAATGAGAGCCTCAGACGGCAAGGTTCAGGTGATATTCAAATACCTCTCCCAACACATCAAATGAAGAGCATGAACTGTGGTATTCAACAGGAGCAGAAGGTGTACATCCCTTCACATTTGGTGTAAATAAACACCCAATAGACCTGAACATTCCCCCAAAACATGTACAGCATGGAGGTTCTAAGATCTAAGATACAATCTTGACTTTTAGCACAATCCCCATGGTTAGAAATATTTTCTTATTCATGAAGGTGCTTTGTGACCTTTTAATGTCCACAATGATGTGTTTTGCAATCATGTTGAAAAGATTATGAACTATGATATGCAATAGGCACTTTGCTGCCACAAAGGCCTTTGAGTACTATTTTAAAATCCCACATGGACTAATACTTTGATTTTATGGTATTGGGTAGGGTGTTTAATATTAATTGTGTCTGCAATAATCCAGACACTAAAAACAAGTTGAAAACAGTTCCTTCATAGCAGGAACCTTAGAAAATGCAAGCCTTGCATAGCTTGAAGTTCTAATGCAAAACCTGCCCTCCTTGGCTACAGAAATTTTACACACAGAAGACTATATAAAACATCCCCAGTGTGCCCTCGAAATGCTAATTTCCAGAGTAATGAAATGGTAGTAGTGATCAAACATTAATGATAATCACTGAAATTCTTAGGCCCTGGTATTTAGCATCATGATAGGAAATTGAATGTCTATTGCACAACTTAGAAGATTAGATACCCCTGAAATTAATTAAGTGAAAGACCTGGGGGGATTTTGTTCTACTCACCAGAGTATATAGATGCCATGATTCGCAGTTGTGCCTACATGGATATAGATGCATCTCAGAGTCTTAACGGAAAATAAATTGGAGGGAAGATGCCTGTGTAGGTTTTTGTTTTTTTTTTTTTTGTTTGGTTGGTTGGTTGGTTGTTTTTTTTGTTTTTTGTTTTTTGTTTTTTGTTTTTTTTTTTTGTTTTTTTTGACAGGCAGAGTTAGACAGTGAGAGAGAGACACAGAGAGAGAGAAAGGTCTTCCTTCCGTTGGTTCACCTCCCAAATAGACTCTACGGCCAGCGCGCTGTGCCGATCTGAAGCCAGGAGCCAGGTGCTTCCTCCTGGTCTCCCATGTGGGTGCAGGGCCCAAGTACTTGGGCCATCCTCCACTGCCATCCCAGGCCACAGCAGAGAGCTGGACTGGAAGAGGAGCAACCAGGACAGAATCCGGCGCCCCAGCTGGGACTAGGACCTGGGGTACCGGTGCCGCAGACAGAGGATTAGCCTAGTGAGCCATCAGGCTAGTGCCTGTGTAGTTTGAAAAACCACCATCTCCACTTTGGAATATCATATACCTGCTATACCTTCCCTGTCAGCTCCCCGTCTATCTCAAAGGCACCCATCTCTATTATATGTCATAAACATCATAACTTCATAATTATATGGAACAATTTCCCTGCACTGTAGCTTCTTACCTTAGTATTTAGCCTTTTATTGACATTTCTGGACCATATTTATACACTAGATTCCTCTTTGGATGCATTAATTTGTGAACTTTGAATCAGTTGCATAGAATAGCAGGGGTACTTACATTTGACATCCAATAATGATCTGGGAGCACTTCCAATTCTGAAATACCTGCAAAACATCTAAGAAGAAACCAACTTGTTGAAGTATATTTTTATTCTACTTTACAGCCTTCAAGTTTCATAACCTGTGCACTAACTACTGACTCAAAGTCCTTGTTTAACTAGAATTTCCTGTTTCCTAACTACAAGTCAGGAAGGTATTTATGACATTGTAAAATGACATTTACAAAATCAGACTTAAAGGGAAGTGTACAGGTCACATTTCCCATTGCCTTGAAATGCAGTCAACTCATAACCTGGGAGCAAAAGCCATAAAGAAACTGCCACGAGGTTTTTAATCACCCAGTGCATCTGTTTATAAATCAGTGATTCCATAGACAGAGCTGGTGTTGAAACCTTCCTTCAGACAGTGTGCTGTAGCTCAGTGGGCTGTGTTTTGACGGTTTCCTGGGTAAAAGGTAGGCACACATCCCAAACGTTTTCAGAGCCGCCATATATCTGACTCTAAAAGAAAGCTTTTATCCACAAACCCAGGGAGATAACAGGTTAAACTCTGAATTCTAGCTCCTTCTTGCTCATCTTATATAATAGTCACAGTAAGTTTACATTTTAACCCTCCAAACAAAAAGTTAGGATCGCTATTTCTTTCTGTTCCATCACTTACCAGTGAACATCAGAAGGTTTTTATAAGGAAAATTGTAGATCTGATGCAAAATAAGGTGATGGTGTTTACTTATAAAGCACTCAAAACTGAGTTACACTGTTTCCCAGCATATGAGCTAAACCTCACATTGCTTTACAAACATAAGATTTTCTTAATTGTCGTCATCTTTATCATCAACATCATCATCTTACCTAGCGCACATCAAAGACCTCCTTATAGTAGGTATTGTCTTTAGGACTTCCCAATACGTGGTGTTGAGTCTACTTTCCCATTCTACAGACCAAGTAGGGATGAAAGAAAGTCAAAAGTCATGACCAAGGGCACAAAGGTCATGATGATGGCAATAAAAACCTGTTTGCCACTACTCATTTTCTGCCAACTTTGGATTCAGAAACTTGTCAGAGGTAAAAATCATAGTTCAAATGTCCCTTTGTGCTAGTTTTGATGCCTTTCCTGAAACCTGGAGACATTTTCCTCATTGCGATTGAAGTTGTAAATATTGCTTTAGCTGTGGCCTTTAGAGGATTCTGGTTGATGGCCTCAGAAGTGTTATCTCTTTAATGTGTCAGTCTGTCAGTTTTAGCCACTAACTTCTGACCTGGAATCAGACAAAACTCTACAAAGACAGCAATGGAAAAAACACAGCGGGCTGGAAGTCATGCTCCGACCTTGCTGTTCCTTCGAAGTCTAGATGAGCAACAGAGAGCTGTGTTTCATGCCTCCAATACCATACATCACTTTGGAGCAGTTTGGAGTTAGGGTACTTCTAATTAAATTGTCTTGGTCTCTAATGCTTCACAAAGAAATTATTCAATTAAAATATCTTCAATAAAAATCATGGAGTCTTTTCCAGTTGTGTCTGAAATATACTTTGGACCATACTTTAGCCAGTGTGCTAAATCCTGAAATTCAATGTTGAGCAAGGCAATTTTCCTGCCTTAGAAAATCCAAAGTCACTTCGGAAGATGTACAAGGAAACAGGCCATCACTTGCTGGCAAGCACCATGTAGGATAATATGCTTCCAGTGCTGCTATTTAAAAAATAACTCTACATCAGTTAATTTCAGGGCCCTGATGCAACTTATCTTTATAAAAGAAAATTGAGTTATTAAATTAATAAAGCTAAGTTGCATCAGCCCCTGAAATTTTACTAATATAAAGCAGTACTGGAAGCATATCACCTGTAATGTCTGATATGACAACAATATAATGGTGTGTTGTTTTTCCTCCAACATCCTATGGAATTAATGTCAATCCATTTCTATATCTTTACATGCCATACAGTGTTTTCTATGCTAGTTTCAAAGATTGTAGCAGACAAGTATCAGCGGCTCTTCGAATAATGCCAAAATTACTCAGGAGTTTGTGTTCTACACTAGGCTGCCACAAGAGGGCATTCTTCCCCCAAAATATGTTTAGGCATATGTAATACCACTGATTTCCACAAATAGAGAAAACATTTCATAAGGTTTTGACCTGCCTTGGGGATATCTACACTGATGTCTAATTGAAACATATTTTGTTTCCTTCACTTGATTTTTTTTCTGATTTTGGACTTTGTAGGGTACCAATCGTTGAATTGGGATGACAACCAAAAGACTGGATATGTTTTTTAAGTAAATGGCTTTTTGTTCTCCCTATGACTTGTAATTGGGAGTCTGTAATAAAATCAATGGTTCATTATGTGTCTTCCATAGGGATTTTTTGAGGAGGAAGAAGGTAAAGAGTATATTTATAAAGAGCCAAAGCTGACAGGTCTCTCCGAGATTTCCCAAAGACTGCTCAAACTCTACGCAGATAAATTTGGAGCAGACAATGTGAAGATAATCCAGGACTCCAACAAGGTACAGAAAAATAAATATTTATACAAGTGCTTAGAATTGGCTTATTGTTTTTACTTTTAACTACATTTATTGAGTTTTAATTTTCTGCCTGATAATGCAAATTAAACTATTTGAGGTATTTTGCTTGGTTTTCTTTTTTTGGGGGGGGGCATTTATTGATGACATACAGTGAGGTTCAAAAGCATTGTACCTGTTTATTTAAGTAACTTTTAGAGGAAGTTTATTCATTCTGTACTTCTCCCATGGTTCATTTACATTTGAATAACAATGCATTAAGGTGCAGTGGTGAAACTGAAGGAAACAAGTTGAAAATAGTCACTCAGTCAAGGAGGTATTTCTGGACAATACCAGTGTGGAAAGCTAATCTCTGTGGTTGTAGCAGACTTGCCATTACATTGTGTTAGCCTGTGAATGTCTAGTTAACCTCCTGTTTGCTCGAGAAGGCAGAGGCCAACATACTGAAGTTCTGTTACTCAGAATCTTTTCATACTGTCATTATCCAGCTAACCCCCATTAAGCGCCCACTGCACACTTGACCCAGAATTGGAGGCTGGAGCACATAGAGTCTCTTTCTTCCAGAACTTAAAATTCACATGAGACTTAAAAGAGAAATATCTGGGCAAAACAATTAATTGAATAGAATCATCCAGGTCAGCACTATGGTGTAGTGGGTAAAGCCGCTGCCTGAAATGCCAGCATCCCATATGGGCACCGGTTCGAGTCCTGGCTGCTCCACTTCTAATCCAGTTCTCTGCAACAGTCTGAGAAAGCAGTGGAAGATGGCCCAAGGTCCTCAGTCCCTGCACTCACGTGGGAGACCCAGAAGAGGCTCCTGGCTCCAGATTGGCCCAGCTCTGGCTGTTGCAGCCATTTGGAGAGTGAACCAGTAGATGGAAGACCTCTATCTCTCTCTACCTCTCTGTAACTCTGCCTTTCAAATAAATAAATCAATGTTTTAAATAAAAATAGAGTCACCAGTGAAGTATCACAAGAGTAGTGGTACAAGAAGTCCAAAGAAAGCTCAGAGTAGGGAACTCCCAGCATATCTTACTCTTCCTTAAGTGACCAATTCAACCCAAAGGAGGTAATTCCTGAGCTGAGTATTGCTGGGTGAGAAGGGGCTTACTAGAAGCATGTGAGAAGCCCAGCACATGCAAAGAGAGAGGAATGACAGATGTGTTAGGATAATGGCAGATCTTCGAAGCAGAGTTTGGATAGAAGAGTGTAGCAGAAGGTGGGGCTGGAAAAACTGGTTTGTGCCAGTGTGGCAGGGTTCTCTTGGGCCACACACAGAAACAAAAGGCACTTGTATTACCTGCCCTCTTATACAAAGCTGGTATTTGGAGAGATCTGAGCATGAGATCACTGAGTCTGGAAGAAGTTATTGCAAATGGGTCCACCCTCCTCCTCCTCAGCTGGAAAGGAGCAGTCACTTTCCCCATAAAGGCCGACAGCTAGAACTACTGTTACTAGTGGCATCCCCAGGTGCAGAGCTCCTGGTGAGATGGGGAAAATGCTGAATTTGATGAGAGAGCAACTTGAGTCTTCACTGTACCACACCACCATTTAGTAGCTGGTAATCTTGGAGAAGTTAGCTGGCCACCCTGAATTTCCAATTTTAATCAGTAAAATAGTTACAATTATACCCACTTTACGTTGTCAGTATTAGTTAACTTTATAAATAAGTTCATGAGGTTCCTCAAATGTCTGGACTTGAACAGGCAGTGGATGGGTAGACAGATGAAGAAAACTGGAATAAGTTTTAAAATTATTCAAAGTATTCTCAGAAAAGAAACTGAGAATCATCTCTTACAACCTAAAAGGAGAGCAAAAGCAATCCCTTTGGTTTTCTTGGGAACCCCCCTCCCATGTTCCCTGCTATCTTCCAAGCCTAACCACCAAAGGAGAATTAGAAAAGGAATGATAAATTGTGGCACATGAGAGAAGGAATTTGAGATATTGAAAACACAAATATTTGCAGTTATATGAAAGGTTAATCAGCTCATCTGCCACATAGACAAGGCACCTCCCTCCACTTTACATCCCAAAGCTAATGGCACCAGTCCAGGTGCATAGTTAGATCACAGAGGGCCAAAGACACATACTTCCACTCGAGGAGCTTGCATTCTAAAGGCAATTGGACATTTGTTACAGAGAGAACTAAAATAAAAGGTTGAAGTCGTATGCCATAGCCAGACTCACGTTACAAAGAGCCTCAGCTGCTTGGTGAGCTAGCTCCAATCCTACCTCTACCGCAACCTGAATGCGTGAATGCAGTCTAGCCAGTTACTCTTTCTGTGATCTCACCCAGCTTGGAAGTGATGGGATAGCCTGCTTTTGTCCAAGGGGAGAAAGTCAGCCTTCTCCAGAAGCTAGCTGAGAGGACACAGAACTTCTGCCTTTCTCTGGGGAGTATGTAATGACTCACCACTTTTTCTTTGCCCATGATGTGCTAACACAGGTAAACCCCAAGGATTTGGACCCAAAATATGCCTACATCCAAGTGACCTATGTCACTCCATTCTTTGAGGAAAAGGAAATAGAAGACCGGAAGACGGATTTTGAAATGCACCACAACATCAATCGCTTTGTCTTTGAGACGCCATTTACACTGTCGGGCAAGAAGCATGGTGGCGTGGCGGAGCAGTGCAAGCGTAGAACTGTCCTGACAAGTAGGTGCAGGGCTGGGCAAAGCAGCGGCTCATAGGCACCTGCTCCAGGGCAGGCCCCTTAATGAGGCTGGATTGGTGGAAATCGAGAGTCATTTCAGTCCTGTAGATCACTACCCAAAATGCACTAGCTTGGAAATGGTTGCCAGGACTTCTTTCCTTTAGAACTTACATAAGTCTCATGGTGTCAGTGTCTTGGGAAAGGCACAAGGCACTCACCTTCCCTGTTTTCTCTCCCTGATTCTGCCTCAGGGGCTTCATGGTTAGTAGCTCTCATAATTGTGAGCTTTGGGGCAAGCATTCTGGATACAGATTCTTCATTTGTTAAGTGAATGCAGACACTGATCTCCAGTGCCTCTCCCAGCCCTGTGCAGATGTAGCTGGTGAGCCAATCATCTTTTCATGTACTCAACAAACATTCATTGAGTAACAACCAGACGTGGCACTGTCCTAGGTCCTGAGAATTCAAATACTAAAACATGGTCTTGTCCTCAAAGAGTTCACAGCCTAGTAGGAGAAAACGCCAAGCAAAGCAGGAAATCCAGGTGGGCGCAGTGTTGGAAATGAAAGGGAATCATACAGGAAGGTCTCCTAAGACCTAGTGATGGGACAGATAAGCAAAGGCCTTCTGGAGGAATGATACCCGTGCTGTCTTGAGAGATGAACAGTCTCAGTTATATAAATCTGTGAATGCTACTGTCATACAAACTAAGAAACACTCACCTGGAAAATTATCAAGAATTTTTATGATTAAAAAATCTAGACCAAAGTTATTACAGTACATACTATTCAATATATATTCAAGTATTCCTTGTTGTGGTTTAGTGCAGTCTTTATTTGAGTTACAAATTGCAGTAGAACCTGTAATCTTTTCAGGGGTTAGAGACTCTTAAGTTCTTAGTACAGCCCTGAGTGTAAGTGCACACGAGGGTACTTCAAAAGGCTGGTGGTAAAATAGAGTTAAAATATTCAAATCCATCCATAATTTTTATAATACATATTTTCCATAAAAGTTTTGAAGACCTCTCATATTATCTAATCAAGAGTGGATGACCATGCCAAGTGAAAGTAGCTGCAGCAAAAGCTAAAATGTAGAAGAGAGAATGGCACCTAGGAAAAAATGACTCACACATGAAAATCATGCAGAGTGGACTGTGCCATGAAATCATACAAGGTCCTCTGGGCCATCAGGTGGATCCTTGATGCTTCACTAACCCTAAACTCTTAAATCTTTATATGGTTTCTGTGCAGCGAGTCACTTGTTCCCTTATGTGAAGAAGAGGATACAAGTCGTAAGCCAATCAAGCACAGAACTGAATCCCATTGAAGTAGCAATTGATGAGATGTCCAAGAAAGTTTCCGAACTTAACCAGCTTTGCACAATGGATGATGTGGACATGATCAGATTGCAACTCAAACTCCAAGGAAGTGTCAGTGTGAAAGTGAGTAAGCATGGCCTAGGGATGAGGTACATGTGACCAAGAAAACTTGGCCTTTAGTGCTCTGGGAATTCCACAGTGTGTGTAAAAAACAGTTCTCTATGTGAGATACCATACAACACCTTCATCCAGGCCCAGGTGTACATACACATTGGTGATGCCACACATTGCAGAGATGCATCTCTTAAGTTTAGCTGAAAGAAATTTCTTCTTCCTAAGTCTACCCCCTCATCTTCTCTGGATAACTAACTTCTACATCTGTATCCTAATGAACAAACATGACACTCTTATGCATGTCTATCATTAATAAGCCTATAAAAATATTCCCAAAAATCACTGTTTACTAGTTCATACGTGTATTGTTGTGATGGGCAGCAGGTGGCGTGTTCACAGTGGGTGACTGGAAAGGAGAGAATTAATGAACTGTTTGCTAAGATATGAGCATCATTTAGAAAAACCAGCAAGGCTAGTAACACTCAGAGGGTGTACTACCTGAGACCTGAAGATGCAAGGAGAGGAGGATTCGTGGGATCTGAGATGATTGCTGACAGAGTCAGTTGATGGTGCGTAGGCATGATCTCCACTAGAGGACTACAAGGAGGAAGGCCAGGGCCTAATACCCTGACCAGAGCCCAGACTAGAGTGAGTAAGACACTCAACTTGGGCACAAAATTTAAGGGGATCCCAAACAACTCTGTAAGCGAGACAAAATCATTTTTAATGTAGTATTTTTAAACATCAAAATTAGTGCCAAAGGTCCATATGAACAAAGTCTTAAAATTTTTAAGAAAGCAGGCCTGAATAGTGCCCTGCTGAGCTGTGTTGGAGCCTGGAGGGTGAAGAGAAGTCAGCCATGATGCACCTGACACTGACAACATGCTCCTCTTTCCCACACTCTTGTCTGTGTGCTCCGCTGGCTGACCACACACATACACAAACCAAAAGGCTAGAAGACAAGTGAGCCATTATCCTACTCCATGCAGGATCACTTCCTAAGGCACGTAAATGAGTGGAGGGGGTCAGGGAGTAGAGAAGCAAAGGAAAACACCCAGTACCATTTCTGCATCTTCATACTGGCCGTGCCTCGTGTTCATAGGCATCTGAGGTCTTAGCTTCCTTCTCCTATTACCTGATTCCTTCCCAAGCCCCACTGTCCCATCAAAAGAATAATATGCAGAGGCTGGTGCTGTGGCACAGGAGGCTAAGCCTCTGCCTGCAGTGCCGGCATCCCATATGGGCACCAATTCATGTGCTGGCTGCTCCTCTTCCAATCCAGCTCTCTGCTTTAGCCTGGGAAAGTAGAAGATGGCCCAAGTGCTTGAGCCCCTGAACCCTCATGGGAGACCTGGAAGAAGCTCCTAGCTCCTGGCTTCAAATCAGTTTGGCTCCAAGTGTTTTGGCCATTTGGGGAGTGAACCAGCAGATGGAAGACTTTTCTCTCTTTCTCTCCCTTTCTCTGTCTGTAACTCTGCCTCTCAAACAAATAAACAAAATATTTTAAAAACACATACACAATAAGGTTGATTTTTAAAAAAAGATTAACATGCACCAAGAGAAATGGATCCCTCCACTAGTGTTTGGCTGCTCATGTGTGAGCATGACTAGAACCTGGTATGCATTCATTCAACAAATCTGAAAAATGCCTTCTTGGGCCAGAATCTAAGTCATGCTGTCAAGTGGAACATAGTAAAACAGTGAATCCCAGGATGATGCACACACCAGTACCACTGTGTGTGTGCACACACAGTAGTTATGTGTTAATTGTATTTTAAAATGTACTTATGTCTGATAAATTGATATCTTTTCATTTGATTACCACTTATAGTCCTCACCTCTATTCCTACTAAACTGTGTTTTTTTTAACCTGTTAAACTCTTTATTTAGTGAAGCATTCAGCCTTTGACTATAATGTACATTTAAAATATATTATCTCAAAAATAAGAAAAAATTAGATAGAGAAAACCAACTAGCACATCAAGCATCTGAATTCACAAATATTAAATTCAAATAAATGTCTTTAGGAGTCTAGATTTTAAAACCATTAGATAATAAAAGTTCGGGCAATGTGCAGATTGGCCGAAGTGTGAAAGGGTTGGCAAGTGACTGATGTTTGAGAAGAATAGCCATGAGGACAGAACCAGGTGAATCCTTTGGTACGTATCAGTTAGTTGGAGCACAACAGATAACAGGAATGTAAATTAGCATGCTAGGGATGGGCGTTTGGCCTAACAGTTAAGAGACCAGTTAAGGTGCCCGGGGTCCCACATGAAAGTGCCTGGGTTTGATGCATGACTCTGGCTACTGATTCCAACTTCTTGCTAAGGCAGAGCCTGGAAGGCAGCAATTATGGTTCAAGAAATTGGGCTTCTGCCATTATGTAGGAGATTTGACTTAAATTCCCAGCTTCCTGTTCTGGCCCAGTCCAGTTCCAGCCTTCGTAGGCATTCCAGGAATGACCTGGTGAGTGGAAGGGGTCTCTCTAGCTTATTCTCTCTCTCCCTTTCTCTCTCTCTCTTTCTCTCTCTCCTCCCTGACTTCTTTCTCCTTCTCTCACAAATTGTTTTTTTTAATTACCACAAGCTGGCATGAGAGAATTGGAGGGACACATGATTGGTGCAAATGGTTGTCACTTCTTCCAGCTTTGGAGAAGGTTCCATGGAGGAGGTGGGCTCATCCTCAGCCAATTCTCTTCTTCCTAATAGGTCAATGCTGGCCCAATGGCCTATGCCCGAGCTTTTCTTGAAGAAACAAATGCAAAGAAATACCCTGACAACCAAGTAAAGCTTTTGAAGGAAATCTTCAGGTAAGCGTCTCTTAGTTGAAACTTCTTCAAACAAGGCATGATAAGTTTCCCAGAAAGCTGACTAATCAACCCTTTTCAAGATGGCCGAGTCTAAATTACCTGCCCCAATTTAACCTTAAATGTCACTGAACTTAATGCTACTTCTTATGACCGGCTGTTAATTTGTGTGATGTTCTCACTAAAGGCAGTTTGCAGATGCATGTGGGCAAGCCCTGGATGTGAATGAGCGCCTTATCAAGGAGGACCAGTTGGAGTACCAGGAAGAACTGAGGGCACATTACAAGGACATGCTCAGTGAACTCTCTGCAGTCATGAATGAGCAGGTGAGCTTTCCTGAGTGTGACAGGCCCTCTGTGAGGATGGAAAGTAACCATTGCACCACAGTGCTAGAAGGACTGGACGGAGTTTGCTTTCTTGTTCTGGAAGTCACTGTACTTTCTGTTAGTACCATGTTGCTGAGATGTTCTCTCCCCTATGCACAACAGCCCTTACCTCAAAGCAGCGATTAGATTGGGAAAACAATAATCTGAGAATTCAGGAACTTTCCATGGTTTTTAGAGGTGTTTACACAGCCTTGTGAGCTGTTGGCTTTCTAGAACACAGAGGTCAGATTAGACATTGAGGAACATTGGGATGGTCTTCCCATTAGGCTGTGACGTGGAGTTCCACTATCTGCCACCAGGGGTCTCTGTGCCACACTCAGGGAGAACCACATGACGAGTTACTGCCTTTGCCAGGGCTGCCTCTCAGATGCTGGGCCTCCTGCAAATGTGCATAATATGAATACAACTAAACTCCCTCCTCTTAAGCAAGCCGTTCACAATTGCTTCCATGTATCCAGCGTGTTCTGTAAGACTGTGCATAAAGGCTTACTTTTAGTAATCACAATGCTTTGGGGAGTGCTAAACACCAAGTGACAGGGAGCCAAATGCTCCCTCCTTGAACCCTCATGCTCTGCCTTTACACCCACAGTCCCCTCTAGGAGATCATTGTGCTCTTTGCAGTAAACTGAAAGTGAGAACTTGAACTTGTCTCCCCCTAGCATCTCATGCAGAGGAGCCACTCTGGTTGGTGACTCCCTCTCTTTAAATGACCTGCCACAATTTTTGTGACAGTAGTCACAAAATATGAAGTGCATTTTCCCCCATACATTTCTTTTTGCATCTTCTTCCACCCACATTTTTAATTCCATGGTACCCAGATGATGAAGGGGTTGATTGACTTACATTGGAAAAATGGATCTCCCTGGATAGGATTTATAGCAGAGACCGTATTGGGTTCTTTGGGGGGTAATGGAAATTAATAGCCTTAATGGGAGAAATAATAAATTATTTATAAATATTTTATAAATAAAATATCTCCCCCTTAGCATGGGGGAAATAATAAATCTAGGAGTAAAACAAAAGGAGCAAACAATGGATCAGGAAGTGGCGAAGGAATGCTTTCCTCCAACTGTAAATCCTGTCTGACCTGAAAACTTGGAGCGAAAATGCTTTTCTCTTTTTCTTTCCTGGCAGCTCTGTCGTGGTCCGTGTTTATACAGCTTCTGTTCCTCTGTGTCTAGTATTTCCCTCAGTACTGTAAGCAAAAGTGGTATGTTTTTCTTTCCTATGTCTACTCTATGCATTGTTGTCTTCTAGTCTACCTATCTCTTCCTAGCTGTTCATCTGCATAGTGGTTGATGTTCTATAAAATTTTATGTAATTAGAATAACATTATTTCCATTTCAAAGTAGGTCAATGAAAAAAGGAAGCCTGATGATTAAAGCTTATGTTAATAACTTAAGCTTTTTAAAAGAATATTCCTGCTTCATCAACTTTTAAAACATATTTGAGGTCATTTATTTCCAGAACAAAGATACGCTGTATCTCAAAATACTAACACAAAAATGTAGAATCAGGTGACTGAAAGGAGAGAAAAATAATTTCCTTTCCAGGAAACCTTTGCTAGAGGAAGCAAAATTTGACACTAAGTTTCCTGGAAACTGACATAAAGAGAAGAAACTGATAGACTGCACAGGTCTTGTTGTTCTGTGAAAGGAATAGATCCGTTAGCAGCCATGTCAACTTTCTCATGGTCCCGAGCTCCAATGGGGATTTGTCACAAGGCCTTAATATGAAGGAATATTTCATAGACCTGAAGTGCACTCCAGAAAGTTCATGGGAAATGGAATTAAAAGATGAGTTCATTTTGGTGCAAAATTTTGATATGCATGTATAGTTCTTCATAATACCCATTTTTATGAACTTTTTGGACACTCCTTGTATATAGGAATTTCAAATATTTTTCATGCCAAAATAAATTTTTTTAGTTCCAGTTTACTTTTTCCTTGAAGTTTTTAGAGCATCCTCATATACACTCATGCAAATATTCTGGATGCAGGTACATATTCTAATTTTAATGAAGAAAAAAGTCTACAAATGAATTTTTGAAAACAAAAGAAATTAGAATGCACAGATGTGCATAGGAATAATAGATAGAATTAGTCATTCCAAGAGTGTCTAGAAAAGTCTTAGAAGAGTATTCTGGGGCCAATTCATTAACAAAATCTAAGGAAAAAGATGGAAAAGGATAAAGTGGATGCTAATGTGTAAATGGAGATGTTGACATGAAGTAGTTTGAGTTGTTAGTGACAGGCAGGCAATATTACTGTGTATTTGACCAGAATTCCACATTTTTTATAAATACTTAATAAAAAGGACCATAGTATCCTCTTTTGACTGAGGTCAAATTAACGAATATATCCAGCTGAAAGATAAGTATAAGATGCTTATCTGGGGCTTGGTTCAACATTCAATGGGAATGACAGTGTAGTGAGGACAACTACAGTGATAAGTATCAAATATAAAGTACAGAGACAGGAACACACCCTTTATATGTTAGTATCAAGTAGGCGAGACGCAAAGGCAATTGCTGTGGGAGTCTCAAATACTCTGAACACATCTGTGGTGTCATTTGTGCAGAACGTGTGACACTGAACAAGGGTGGTGTGGGATATGCAGAGGCTAAGTGCTCTGTGGGAGACAGATGTAGCAATTCCATCTTGGAAGAGAGAAGCTAAAGGTCACATGGATATATGTGAAGATATTGGGAAAATCTTCTTAGCTAGAAATTCTAAATATAATCTGAATACAGTCTCTTCTGTACAAAGATTATTTTAAGGTTGTCTAAGGTTTCTGTCCTTGTTACTATGTTTATAGATCATTATTTGCATAGATATTATGCAAAAGTATTATTTAGACTTACTAACATTATTTTCAAAAGTAAAATCTTGTTATGATTGTTTTCTTATATTCTCATTAATAAAATAATTTAAATATGGTTTCCAGTGTTTCCACTATATGGGTAGATTTTGATAATATAAACATTTGGAATAGAGAAAAAGCTGAAATTTTCAGAGGCATTTGTAAGTTTCATTCCAACATTTATAAATTGGTATCTGTTATTCAGAGTACTGTGAAGCTACTTCAAATCTGACCAAGAGGGCTAACATGTGAGCTTGAGAAAAAATTCTTCATATTGACTATGATAAGTGTATTTTCAAAATTTGCAGCTACTCCTGGGGAATGAAAATCGCTGTTTAATTTGTATTGGCATTGATGTTTGACATTGTTAAAGTTGACCTCCTCATTATTGTGCTGTTTTACTGTGTTTCGTCCTGTCCTCTTTTTAAGATTATGGTCCGGGACGACCCACCAAAGCGCGGAGTGGAGCGAACTTGCACTCGAGTAACTAGCAAGACGACTCCAGCCCTGCCCACTGTCTCTGTCTCATCAAGTGCTGAAGTTTGAGGGGAGGTCTGCAGCATCAGACACACCTCTCAGAGACCTTTCTGAGTTTGCAGCTAATCTCGGGGAAGAGAAAGATAGATTTAATTTATTTGCAGTTTTTATGGTGTTAATATTTTTGTTTACCTCGCTAGCTTGAGAGTTTTGCCAGCCTCTGAATTTGCACAATTTCCTATTATTATTTTTCTCTGAGCAGTGTTGATCAAGCCAAGCTGAATATTTGCCATGAAATTCCAATGAATGTGTAGCTCAAAGCAAATTCTGAGTTTGCTGTCAGTTATATGTTCAATTCCCAGTCCCAGTACACATATTTTAAAGGTCAAAGTGAATGTTTTTGTAACATTGAAGCATATTTCAGATGTAAATAGAAGATTGTAAAATATATGGTTTTTACCAAATTTAAAAGAACCTTTTTAGTTAATACTTATGACAATGCTAGAATTATATGAATAACATTTCAGATACCATTATATTAAAAATATTTGTCTATGTGTACAAAAGTGTTGATAAATACTAATCTTTAAAATTTGTGGAGTTCCTTTATTTGTAATATATGTTCTCTTAAAAGCAATGGGATGTGAAATTATAGAAGTATTTTGTTGTTGTTAATAGAAATAAAAAATTCGGTTACTTTGCATTTGGTTGCACCTCAAAGCATGGACGAGTAACTGCTCTGGATGTCTATTGAATGCAATCCCATATTCAATACTTGTGATGCCTTACGAAGAAGTTAGGAAAAGACTCCCATCTCACCTAGGAAGTTTCCCCAAAGAGTGAACTAAATGGGACAGGGATTTCCAAACATGGGAAGCTGTTAAAATGATTTGGGGAAAATACAATGATTCAGAGGCTAAGGGGTTGCAGTAGTTATTTGGACTATTCACAACATTCCATTTCTACACTCTCTAAACTTGTGGTAGATTGTATTTTCCTGCCTCTTTTGAAGTTAGGCAAGAGAACATAACTGGCTTTAGCCGCTGAAATGTAAAATGTGAGCCAGTGACATGTGTCACTTTCAGGCAGAGGTTTTAAAAGCCAGTAAGTGGTTCTGTTCAGTCCCTCCCCCTAGTTATCTTTGATTCACCGGAGTCCCCAGTGAACACAGTGAGTGAGACAGGCACATGTCCCACCCTCGCTAATCCTTACCCGGTCATGTAGACTGAGTGAGAAATACCATTTCGTTGTGTTAAAGTCCCCAAGATTCAGAAGTGGTAATTATTGCAATTTTATGAGCTTATCCTGGCTGAACTGTATTTTTGTCAAGGCTGTGACCGATGCACAACCAAGTCTGGGAAGCACTGACATATTCTACCCTTCGGCACGTCTTCCTCCCACAGCATCCATCATCAGCTGCAATGAAGCTGAACTGATCTCCTAGAAGCAGATGCTGGCTAGACACTATCATTTTACATTCACCTCCAGCAGCCACTCCCAAGCCCCAGACTCAAAGGAGATGTTAGTTGAGCTCATCTTTCTGCTCTTGGAATCCATTGATCAATATCATCAACACATGAGGATGAAAGGGAGGGTAGGGATTGGAGCACATATTTAAATACTGTCTACACAGAAGTGATAAAAGGATATTTTGCATGAGAACTCAGATCCCTCAAGACCCATTTAACTGATCTTTTCTCAAACAAAGCCTACTGCTTCATTAGAAAAGATTGCTCTGTGAGGAGCTAATCTCGAACTCAAAGCAGCTTCATTCTGGCTCCAATTCTCTTGGTTTCTGACTGATGCAGTCAGCATGTTGGCTCCTCACTTACAACTTCCCCACTGGAATTTAGAGTTCATTACTCTTCCAGGAACCCAGAAGACTGAGCTTCTTACCTCATATCTAACCCAATTCTTACCTCGAGGCTCAAATCCTACAACCATCTCAATTCACCCTATCCCTGCCCCAAGGATACTGTTGACCATATCTGAAATTCGTTGAAAATAATAGATCTCTTTAAACCATGTTAAATGCCAAATATGCTATTTTCTGCATCTCAAATAGCAATATATTAAATGGTTTCAATGTGTTTTAGCCCTGAAGTTGTTCAAACAATAACTTTAAACACAGCTGCTCTAGAGAGGATTACCTTAGACCTCTCTGCCTTAACAGTACTGAAACTCACCTTGCACAATCCCTGCCCCATTTTTTTCTTTGTCTTCTTTAAACCAGATGCATCTGCCTGGCTGCTCAGAGACTGAGTCCAACACATTCAATCTGCCACACACATCTTTAATTCTTTTTGATTAGATATCACTTAACCATTAGAACACTTAGAATTCTCCAGTATCTATTGAAAAATTGGGCCATCTGGAAATGTGAGCCTGGCCTTCCCACATGACAACAATGAATTAAAATTGAGACAACGTTGATCTTCCTTTTATTTTAATGTTGACCTTCTTAACATCTATTTCCTGCCTTGCCAAAGTAGTTATTAGGTTTTGATATACTTATGCCAGGCAAGGCCCTCTTATTTATATTTTCTCTCAAGATTTCATTGGGGCCAGCGCCGCGGCTCAATAGGCTAATCCTCCACCTAGCGGTGCTGGCACACCGGGTTCTAGTCCCAGTCAGGGCGCCGGATTCTGTCCCGGTTGCCCCTCTTCCAGGCCAGCTCTCTGCTGTGCCCCAGGAAGGCAGTGGAGGATGGCCCAAGTGCTTGGGCCCTGTATCCGCATGGGAGACCAGAAGTAACTGGCTCTTGGCTTCGGATCAGCGTGGTGCGCCAGCCGCAGTGCGCCAGCCGTGGCGGCCATTGGAGGGTGAACCAACGGCAAAAGGAAGACCTTTCTCTCTGTCTCTCTCACTATCCACTCTGCCTGTCAAAAAAAAAAAAAAAAAAAAAAGATTTCATTGGTATGTGTAGACTGATGTACAAAAAGTATTTATGTCTCATTGTACTTACCACTCAGTGTAGACTACATACCCTCTGCTTGTGAATGAAGCAAGACTCATGTTACAATGCATGTTCCTGAGCTCCCTCAAGCCTCCTGAAAGGGAAACCCTGAGAGCACAGTACCCAGACCCACATGATTCCTAGACATGTGAACGTATAAAAACTCCACTGAGACTTCCACTAATTAACTGTCCTTAAAAAGTACTTTGCAGAAGATAATACCTTATAAAATAGTGAGCTGACTTTGAATCATCAACACATTGAGTTCTTATTTATATTCCTTTTCATCTTTATGTAAATTGTACTTAATGATGCCCCAAAATAAGCTCAGTAAAACATGATAGTAAATCTCCCAATACGGTGAGAACACTGAAAACAAGACAAATTACATTATTTCCCTATCATTTTCCCTGGAAGCTACTCACTAGGAAATAAGTGAATGTAACACTTGGAATGTCAGACCTGGTTCTGTCCCCTTATCCAGTCATCATGCCAATCTCTTCTCATTCTTATTTCACAGTGCAAAATGCTCAAGCAAAAAAACAATCTTATCATTTTTGTTAACAATGACCTTATAATGAATGTCCATTATCCAAACCTCACATAGGACATCCCTATTGTGTGTCTTCACTCATTTAGAAACCTAAATGACTGGTCAGCAAGGTACCTTCACCATGACTCATAGCTTTTGAAAAAGGCACTGTCATAGAAAGATAGCTTGTTTCTGAGAAGTCTCAACTTTCAGAGTCCTAAATATTGCTCTACAGAAGATATTCCATGCTGAAAGGCTAACACTACCTCAAACTGCACTGCCAACAGAGCTATAGTCTCCCAGAGGAAATTAACATCGTCCAAAAGAATCATCTTTAACCCAAAAGAATGAATTTCTATTTAATGGAATTTCAGATTTCCAGATACTCTGCCACGAAAGGTTTCTCTCTTCTTCACCATCTCATCACAGAAGCAACCATACCCTCCATGTTAGGCCTCAAACCATCCCCCAACATATCCAGTTAAATTAAGGTGGAATAAGGGGCTTGCATTGTGGCTTAGTGGGTAAAGCCAGCACCCGCAGTGCCCGCATCCCGTATGGGCACCTTTTCAAGTTCCAGATGCTCCAATTCTGATCAAGCTCCCTGCTAATGTGCCTGAGAAAACAGCGGAACATAACCCAAGTCCTTAGGCCTCTGTACTCTGTACCCACATGTAGAGCCGGCAGAAGCTCCAGGCTCCTGGCTTCGAATAGGCCCAACTCCTGCTGTTGTGGCCATTTGGGGAGTGAACCAGTAGATGGAAGATTTCTCTCTCTCTGCCTCTGCCTTTCTATAACTCTGCCTTTTAAATAAATAAACAAAATATTTAACAAAAAGAAATTAGGTGAAATAGTAAATAAGTTATAAAGAATTATACCTAATAATTGTATGAGGTCTCAAGTCAAAATGTGCTTTGACCAATAAGTTAAAAATTATTGATGGCTGGCACTGTGGCTCACTAGGCTAATCCTCCACCTGCAGCACTGGTACCCCAGGTTCTAGTCCCAGTTGGGGCCCCGGATGCTGTCCCAGTTGATCCTCTTCCAGTCCAGCTCTCTGCTGTGGCCCGGGAGGGCAGTGGAAGATGGCCCAAGTGCTTGGGCCCTGCGCCCACATGGGAGACCAGGAGGAAGCACCTGGCTCCTGGCTTCGGATCGGCACAGCGATCCGGCTGTAGCGTCCATTTGGGGAGTGAACCAACGGAAGGAAAACCTTTCTCTCTCTCTGTGTCTCTCTCTCACTGTCTAACTCTGCCTGTCAAAAAAAAATTATTGAGCCTTGTCTCTGAAAGGGAGACACGAGAGCTAGTGAAAAAGTGTTAGATATAAAAAGGGAGACTGGGTACTTTGTACAGGGGTGCACATGTATGCCGTATGTTAGTTATGAACGGAAAAGTTGCAATCAGCTGTCCTATCACTCTATCTCCTTGCATCCTTCTAAAGCACCCAGAGTCAACAAGACCTGATTCTCAGAAGGCAGTCAGGTCTGAGAGCTCCATAGATGGCGGCATGTGAATAATATTAACAAAAAGAAACTTGAAAAATATAAAAAAGTCTGTGTGAGGTTCTGAATTTTTAAGAAGGTGAGGGAGCGTGTAAGTAATAGAGAGTTGGCTTCCGAGACCCAGTTCTCTGCACTTCTCCCTTGGGCATGACTGGAACCTTAATTAGAAGAAAATCCATGATCTACTTAAAAGACCAAGAGTTCATTTGCCTGTTGGGGAGCGTGATGAGAGTTGATTAATCTATGGGCACACAGAGAAACTGCTATGAATAAGCACATTTGGGTTTGGAACACAGTAATTCAGGTGTTATAGGAGAATTATGGAAAAGGGGAAATGTCAAAAACAAAAGAAAGGAAATCCCCTTAAAACCTCTGAACTCATTTGCCCTGTGATATTCCTGTAATGCGATGATTGTGATGGGGATGGGTGGAGTAGAAGACAATAACTGAATAGAGGGATCATAGGTCATAAGACTCAAGAGAGATGCTACAGTGAGCACAGGGTTGATCCTGAATGATAAAGGGTAAGAGGTCAACCACTTCCATATGGAGTTTATGAACATCATTTGGAGAGGGTAATGGTGATTGAGTTTGAGTCATCGGGCAAAGTTTGCAGAAACTAGATTTAAATAGCATTAAGTGTGGAGGATTCCCCAGGAGAATCTGCTTGTGATTTTCTTATACATTAACATTAATACCTTAACCATCCT